ATTGTCGTTGGGTGCCCCTGGCGATTACGATACAAATCAGGAGAATAAGGCAGTTCATGGAAAGTCACTTAGGGCTTTCTTTTCCATGCACAGCTTTAATCGATTCTAAGCTTTTTTATTGACATTTTCAACGCAAATGGTAATCTATATTTTGCAATAAGACAAAAATGGGCGGCCAGTTTCACCTAACTTGCTACAAACACTTTTTTTAAAAGCTGGAAGAATACTAAACACCCTAGCCATCCTAGTCATCCCAGTAACCCGGCTCAACCCAGTCATTCTTATCCAAGTCATCCAAGTCAACCCAGTCATCCCAAGTAACTCTAGCCATCCTAAGTCAACCTAGTCACCATAGTCATCCCAGTTATCATGGTCATCCTAGTGATCTTAAGTCACCCTAGTCATCCCTAGTCATCCCATGTCATCCTAAGTCACCCTAGTCATCCCAGTCATCCTGGTCATCCTAAGTCACCCTAGTCATCCTAGTCATCCTGGTCATTCCAGTTATCATGGTCATCCCGGTCATCCTAAGTCACCCTAGTCATCCCAGTCATTCTGGTCATCCCAATTCACCCTAAGTCACCCTAGTCATCCCAGTCATCCTGGTCATCCCAGTCATCCTAAGTCACCCTAGTCATCCCAGTCATCCTGGTCATCCCAGTCATCCCAGTGGGATGACCATTGGTATTTTAATCTGTTTTTGTGATGTGTTTGTCTTGTCAATTTGGCAGTTTCAACCCAACTTATCTTTTTTTAAGGCCATCTAATGCCATTTATCAGAATTTTGCCCCAGCATGGCCTCTTTTATGGGGAATAACATGACACATAATGCGACACTATGTTTACATGACATAATACACAAAAGCATGGAAAGCCCATAACATATATAAATGTAAAACATAAAATTATGATAAAAAAGTAATGAAAAATTATGCACATTCCGATAGGTGAAAAACCTTTGTTTATTCTTCGAGTCCTGTAAACTCAGAAAACTAAGAACTGTCTCCAGGTAGATAATTTAATTATTACATCAAAGTAGCAATCCTAACTCTTACTAGTTAATACTGACGTAATCAACCAATTTGGAATGTTCGGAGAATGGTCTAAAAACTTGTCAATCATGGGCCTGGCCTTTTAAAGACTTCTCTTTACAGTATTTTTTTTTTCAACCCCATATGGTTTTCACCACACTCGTTCAATAATGCTGTAAAAGAGTGATCTATTTCTTAAATAACCTATAACTGCCCACCAAGAAGGGCAAATAGTCAATTTCTGTATGTCACTCCTACTCAAAAACATTGGGTTTCAATACAAGACAGTGTTTTTAATATTAAGAATTGCTGTTATAAATCTACAGCTAAAGAACACAGGACAGGAAATTGTGCACCAAATTTAAGAAAATGATTAATCTTTTCATGCTTTCTCCAGAAGGCAAATGGGGTTCCTGTGAACCATTTCAAGATCCACTTTGTGGCCTATCAAATCTCTGATATTGGAGATCTTGTACTTGATCATAGTCGGTCTACAAAGAAAAAAATGCTTGATGAGCTATCTTGTAGGAACTCAGTTAATAATAATAATAATACTACTAATAATAAATTCATTTTATATAGCACTAACACACAACAAACAGTACACTTTTTATGAGAAAATGGAAATAAAACACTACAATTTAATTACTGTACAAGAATTGGTTCATTGGGCAATGCCAAACAAAACAAAAAGGTCTTCAATTTAGAGTTTGGTTAACACCCTAACACCTCGGGTACTCCTGACAGCTGAAGGAAGAGTGTTCCACAGTGAGGGGCCAACACGAGCGAAGGCAATTTCTCCATATTCTCATGCTAATTCTCCAGAATGATCCCCATACATTCCTTAAAAAAATGGTTGAGAGTATTGACAGACTGAACTCTTACCTTTCTAATGAAAGTCCCCAGGCAATGACTGCAACATCTTTTGGTAATCCCATTGGTAACAACATCTCAGGCCTAAAAACTCCAGAATTTCCTACTTCCACCCATTTCTTCAGGCCTGAAATAAAGTTGATTTGGAATCTTAATCTCACTGGAAAATTGTCCTTCATTCTCAAATACCTGCACACTTGCTTAGTAAAAGTCATTAGATGTATTCTCCTCACACATTTGAGTGGGTAAAATGATTATCAGGGATAGTTGAGCAAACAGGAAAATCAATTTGCCACATGCCAGAGTATTTTAATTGCTTTACTGTCCCTCATCAACGAAAATAGGGGACAAGTTTTAGTCTATAAAATGACCTTGCATAAGTTTACTCCTACTGACTAAACAAAGGTAGGAATGAAAGAGGGGATTAATTTATTGTTAACCACTACGCACAGCTTAAAAAACAGTGACAACAAAAGGCACGCAGGCAAACAAATCAATGTGAAGCATGTATCCTGTTGGCATATTAGTTTAATAACATTTGTTATTTTGCTATGTGCTAAATGAAATTCCTAAAAATGATAAATTTTCTTACCATCGTGGTAGCTAAACACTTCCATACTTGGTTCAGTGTAAGGGTTGAAGGCAGGCTTGAACTTTAGTTTTGTAATACCTGAACAAAAACAAGTCCATTGTGTAATACCGTAAAATTCCGAAAATAAGCCCCTCCACCCCATGTATAAGCCTCCCAAACTCGTAATGCAAAAAACCCTCCGTTAAATCGCCCCTCCAAATATAAGCCTCCTGGGGGCTTGTACTTGGAAAAGCTGCCCTCAAATACAAAGTAAAACAAGACAAAAATGATAAATTTACTTCCAACTATAAGGCTACCCAATTGATTTTGAAACACAAATTTTCCTCCGTAGATAAGCCCCTTCGAATATAAGCCCCTCAAAGAGGGCCTTTGAAAAATATAAGCCCCAGGGCTTATTTTCGGAATTTTAAGGTAGTCAACTGAAAAGATCAAACCACTTTTCACTTACTTTGTTTTGAAAGAATAATGCAATTGGTACATCACACAATCTGCTACTGCAATAAAGAGATACACTCACCTAGTTTCTTAAAGAATTCATAGAGAATTCCAATCAGATCTCCCAGGGTCAAGTTATAATCAGCGACAACACCTTCAATTTGATGGAATTCTGCTAGATGAGTGGCATCAAGAGTTTCATTGCGGAACACTCGATCAATTGAGAAGTACTTGACTGGTGTGAATTTTTCCTTAAATTCAAAATAATTATCAAATTTACTACCAGTCATTTAAAAGAATAGAGACCTTTAGATTTGAGGATGAGTACCAGATTTGATTTTAAGTTTTTTCGTGCATTGTCAAAAAATAAACACCCCGGGAATCTTCACTGTACTTTTTTCACCAAAAAAGTTAGCACTGTTATCATTATTGAAGGAGGTTCAGAGCCCTCTCCCGATTGCAAAATGCTAAAACTTCTAACATTTGATAACTTGTTCCCACCACTACGACACTCGCGCTAAAACTCATAGTAGAGTGATGATGGCTACCACATTTTCCAACCAAAATGATGCTGGTTCATGTGCACGCTCTACTTAGTATTGAGAAAATCTTGTACTCATAGTCTTTCTCATCTTAAAATCTAACGCTCTCTAATGGTGAAGAATATACTACAAATAAAAAATAGACCTATTCAGCTAACTCAATGTTGTACCCAATTCAAACCCTTTGGGAATAAAATGTTTTGTTTCAGGAATTTCCATATCATTTAAATGTGAATGCCACATTATAATGCAAATACAATACACAAAGAATCTTATCCCCGGGAGATTTGAATTGGGTACAACATTGAGTTAGCCGAATAGGTCTATTGAACCGAAAAATAGACACAATTTTATAAGCTTCATTTGTTTACAATACGAAAAAAAAATTCACTACCTGTTGGGCAAGTTTATACAGCATTCTTGCACTAACAGCTGTTGTGTGTGTCCTGAGAATGTTCTTCTTGGCCTCCTCAAGCTCCCATTCATATTGATATCTATAATATTATTAACAAATTATAAACGTACTATCTATCATAAATGTTAAAATACTAAATCATCATTCTAAGAATTATATATCAGAGGCAGTCTGGAGGGCCACATCCGATGCCCTTGGCCTAATGGATTCTTAGGCCAGTTGAAGATTTTAGGGGGAGCTATTAAACAAAATTTGTGATAATTTAAGAGTTTTTAGAATCAAAACACAAGATCTTCCAAAGGTTTTTCTGTTAGAAGTTAAAATAAAGAAAAAAACATTCAAGTGTGCGGGCAATAGTGCATTCTGTCCAATAATTATTATTATTATTTACGCATGATGCATACTGTCCTATTGTGCTGTCCTATGACAGCTGAAATCAGGCAGATACCGGATGGTTTATTTACCAACTGGAAGTTCGGATTTGATTCTGATCCTTGGCTGTATGACCTAAAACTTCTTTGTATTCTAGTTCTTTATGGACAACTGATACCATCATCATTTCTTAATTAAATAAGCCCCCTGTCTCAAATAAGCCCCCCGTCTCCATTAAGCCCCCCCTCAAATGGGCTTGAAATAAATTAGCCCCCCGGGGGGCTTAATAGAGGATTTACAGTATATGATGTGTGTGGGATTTTTGCTGACTGTACTTACCCTTGTGAGCCATGCCCTCCAGACTCATGCATGGCTTTTACTTTTTCAATGTATGACTGTGGCATCTCCTCTAACTTAGCAAACTTGGGATCTAAAACAAACAATACAGTTCAAATTCACTGCAAGCATGCAAGTGAACTATTCAATTTGCCCATGAATAAGGGTGGCAGCGACACACCCAAAACTGAGTAGAGCAATATGGGTGGCAGCGACACGATAATTTCTGACCTCAACTGAACAACATAGCAGTACTAAATCTGTGGGATAGGTATACTGTGGGTAAGAAAGTGCAAAATTCTTAACACTTTTTGTCCAAAATTGTAGGAAAAGGTATCAACAAAGCATGTATATCCCTGACCTGCCATGAAAAATGTGTCATGTGCATCACGGGCCGGGTGCTGCTGTGGTTGGAACAAAGAATCAAAATTCCAAAAGGAACTTTCCACAAAGTTGTTTGTAGGCATCTCAGTAAACCTGAAAACAAAATTATTATTATTATTATTAATTCTTATTCATTTAATCAATGAATTATTTTTTTACTTTTATTAAAAATACCTTATGGTGTTATGAATTAAATCCGTTGCCGATGGCAATGCGTCCCTTGGATTCCCTAAGGGTATTTTGCATTCTAGTACTATATTTAAAAATTCAGTTTGAGCTAGCAGTGGACATGAGCAGAAGACATTCAGATTTAGAAACGAAGACCCGGAGATTCACGCTAGTGTAAGTAGTTTTTTTCTAAGGGTTTTTTTTCATCCTTTGAGCGAATATCTTCTCAGGATATTTTGGTTTTTCCTTTTTCAGCGAATCATTCTGTAAATCACACTATTAATCCTCGAAATGTAGAAGTGAAAGAGACGAGCCGATTTCGACATGTGAAAGCTAATTAACTTGAACTGTAGAATACTGAGACACTGAGAATTTGAAGAACAGCGAAAAGACAACAACATGTGGATTACAGCAATACACAAAAACAACACAAATCATACTTTATATTTAAAGTAAAAATTCAAGAAAATGAATGATTACACCTGTCAACCACCACACATATTCAATATAATTTCCAATGACTGTCAGTATCATACTGTTCAAATAGTTTGGATTTTTTTTGTCGGTTATTATCATTATTATTATTACAGCATACCCCATTTCCAAGAAGATCTGTCTAAATTGAGCCCTAACTTTCATTAAAGGATGAAGGTGACCTGAAGTTGGCATAATTCCTTGAGCATCAAAGTTGTAGGCCTTGAACTTCTTTTCTTTCCAGGAACCACTGCAACATAATGTATCAGTTACAACAGGGCTAAAAATAATGGCTGGTCAATGGACAACTGATGTCCAGCCAGAAATGAGGGCTAGCCACGACTGAGCTAAACTTTTTTGGCTAGTCCAAATGACCGGCCACTGTCCAAAATTTTATTTTGAGCCCTGTACATTGTTGTTAACAGATACAATTTTTTTAAAATTTGCTCACAAAATGGGTTCACCCTACACAGATCCCTCTTTCATTAGACAGACCTCAAAATTGCATGTAAAAGTAACTCAGAGCTCTTCTGCCCAACAAAATTGGTTGAAAAGTTCAACAGTTACAAAAAATATATTTGGGTTGAGGGATACAAACCTTGCCAACATGTCTGCTGTTAAATCAGCTTCAAGCTTGGTAGGTGATGTACTAAAGTCACTTCCTCTTGTTACATAAAAGCTCTTGATAACCCTAAAAATAATGATAAACCACTACTGAAATATTGATCACTGGCACATTGCTATTTTCTGGCAACAGGAAGCTAAAATTACACGTACAGCACAACAAAAGTTGTCTTGTCCATTAAAAAAAATTCAAGTTTAACTAAGCTTGCTTTCAATGGATACTAACCAAGCATCCACTGTCAATAATATTGTTTTATGGACTATTGTAAAGATTATTTTAAGTAAGTCATAGTCAAGATAAAACTGGAATTTCATTGGAACAGATGCACAGATAACCCACTTTGGTTGTTGCCAGGCAGAGACAAAACCTCTTACCTCAAGACACCCACTAGTCAGGTCCTAGAAAAAAACTACTGCCACTGCCTACACTCTACTGAATCTCTTTCCTCCACTTACACATGTAACAGCTGAGAGCTGTAGGAGAATACATCGAAAAATTGAGTGCCGACAAAATATTAAATTCATCATTGACAGGTGGTGAGACTTTCAGCTTCCATGCCTGTGTTTACATATGTACTTTCTGCCACAGATATGATGCCCCAGTAAAACACTGACCTGGGAAAGAGTTACATGTACTGTGTTGTGTCTACAGCAGATGTCCAATAAAAATGCATTAACAAAGGATGGAGTTACTGTGTTTTATCTCCTTTACCTCTCTGTGCCACTTTGACACCCTTCACTGCAAATATTTATACTCACTGTGTTTTAATAAGTTTCCTTTTCTTAAATTCCTTCATCTTGGAGTCAGAGATTTCTGACAATTGATGATCCCTTATCTTCGTCAATGCAACTTGCACATCATCTTGTACCTTCTCAGTCTAACAAACACAAAATCATTATTTAACACATACAATAGAACAGAAAAGAGTTAATATCCAAGAAAAATCTCTACACTAAAATTCATTTTTATAATCTAGCCTTTTGGGTGCTTCCTGCCACACAAATGGTATCTAGTTACTGGCAATGAGTTTTAAGATTACTTAAAGGAGCTGTGTCATGAAATTCAGCCAAATTTGGAAATTACAAAATGCCTGTTAAATTAAGAGAAACATAAAAATAACCACTTACAACTTTAAAGGAAGGTTAAAATAACATAACAGAAACAAAAAATGCCACGGATGGGCAAAACTGAAGAAGATTGAAACGGATTGAAATTAGGTTTTTGAAAACTGTTCAGCGTAACAGTTTTTCAAAGTTGATCCCTGCTGCTAGCAACTTCAAAAATAATGCTCAGGAGACATATTTGTTTGTCTCGAATTTTTGATTTTGTCATTTACATATAATTTCTTTGCTTACTTTAAGTTCCATGGCAATTGAGGGCGAGTACCGTAATTGGCAAAATTAACCAAAATGGACTGGACTACCATGACACAGCCCCTTTAAGCTCTGTAGCTCTTTCCTCACCTTTCTTTTTACCCTGGGTCCTCCTTCAGCACTTTTATCCACCTGAAGCCACCCAGCTGACATGGCTTTACTGAAACCAACATTAGCATGTGGACCAAGGTTCTATCAACAATAGTAAACAAAAGTAAAGGCAGGACACATTAAACTGTTTATAATGCTGTTAATAAACAACATTACTGATGTAGATTTATTTATGGAATAATAACTGCAACCAGCGTAATACACCAAGCTACACCTGTCCGAGAGCCCATCTAAGAGGAGTGGTGAATGGTAGAATCTGATAAGCTGAGACCTTCCTTAAAAACTGAGACTTGCATTGGAAGGTTCAAAAATCTGTTAACACAAAGAGAACTCAAAAAACTGTACTTCAACACTCATCAAAACAATTTTGAGATTTTGAGATCCAAAGATAATTTTCTGTGGCAGGATTAGCTCAGTTCGTAGAGCACTATTCTATTGAGCAGGAAGTTCCGGTTTCAATTCCCCAAACCAGAGCAATACTCATGGTCTTAAGATTACTGTAGAGAAGACACTGCCTGTACTAGACCTTTCCATAATATGGCTTGTCTGACCATATAGAAATGCCAGTTCCAACTTCAGTAAGCTGTGTAAGAACAGTTGTCTCACGTTAGTGTCCTCAATTTGATGTTAAATGTACATGGAAAAGGTTTTTAAAAATTTGGTAAATTTCAAAACATTATTGCAGTCTTGTTGGTTTTGGACCACACTCTCCCCTAACTTTTCACTTTTCCTCATAACCTCACTTCTTAGCCAAGGTAACATATTGGCAGGAATAAGAAAGTGCATGAATAATGATCACCAAAAATAAAATGTCGTGATCTTATAAAAAAATCGTCCTTAATATTTCAACTCCACATACAACCTTGTACCTTGATTTCTGACTGGGGTAAGCCTTCAGGTGGAATAGCTTGGAATACTAAAAACTCGTGGCTTCCCTGTTCCATGACTTCACTTCCTTCTTCTGTTAGAACCCAGCCTTCTGCTTGACGCTGTTCTACATTTATTACCTAATATATAAAGAAAAAGTATTGTTTATCATCCTCCCTTTGTGCTGTGTCTGGGAAATTTCAATGCTTTTACAAGCACTAGAACTATACATCCCTGGGAGCTTCTGCTCCATGGGTACATTAAAAATCCATCACTTAATGACAAAAGTTCACGATTCTACGACAGGAAGAAAAAAAAAAAAACAGACTAGGAGTTCACTGGCAAAACTTCTGAGATTTGATATGGGATCAAATGTTTCTGACAGCCATGATTTTCTAGGAACTGTTGCTACAAATGTATATTGGAAGTGTGTGTGTGTGGGTGGGTGGGTGTGGCGGGGGGTTATGGGGAACTTTTTGCACGAATAACATATTTTATTTTGTTTCTTGTAAACAAAGGGAGGGGAAGCAATGCAGAATTGTAGTCCCCCACTAAAAGCAGTTTCACCACTTTCCTGACCTTAGATAGGAAGGCTGTGGGTGGTGCGAAATCAGTGGAACAGATGAAGTAAGTAGGAGCGTTTCTGGTACGATGATCTTCCTTTCTTCAAATAATAGGTGCCTTGTTTTTTTTTAGAATGAAAGTCTGCCACCATATACTATAGAACACCATACCATGCACCCATGGATTCTCTACCGGACTAAGTTATTCTGCAGGCTAGTACAGGTAAAAAGTTGTTCAAATATTGAATAGTGCTATCCAACCTCAAATCACCATCCAGCGGATAAGTGTTAGGAAACCAATAATTGTGCTATCCAGTGGATAGAGATGTATATGTCAGATATTGTTAGCTACCCTTTGAACAACTGGCGCCAGATCAACACTCCGGGAACTAGCGAGCCACTGAGCCACTTCCGTTTATAGCCCCGTATTGTGTAGTTGCCCGTTATTGATCGCATGAACTATAATAATGATCCAGTTTCGAATTCAATAAATCTAAGTTCTTTGATTCGCATGCTTGATCCCTCACACAATATCCAGAGATCCTTCCCGGGGAGTACAAAGTTTTTTCTTAGTCTGGAAGCTTTTATATTAGAATAGCTTTCGAAACATAAACAATACGCTTGCCCCACTGTAGATAACAGACGGAAATGTGCACTGTACGTTCACTTACATCTCCAAGAGCATGAATACTTTTTACACTTCCAACAATGGCTTGATGGTCTTTCCCGAGTTCTTTGGCGAATTCAAATGTTTCAAGACTCCCTCGCTCTTCTAAAGTTTCCAATACTAACTTGTCCATTGCATGACTTCCCATTTTAAAGAAAAGAATAGCCAAGATCCAGACAGTGTTTCCTTCAAATGTTTCATCAGAAATGTGATTGAAGACATATATGAAGTAACTTTCGCTTTAAGTCGAAGCCGCTGTGAAGGAAGCAAATTATTATGAGAGCCCACGAATTCTCAGCAGACTTTCCCATTGAACTAAAACTTGATACATTTTGTTCGACATACATCACGTCTGTGGTAAAAAATTGAGTCAGCGTTTGGGAAAAATGGCGTTGTTATTGTTGTTAGACTTCTTCAATTTTCGCTTTCATGCACAAGGAACAATAGTCGAAGGTGTTGGAGATGAGGTGTTGATAGGTCTAGCGTCTACATTAGGACTTATCGCATTAGTCAGTTTACTATACAACACACAAGGAGGTCAGAGAAACATCCATCCTTCGCAAGCTGAAAATGTGCGTATAGTGCGTGACAGATTGGGTGTTGGGGGACAAGAAGGAAGTGATACTGCAGGATCCGAAGGCCCTGTATTGCCTGATCCGCCGCCTGTCACTTATTCTCATGACAGAATATGTCCTGTATGTCTTACAGACGCAAAATTTTGCACGACAACTAATTGCGGTCATATATTTTGCGGTATGTATATGTACGTTCTAAAACGACAGCTGTCTAGTTCTATTATTTTGTGATTTATTTTACATTCTGTCAGAAATCCAAGTACATGTTTGCTTGGTAATCTACCTGAACATGTAAATTTTACGTACTTACAGGAATCAGTTCGGTAAGAGGTTAAATTTAGGTAAAATTTACTTGATTAACAAACAACTCCCGAACATTTTTTCTTGTTTTGCCAAACATTTATACCCTCTGGTTAAAGTAATGGTGTGATCACTTTGCTTTAGAAGCTTAAGTAATTTCATGGCTCATGAATTTGGAAACTCATCTAAATTACAATGAGAATCCTTTCAACAACAAGATTCTTGATATATATCTTACTTATCAGATCGCTTATCAGCTGTATGCTTTAATTTGATCTGCATGCATGCATTAACCAAATGCAACTTTATTAATTTGGTGACACAGGTTGTAAGAAGGCAACCTATGTCCCATTTACAGTAATCCAGGTACAGGACTCCGGATTCCTTGTCAGTGGAACTCGGATTCTAGACTCCAATTAGCCTGCAAGCAAGCTCTCCATTTGGGTCTCCCTTCGCATGCCACTTGCGCGTGTACTTTTCATGATATCCCCCAAATGGAGAGCTTTCTTGCAGGCTAGGTTCCAATGGTTAGCAGTATTCTGGATTCATTGTGCTTAAATTTATAGGTTCCAAAGCCCAGGTTTCCAAATTCCACCAAAATTGTTTTCAGATAATTACAGAATCAGAATTACCTTACTTAGAGCAGCAACCTGTTAATGCAGAAAGGCATCTTACAACCAGGAGTCTTACAATCAGGGGTCTTACAACCAGGGGTCTTACAACCAGGGGTCTTACAACCAGGGGTCTTATGACCAGGGGTCTTACAACCAGAAGTCTTACAACTAGGTGTCTTACGACCATTAGTCTTACAGCCAGGGGTCTTACGACCATTAGTCCTACAACCAGGAGCAGAAGTCTTACACAACCAGGAGTCTTACAACCAGGAGTCTTACAACCAGGGGTCCTACCACCAGGGGTCTTACAACCAGGGTTCTTTACAACCAGGGGACTTAATGACCACGACTCTTACAACCAGGGGTCTCACAACCAGCAGTTTTACAACCAGGGGTCTTATGACCAGAAGTCTTACAACCAAGGCAGAAAGGCTAATTAAAAGTTTATAATAAAATGATATTTAACATTCTAGCTCCCTGTATTATAACATACTGGAGGTACGGAAGATGGCTTGGTGCTGTTAATTGTCCTGTTTGCAGACAGCAGGTAAGAAAAAAATTATAACAGTCACTTGAAATCCTCAATCATAGGGCAATATTGAGGTTAGGGGCAGCTAGAATTGACTAATGCATTTTATTAAAACTGAATCATTGGATAATGTCATTCTAGAGCTCTGATTGGCTTAGCTATCACGGTACATGAGCCATTATACCATGCTCTCCAAACATGGTAACTGTACGCATCTGCTCAAAATTAAAAACAAGCTGAAAATCGGTTGCTTTCACAAATATTACTGCTATTTTCTTGTAGTCCCCTATGTGCATGATTTGCCACTGCCCTACCAAACCAAAACCCCAGTTTAAAAACAACCCCCCCCCCCCCCCCAAAAAAAAAAAAAAAATTAAAAAAATTAATATCATGGACCAACAAGAGCATTCCTGCAAGAGATTGATTTGGTGGCATTTGGGACAGGCTAATTGAAAGATGATATGTTGTCCGCATCAAAATCATGTAGAAGAAAATATTTTTTTGAGTTGGTTCTATAACTAGATGGTGATTGTGCATGTTTTATAGTTTCAGCATCAGAGCTCCACAAGTTAAATACTATTTTAGAAGCCCAAAGCTCTGAGAATTTCTGTTAATACCTTGACAAGCCTAAAAATGCGAGTTACGCTCAATGGGGATGTGACAAATGGAACATCTTCCGCATCCCTCTCCCCCACCAAATGGAACATCTTCCTCATCCCTCCCCCCACCAAATGGAACATCTTCGTCATCCCTCCCCCCACCAAATGGAACATCTTCCCCCATCCCTCCCCCCTCCCCTTTGAGCTTTCAAAACATCTACCCTCTCATCTCTCATTATTTGTCACCAGGTAACAATCCTATTTTCAAATTTCTCTGATGAGGATAGAGCGTTACCAGAAGCTGTTCAATATAGACGTGAAATAAATGAATATAACAGAAGATATTCTGGAGTCCCAAGACCTGTAAGTACACAGGCTAAACATTTGACTTAGGGAGTTAAGAGACCTTGATCACTTCAACACTCTTTGGCCTCATTGTAAATGTGGTGATTTTCAGGTATGCATCCCTTTCAAAAGGTTCTGTTCAAGCTTGCATACACTTTGAAGTTGCAACAAGATCAAATTCCTGAGATCTTGTGATCTGTAATGGGGTGATATAGTATACCGGTGATATAAATGAAGGGGTTACCTCCAAATGAAAGAGCTCTAGATCTGTTGGTTGTATCAATAGAGATTTTTCTTCAAGTTACCACTATAAGTCTTAATGATAGCAACCTGACAATAGTTTCAACTCAGTCAAGATAAAACAAGATTTAGCATTATAAAAAATAATATTGACTCTGGGTGTCTCAAGACAAAAACTGTTTATAATCAAAAGCTACATGCAAACGGATGCCACAACTCCCAACATTGTTGGAGCTAAATGTTTGACGGGTTTCAAACTTTGCACAACAACACGCAATAAGCAACATGCAACAGCGTGTGCAAATGGACGCAGCATGTAACATCCAACAATGTTGCATCCATTTACATGGGGCTAAAGATTACACAGGTCACTGTGTTTTTGATCACCCTTTCTCTGTCTCTAATGGTAAGCTGGTGATGTTGACAGTTGCCCCTGCGAATTTTGCATGGATGTCAGCGAGATGTTCCACCACCCATTCAATCAATCAACAGTTGTACCATCAATCACTCTAATCTATGTTACAAGTGCAGTCTTTGTCAAATGTAATAATCTAAGATTGAAATTGATACACAAATTATATTTAATTTTGCAGTTAATGGACTATATATATGATCTGCCAACACTTTTACGACAGCTGTTTAGAGACCTGTTTTCGGTTGGTGGTCTTGTCTGGGTTCTTCGACTTAGAATCATCTTATGCTTTTTTGCGGCTGCACTGTACTTTGTATCTCCACTGGACATTATTCCCGAGTCTGTGTTTGGATTCCTGGGTCTTTTAGATGATGTTCTTATTATTTTGCTACTGTTGGTGTACGTCACGGAAATGTACAGGAGAGTAATTGCAAATAGAGCAGAGGAAACAACGTGATTATTGAATACAGATTATCAAAAGGGTGAAAGACAAACTGTGAAACTTGCAGAAGACACTGTGTTATCAGCTTGATCAGAATGAAGGAAACCAGTTCTTGGAATGGTAGAAAAACACTGCAAGATTACAATGAAAGTGTGCAAAAAGGGTGATTGGAATTAGAGTCGAGAGAAAATGAAGCAGTAGACAATTATTACGCCAAAGAAACATGATTGTGATACCAAAACTGCTGAGAAACTACATGACCTTGCAGTCAAATAATATTAGTAGGTACTTCCCCTTCCCCAGGGGTGAATAAATATATATAAAAATAGACCTGCTTTTTATTTATTTTTTGTTTTAATGAAATAAATACACTTTTAACAAAACTTTCTGTTGAGTTGCCCTGAAATATTGCATTGCCATGTCAAAGTACAAAATTTGAAACCACTTTGCTGGGAAAAATCTGTAACATTTATGACAAAGATTCTCCTAGTTTAAAGCAAGTACTGAAATAATGTTTGAGAAAATCTGCTTTATTACTATTTAATTTACCAAAAACTCAATTTACTTTCTTTCTATCCAGCAGAACACAAAGTTCTCTAAACCAATTATCAACAGTTTAGGTACTTATCAAAACTGATAAATTGCACAATCAGGTATTTTAATGATCACAGACAATGCAGTTTGCTTACATTTTGGTTAAATATTAACTAAATTGTTTAATTAAAATTTTTTTCAAATCTGGCTGTTAAACATTAACAAAAGCATACCAAAAATGATATTATTAATATTGTTTTATGTAAAAAAAAATATCCTGGAAATTGACACCAATAAAAATAAAGGTGGTCTTTTCTTCACTCCAGGCAAAAGCTTGCACTGTTAAATACACAATCTTCCCCTTGGTTACTGAATGAGTCAATTTAAACAAACTTGTTTGGTTTTAAGCTACAGCACACAAACTCACAAACTGAGAAAGTTCAGGGCTGAGCTCTCACACTGCCCAGTGGCCCATACTTTTGCTCTTGGTTGACGAGGAACGCATAGTCTTTTTTCTGGCTTATTAACTGCAGCATACCTGGCCACTTTGAAGCTATACCCCTATAACAGTGGCCACGTGCTACAAAGTCTCCTATGCAAAGGGTTAGGGTTAGGGTTAGCCATGTGGTCATGGAGCTGCATAGCCCTGTAGCCATGTAGCAACATAGCCATTGTTATAGGGGTAAAGTTTTCAAAGTGGCCAGGTATTCTACAGTTACTCCTTTTTTTCATAGAAATGCTATGCTTCACAGGTTCAGAGCATTGGAATCCCTTTTCTTCTTAGAGTACAGCCTTTAAGTTCAATTGCTATCATCTGGTACAGCCATGTGTAGACTTTCATCAGGCATGCACACATTATTAGTGAGGCCCTTCTAGAGTGAAATTCAAACAAGCAACATGGCTTTTTAACCTTTCACTGCCAGAGTGCTTGATGGAGATTTGTAAGGTGACTCTAACTTTTCAGTCTGTGAACAAAATCCTATGATGTGACCATTCAAATGAAAGCTCTCTGCCTCTACTTTCACATGATGCCATTTGTTTTCCCAACTTTCACAACATGAAATTTGGAAATTTGGTCAAAATTTGCTTTTGGCTGAATTTGGCAGTGAAAGGGTTAAACATCAACACAAGACAACTTGAAATGGGAACAAACAACATAAAGATGGGTTAAATACCAACAGGGACATAGCCTACTCCTCAAAACGTGAAGCAACCACATTAAAATCCGCACTTTCATACACCCCCCTCCCCCCCACCACCTCCCTAAGAGGGCCTTTCCAATTAGTTTGACATTGTCCTATGAATGACTGGGAATTTTTAACAGCTCTACTCTTACCAACAATCCATCACAGGACTAGTCCTTCAGTTGATCATCTTCAACCTACTTTTGCCTGGTCAGTAATAATAAATTCTAACCATTTACAAAAATATATTTTGGCAAAATCAACCTAATTTTTTTATTTTCATTTCCAAAAGCTTAGGTATTTTGGTTCTTTGTATAAGTTCAAATTATGATTTGGTTAAAAAATCCACTTTTAAAAATATATTTATAAGGATAAAAAATGATGATAAAAAAGTTTCCATCCTTTCTAATTTTTCAATTTTCCTTGGCATTTTCTCCAAGCCGCAATGCAAATTAATCATTGTTTTAACTTAAAGCTAAAAGATTTACAGAGTAATACTAACGTAATACTCATATGTTTTGGTTCTAGGCCTTCAATAAATATTTTAAAGCTAAATATACATTTTGTCAATTTAACCCTTTCAGCCACAATAATTATCCAGTTACAAATTATCCAAACTGATCTCTATACATTTCCTTAAAGAATGAATTGAGAGAATTTGATAAAAGATCACAGCATTTTCTCTGTGCTGATCATTTTTTTAATTCTCATATCCTTTTCTCTTCACATTGTATGAATATTGTTAGGAGAAATTTCATGTTGGTCACTATTGGCACTTACAGGGTTAACTTCCCCCTGAATGCTACATTCTTTACATACCTTGGTATGGTACAAGTTCTTTTTCCCATCGTTTTTGAACATACCTCTTGTTTTGAACTGCTACTCTGGCTAAGGATTATGATATCTTTTCAGAACTCTTTTCAAAATTTTATCACCAATAACTATTATTAATCACTCTATTAACTACACTATAATAATCAATCGTTAACCAAATATTAACCATGACATGTGCCAAAACCCTACAGATTTTACAAAAGTCACTTGAGTACACAGTAAAATGCTCTCTTATGAAGGGAATAAATACAGATGACTTCTGATCAAGTGCTTGATTCTCCTTCCAAGTAGCCTTGTAAACATGCTTGTCTATCAAAGGAAGAGTCTGAAATCAGATTAACTTTACAATAATAATGACAAGTTTGCGACTGAACACTCTTCATTATTTCATACAAAGACATCTTCAACAGCTACCTCTCTTGCTTGATGCGACTGACAAAAACCTGAAGTGAAACGTAATATTATTTCTGCCCTTGATTTTGGGAGTGGAAGAATCAAACTGGCACCCCATTAAACAAAGACGATATCCTCTGATGAATGCTGCTAAATCGGGGTCTCTCCATAGGGTCCATATTCCAGCAGCCTTGCATTACTTCATACATTTCCTTTGGACACTCCTTGGGACACGGGAGAATATCACCCTCGTTAACCAAGGAAATCACTTCTTCATCATTCATACCGTAATACGGCATCATCCCACTCGAGTAAATTTCCCACAGCACCACACCAAAAGACCAGATATCACTGTCTTCGGAAAATCTTCCAAAGTGAATGCTCTCTATAGGCAGCCACCTCACTGGATAAAGAGGCCTCTCATGTATTTCCAAGGAGTAGTAGTCACTGTTTGGCCCCTTCCAGGAAAATCCAAGATTGGAAATCTTGACAACCGTACCTTTAGCAATGATGCAGTTCTTTGTACAGAGTTCTCTATGAACGTACCCCCTCCCTGCAAGGTATTCCATACCATTTGCTATTTGCTTGGCAATTGAGATCTGATCGACATTTGAGAGCTTTGGTCTGGCATTACTCAAGTCCGTTTGACGATGAAGAGAGCATTGGCCCCGCCCAGACTCAATTAAAAACTGGTGTAAGTTCTCATCACTCTCACAAAACTCAAACACAAGGCATAGTGGGTGATGATCCACACAGACGCCAAACAAACTTTGAACATAGGGGTGGCTAAATGTAGTTAAAGCGATGGCATCTTTTTCGAAGTTCTCTTTTTCGGTTTCTGAGATGCGTTCTTCCCTGAGCAGCTTCACCATGACCAACAAATTTTTTTCATGTGCATCAGAATCAGCTTGAGAAATTTTACCAAGGAAGAGACGGGAAAATTTTCCTGGTAATGCAAAAGAAAACATCAGATTGATGAAAAACTTAATCCTTTTACCCCTATGCCAAAATAATATGGCTGGATTATTAATATTATTATTATTTTGTCAGTTTAACTTTTATACCTGTGGATGCAATCCTTCAGTGTTACCATTCAAATAAAACCTCTTTGGTAGAATTTTTGCATAGTTGTTCTAGTTATTCTAGTTAATGTGATGTACCAATGTTTTAAGATGCAGTTACTAATGTATCAGTCAACATAATTATTATAATGGAGATATCAACATTCCCCATTGGCCATGAGCAAACCCATTTACAAAGAATTCTCAGATTCTCTTTCAGCATGTCGCACAATTTAACGGTCCAGTTACAACCTTCAGTGTAATAAGAACATTGCTAGAAAACAAATTTCAAGTAAAAAACTAACCATTGCCTTGCCCGAGCTCCTTTATAAACTCCATTCGGCACCTTGGTACTTCCCAGCCCAATAGCTTTGGGTTAACATAATAGTTGGTGGCCTGTTGAAATATTGGATTACTTTGCAGCTTCTCCTCGTCAAGTGATGTCAAGTTTCGCAGTTTCAAATTGCGGCGACGGAAGATGATAAACATGACACCCACAATCACTAATACAAGGAAAGCTATAAATGCCAGTATGAGGAAAAATGTTGGGCCACCAAAAAATCCTTCTGACAGATCAGCTTCTCTCACTTCTTCAACTGAAAACAACGATAAATGCACTGACATGAATAATTTCAGCCATTTAACACTTAAACCGATAAGAGTGGCCAACATCTACCTTCTCCTCATAAAGCAACAGTGTCCATGCAATCAATCACAAAGTTTGTGAGAAAAAATAAAATGATCAAGAAGTACAAAAGTCCAGGATTGTTAGAATGGATACAACTCCTACTTAGGGTTAGTGTTAAAAATAGCAAGATTTTAAAACATATTAAGATCACTGAAGGGGAAAGCAGGTGGGGCAAAAAATTATTTTCTTACTGCACCAGAACAACCTCACTTGGCAAAGCACCCCAAAACCCTGAGATAATTTTATTATCTTCCCTGAGAAGAAAAATGAGAGCATTTCTCTAAAAAACATATCAGACAAATTACTACCCATTGCCTTGCCCAAGCTTCTTTACAGTCTGAGGTTTTACAAACACACCAGCAGGAGGATTGATTTGTAGTTTATTGGATAGGGAGTTCACACACTGACCCCCTCCTCATCTAAGAACTACAGTTTCTGTTCTCATTAGTGATAGAGACTGGTACATGTCTGTACTGTACCTTGAGCAGATGCTGTAACATAAGCTGTTCTGGTATCAATATCTTTTTTATTCTGTGCTTCACAACGGACGATCGTCTTATCTTTGGCCACCGTGAAGGTGAAGTAGGACACTTCATTCTCATCTTCTCGCATATTTTCATAGTATTTGCTCTTGTCAACCAACCACCTAATCAAACAATATTTTTTATTGATTAAACACACAGCAAACACAAATAAGTCTTAAGTTTACTGGTAGCCTGATCCCTAAAAATGGGGAGATAAATATTAAATGGGGAGGGATGCACACCACCCTGTTGCTGTTGTCAATATAATTATGATTGTTTATACAGTCATGTATATGTTGTGGTTCAATTTTATCCCTGGTTAAAATTTTCTTTTCCTTTGTTTTGGGGTATGATAATGTATGACAATGGGTTTAAAACAAAGGGAAATAAAATTCAAACCAAGAATTAAATTGAACCACAACATATATAACACATGTAAAATAACAATCTGGCCTCAGTTTTTCTCAACGTCAGATATTTTGTTCAATTTGTATAAATTTGTTTAAGATTAACTGGGGTTACACTTAGAGATACATCTAGGACAAAGACAGCATTGACCCTTTTTCATTTCCATTCCTATCTCTCAAGCCGGCTTGGAATGGATCAGGGCTAACACTTGATCACAAAGTTCTGTAACCATAGAACACAGTGGAATCTGTGACTATACAAGCAGAGACCAAAAAAATCCCTATTTAATTCAATATACCTTATGGTTGGCTTAGGATGTCCCTTTGCTGCACACGTCAATGTTACATTGACCCCTAATTCTGCAGTCACATTCTGTGGGGGCGTGACAATCTCTGGTGAGAACCATTCTGGCTCAGAGGGTGCCAGTTGGAGTTCTGCTGGGTTCTCTGTTGGAGGGGCTTGAAAAAACACACAGAAAGCAGAGGAAAATTTTCAATACCTTATAGAATATGTGCAACAACTGAATAAAGAAACCTTATTAGCCCTATTTTGATGTGCTATAGAGTTACTATCACTTTACCGCCACAACTTCAAAATAGACAAAAATTTGTTTCAAAAAGACTATTTGCAAACACTCTTTGTACCGTTTGTTTGACAGAAACAGGGTTTGTACTCTTTTTAGCTCTTCAAATTCCAAGACTTTCCAGGAGTTTTTCCATGACCTTTCCAAGTTTTCCATGAGCTTAGGTTTAGCTGTCAGTCTCAAAAATGTTTAAAACTTTCCTTGTTTTAGATTATTTTTTGATCTTAAACAGTTCAACAGACACATTAAACTCTGGTGTATACAAAAATGTGTGCTGTTCTCTTAATTACTCCTCTTTCTCTTAATGTAAATTGCTCCCCGCTTTGCCATCTGAAGTATCCTGAGAAGTAGCTAATCTACCCACAAAACTTTAATTTTCCATGATTTTCAAGGACTAACAATATTACATTCCATGACCTTCCAGGCCTGGAAAATGAAATTCTTAAATTCCATAACTTTCCAGGTTTTCCATGACCTGTACAAACCCTGAGAAATCTATTTCCAAGTAGTTCTTTTTAGAACGCTGCATACCCGGCATGCAAAGAAAGTCGTGTCCGATAGCCCGGGGCTAGTGAAGTAGCTTTCGGGCTAGTGATTTTTGTTCTTAACTTGCCCGACGGGCAAGTGCTGTTTTTTGGTGAAATTCAAATTACAGAAGAATTGTAATCAATCCTGCTAATCAAAAAGGGTTGGGGGGCTAGTTGAAATGATTTGTGGGCTAGTACATGCTAGCTACAGCTTGCCCGAATGGCAGGCTGTAAAACTCACTTTCTTTGCACCCTGATACCAGTGAAAATAATAGTAGGAGCAGGAAAAAGTTAATGGGGTCACATTATTGTATCAGCATTCAGACAAAGAAAAATCAATTACTCATACTAAGTGGGGGAATTATTATTTGAAATCAACATTACCAAAATTGTAATTTATAAATGGCGATGACATTAATATATTAATATACAGTGCAGATGTTACAGGTCAAAATTAAATTAAGGTTAAAATTTTTTAACCTAGTTTGATTTTCCATTTCCTTTGTCTCCTAGCCCCAATTCATGAATAATTTGGGCTAGGAGACAAACTAAAATTGAGAATCAGCCTAGGTTAAAACTTTTTGACCTGATATTTATTTCAATGCTGCTGCTGATGCTGATGATGAAAATGGTGGCTATGATAACTGATGAATGATGATAGGTCATAAAATAGTGTCAATAATTTACTTACATAGAGCAGTTATTGTAGCAATCTTCGAATCCACTCCAAAGCCATTATCAGCTGTGCAATTGACATCTACAGTTTTGATTACTTCCAGGTTTAGTTCTGAAGTGAGATTGGTTCTGGTGGCCAAAGAGCTCTTGTCTTGCCCGTTAACATGCCAACTAATGACAAGAATAAACTATTAATATAATTATGATAAAAGAATTAGCCCAGCAGGATATGGTTTGCAGGGTGTTGAGTCTTAAGCAGTGTATACAATTTCACCACATAGCATCTTTAACAGGTGTCTTTTGGGACTGGTAAGATCAGTTTACATGTGTGGCAACTACTTTTTCTTAATAAATAAACAAAACTAATTATCTGATCCTGAAGGCTAAGTGAATAAACCAGGGTCACAAATAAGGGTCTCATGTATTAAAATAGATTTTCATCGTGAAATAAACAGATTTTGTCATAAACAGGTCAGGGTTTCTAGGCCTTGGCAGAACAACCCAGGGTGCAAATAAAGTCATTTCTAAAGGTTGCCATTCGGGCAAGCTGAAGCTAGAATATACTAGCCCAAAAGTCATTTCAACTGGCCCTAAAAACATTTTGATGAGCAGAATTGATTTCACAGTTCTTCTGTAATTTGAATTCCTCAAAAATCTTCACTTGCCCATTGGGCAAGTTAAGAACAAAATTCACTAGCCTGATAGCAAAATCCACTAGCCCCGGGCTATCACAAAATACATTCTTTGCACGCTGACAACCCTACCAAAACTTCCCTAGAGTGTCCCCTCCCCCTTGGGAGTAGGGAGGTGGGTCCTACTTGTGGGTACCATGGATACCATTTTGCCCATTCCCCAGAAGAGAATGTGACTAGCTTACCTTATTTTTGGAACAGGGTCTCCCATGACCCCACATTGTAAAACAACATGGTCACCTATGTTCACAATCATAGAAGATGGACCTTCTGTTACCTCGGCTGGAACTAGGAGGCAGCCACAAGATGATTAGTTTCGATTCTCACATGTAACTGGCTTGTGAATGGACAAGTTTAACTAAGCCCAATGGGACAACATTCTGCACTACACATTGAAGAAATAAGAACACGAACCCTTTCTACAGAAGATTTGATTTACTACGTCTGCAAATTTTGGAACTTTTGTTTATTTTTTACATGTTTGGTCAAAGCGACAACCAGACAACAATTACAAATAGATGCTGTGAGAACTGTATTTTAAGCTGTAGCATAGAGGTTCACCCTATTATGGACAAGGCAAGGGCCAGAGTATAGGTCACTGTTTATCTGAATGCACAAAATCACACCAAAATTTTCACCCAAATTTTGTCCGAAACACAAAAGCATTTAAGGGTCTGACCAACAAGGGCGACTATTTCTGAGGTCAGTTTGAATTCCTTGTGATAAACTAATGCCCACCAGTGGGTTGCTTGAGCTCAATGACATCAGCCTGACAATCAAAGCATTTTCATTAACCCTTTAAACCCCAAGATCAAAATTTGAATTCTCGTTTGTTGCCCCAATTCATTTCCTACAGAAGTAGTGGGGAGAAGTTGATAAAATATCAAGCAAATTCATCTTGTGTGATCATGTCCGTAATTCTCATGACCACTCTGTTTTACAAAGCATTGATATTACAAGGAGAAATTTGATGTTGATCACTCTTAGGGCTTAAAGGGTTACTAGTAAATGCATTACCTTTCACTTGAAGAACACCATATGAGGACATGTTTTTCCCCATGTCATGATCATTCACTGAACACCCATACACTCCAGCATCATTTTGGCTCACTTCCCTCAGCAGCAGATGGGATCTTTTATTAGCAGTGTTGGATCTGATAGAATAGCCCGGTGCATTGCCAACTAAAACTTTGCCATCTTTAGTCCAAACAAATTCAATATTACCACTCCCATCATTAATCTGACAAAGAAACTTTACTTCTTTTCCAGGCACCACTGTAAAATTCTTCAATGTTCTTCTAAAACTCATTTCCTTCACAATTTTAATTGGAACAGCATTGTAAGTAGCCTTAAATCCTCTGTAATTCAATGAGCGATCTGATCGAAACACAATTAACATTCTTTTCCCAGTTGATTCCACCTTAAACGGATCCATTAATTCACAGTATTTTCCAAGGAGAGTCGCTGAGCTGTTTCTTCCATCATAAATTTTCATATTATCGCTGCTGCAGTCATATGTATTTTCTAACACAAAGTCAAAAAACTGCAATACAATTTTGTATCCCTCTGGTACTTGAATAAGCCAGGAGCACCGAGAATGACTTGGGTAGGGTTTTGGATAATTTGGAGTGAGAAGCTCACCAGTTTTTCCTGTCAGTTTTACTCCTCCACATTTGCCATCTGCAAAGAGAAATTAACTTTATTGGCCAAAATAATAAAATGTTATTTTTTATCTATTATTTTAGTAATGCACCTATCAATGTAATGCCGGCGGGGGGAAAGGGCATGGGGTGGGGATTTGACTGTCTTTGTTGTCCCTGGGGTAGGGCATTTGACTGATCTCGTTCTCCCGGGGGAGGGGATATTTGAATCTTTCTTCACCCGAAGATGGTTTTTATTAATAGTACATGAAATTAAGGTGGTCATACTAAGAGGTTTCCATTTATGACAACTGTTTCAGAGGAAATGGTCCATAACCACTCCCACTTCTTCAGCTCCTCAAACCACAACTCAAGAGATCCCACTTAGCTTTCATACTACCCTTGACTTTTACACTTAATCCTCTCACTCCATGAAATTGCCAAAGTCAACATTCCAGCCAAAATCCAAATTTCATTTTAAAACATACTGAAAAACAAACAGCACTGCCAGAGAGTTTTTTGTTGGAATGGTCACACTACTGTAAGATTTCAGCCACAGACTCTGAGGGGAGAATCACTCCTACCACTTACTTTCTTAATTGAAGCATGAAGGGTGTGAACGGGGGGGAGGGAGGGTAGCTACATGTAGGATCTAAGACCACCCTCATTTAACCCTTTAAGCCCCAATATCCACATACAAATTCTCCAAACTGATCTCTATACATCTCCTTTAAGAATAGTTAAGAGAATTTGATAAAAGATCAAAGTATTTTCTCTTAGGTGATCATTTTATTAATTCTCATAACCTCATCGCATGATAATGTATGGATATTGTTAGGAGAAAATTGCTGTTGGTCAATATTGGGACTTAAAGGGTTAATACATTATTGAATGGAACTACCTTAAAAGTAAAAAAAGGGAGGGGATGTAGGACTTAAAAAGAAGGGCAAGTAATTAAAGATAGTTTTCTTCTGCTTAAAAAGGAGGTGCTACATAGCATACATTTGTGGTACCTCAATTTACTTTATTTTTTAAAAACGTGTTCACAGTCACAGTGTTAATAACCTTTGTATAAGAATAATTGTTCATTCCTTGGTTAAAGCAAGTTAGTGCACACGAAAAACTCTGGCGCAATTTTTTCACACACATCTGTACACATATCAGTTATGAATTCTGCCCTGGGTTCATAATGGGAGAAGAGGAATAAGAAAACTGACATGACTCCTCAGACTAGTTTGACAAGGTTAAACATTCATGCCGGGTGTCATATCAAGTTAACAACACAACAAAAGGCTTTTGTATCAAGACAGTGCTGCATCTTAAACAGGAAGGAAGTATTTTTACAAGCTGCTTAAGCTAATATCATCTATCAGCTCTCTTGAGACCCACCCTAAGGAAACTTGTGGAATTATACAGGAAAAAATAAGAAAGCACACACGTCCACTGCACCATACATGGAAGAAAAAAGGCATTCTTGATAATGGAAATGGCTATCAATAGGAAGTTTGTATTTGGTCTTGAATTTTTTAAGTCCCTTGAGGTCGTAAAAATAATAACTATTTATGTACAATACCAGTGTACAATGAAAAAAGGAAAAACAGGGGTGTAGCCAGCCCACAGACCTGTAGGTCCCGGCCTACAAATTTTTGGTTTGATCACTCTACCTCTTGTAATAAATTATGCGTTGTTGGGGTGAGCTAAAAAGCTTAAAAGCTCAAAGTGTTGGTGAGGTCAGTGCATACTAGTCATGCATGCAATTTCAGGATGTGTGGAAATGAAAGTCAGCCAGGCCTACAACTAGTCGAAAAGCTGGCTATGCCCCTGAAAACTTCGAGGGTTGATTTTCAAAAACATTGAAAACTTCATTTTCTTGGTTTCTGACCCTTCAAATAAAACAGCAGGAATGAGAGAACTTCAATAATGACTGACAAATTAAAGTCAAACATTAACAGGAATTACCAGCAGAACCATGAAGGAAAAACAAGTGCAGAGAAATGCAAAACCCCCTTTTACTCTAGTCATTACTCCACGTAGTTAAGAAACTGCATGATTAGGATTACTTTCACTATATCAGCGGTTTCAATAAACTAAGGAGTAGGCACTTGGTTTGAGTGGAGTAACCAACATTTCACAAGGTTTGAAATTCTCTCGTAACTTAAATTTAGGGAAAATTACATAAAATCATAGTTAATCAAGTGGAATGGTTATGAAACGTGACCTGTCAGACTCTTTTGTTATATGTTTTTGAGGACCTCAACGTGCTCAGTGTCCAAAAGCTTCCCTACCATTTTGATCATATTGACCAATAACAACATTGCATTAATTTATTCCGTCACGATTTGCCAAAAGAAAACAAAGGATTGTTCACCTTCAGGGAACCTCCAATATAAACTGTTGTTTTTATAATTAATGTTTACTGCTTTTCATACCCAGTCTCCTCTTATAACTATGTTAAAATCAAATCAATTTTACTAGTTTCATTGTGTTGTGGTAGGAGCTGGTTGACCACAAAGCCAAATAAAACCCATTTAAACATATTTTTGGTTCGGTCTCTTTGTCCATAATGCCACCACGCCTAAGGCAGGGCTAATGGAGATGTAAAATAAATCTCTGACAAAAAAATTCATTCACCAACAAAATTAAACTTGGGTTCCCAGTCCCGCTTACATGCAGTCAGTGGATAAAATCCTTACTTGGCCATCCAAACAACTGTCTTAGAATGTACACTTTCTTAAGACATCATATCTTTGTCCATTTTTATAGACAACAACAAAGGAATTTTTTCCATGTTCTTGGAAGGAGGAGTGAATGATTCAGTCTTTAGAATTTCTTGGTTTTAATTCAATCAAAGCAGATTAAATGTGTTTTCATCAGCACATGTAGTTGTCAACAAGACACCCTTTCTGGCAATGAATCTCTAACATTAAATAATGTGTGATATAATTAAATTACAAAGTACTTGAACCACCAGAAAGTATAAACAGAAAGAGGCCAAAATTTTACGGCTTACAAGGAGGGAATGCGGGATAACTAATGAAATAACCAAAGGAGCGGTTCTACACCACGTGTGTTCTACACCACACGTTTTCAACGTGTTTTTAGGTGTGCCACAACAATATTTATAACTTCAGATTATAATGATATTATATTTCACAAAATTATATTTTGACCTGTTTTTCCCATGGCCTAGTACAATCAATCCATCTATCAATGATACAATAGAAATTACTCATGAAATTTGAGATATTTCTTTTTAGAATTAAAGTACCAACAAAATATTTGTCCATCTTCCACTGTTACCACTCAGACAAAATTAATACCGAAAACAACAAGCATCACAAGAATACCACTTAAGATTTGATTCACAGATTCAATAACTTAAAACAATATCTATGTGTTTACATGACTATGGGTTGGTTCTGAAAGTGACAGGATTAAGCAAAGAAAGATTAACCTGATTGTGGGAATTATAAAGAGCTGACTCCCATATGTGGTATTTGCAGAGTAAACTAGCGAACTAAAAAATTCAGTCAACCAAAAAATTCAGGGAATAAAACGTGTACATATTGCTTGGACGTTTGCTGATGGCTATAAGCTATAAATAATTTTTAAGCAGTTTCTTTGTTAAATGATTTCTTTTTCATTTTCCATCCTTTAATAAATTCCTAACTTTCACTATTTGGAGGCTAATTTATATCATATTCAGTCAGCTGACTAATTTTGTCCTTTGGACTTCTTTTATACGATTAAATTTATAAATATACACGCCTCTAAAAACTGCCCCAGGAGATATTGGTTGGCTGCCAATCGAGAATCTCACGCAACGTAACACGTCGTGTAAAGAACGAAATGACCGCCAAACAAATCCATCTTTAAGTCAGAACTGTTTTGATCGAAAAGACACATGTATCATTTTTGTAAATGGCTGATTCTCTCTTTCTTGGAAACCACAAGCTTTCTAAAAAGACTGTACACTTTTTTATCGCACATTACACGCGCCGGTTAATTGAGTCAAAGATACACTTGATTGAACACATAAGTTAAGATTAGTCTTGCAGTATGATATATAGAATTTTCTAATCTCTATTCTTACATTCTATCTGATTCTACATGATATAATTGACAATGACGGTCAGTTTTATTAGTTAGAGTCTAATAAAGATGACAATTAAGAAGAAAATGTTAGACAGAAATTCTAACATTTTGGGAAATCACAGCCATCAGAGTGTAAAAAATTCCATATTCCAAATCTACAGATTAATTAGACGAATCCTTTTTTCTAACCATTGTTTCTAAACCCAAAAGTAAATGCAAAGAATTGGATCACGTCAACTGTTGAAGTAAAAAAACTGTGTGTTGTTTAATACACACAAGCCCCATCTTGTCAGGAAATTCATTCAAAATCTTTTCTTTCAGCGCGGTTAGGCTGAAGGGTGCCTGTAAGCCGTGCTGTGAATAAACCCCTCAGCACATTTCTAAAATGCTCACTAACTACATCGACAAGAATTTAGAATACATAAAATCATACTGACCTGTCAATGAACCTGAAAAACTTTCGAGTAGTGATAAAAACATGAAAAGAAACAGCACTGCCCTACAAGAACTACTTGGGGCCATTGATGCGTTACAGTCGTGGCGTTTCGCGCTTGTCTTCAATTTTCTTCAAGTTCAAAGCTGGCGTTCTCAAGTTTCCCGTCTTTCAAGGCTGTAGAAATGGACCACGTTTAGATAGAGAGTTTGTGGCTTCTGCAAAATATGAACTAGCGAGTTCAAATCTACACGCAAATGAAGCCGTCATTGCCGTTAATGGCCATTCCTCCCTGACCAAACGGAAATGTCTCCATTTACGCGGTTTGGTGGAATCCGACACCGACTGTTCCACCTTGTCCCAGCAGAGTGACGTGTTTCCTGTCATTTGTCAAATTATGGCACAATCTTCCGGAAAATATTTTCCAGTATATTTTGTGTACGATAAATGACAGGACTAACGTTTGTAGAGTGCCACCGCTGGTTTTTTCTGAAGCCTCGATGTGATAGGATTCAACATGGCCGATGACGGCGTCTTGCAGCTGTCATATTTTCTCTGCAATATTTGCAGCGTTTAAGATTCTTATGTTTGCTTGCAATGGTATGAAAGACTATAAATTATTTCTGGTCTTCAGTGCTCTTTCCCCCTTTGATTTCTCAGCTTAATGTACGCTGAATTGTATACTTTTTAGAGTCTGTACATGTACTTTAGGTACAAACGTGGTACTGTATTACTTTTCCTCGTTTTAGAGCAAGCAACACAAAGGCAGCATCTTAGTGAATGGTGACGAACCAAAGAAATTGTCATTTGAACCTGAACCAAGTAGTTCATCACAAGGGTATGTCAACTTTTTTGTATCCTTTAGCTACACGCAGCTGTGCAAATATTTCTGATCTTAATTTTGAACTTTGAGTCTTGGTAACAGTGTTAGGCAGTTGTTTAAAAGGAGAGTGATACATGTAGCTTGGCAACTGTAATAGTCACACATGAAAACTTTCTCAAGGATTTCCTAGATTATTGCTGTGCCATCACTGCTTGTGTGATAGCATGGACTACAGGCTCCTTGAAAAAAATAAATACCAGGAGTTTTGAGCCTACAGTTACTTTTCTGAAATGACAATGTGACTATCACGAAGCTCGTCAACTGAAGCACTGAAAAGTCTAGATTTGAAGTCACTGTCCACAAGAAGGTTTTTTCATCGCTGCATTGCAATCCACAAGTGTCTTATTGGAGAAACCGATTTCAGCTTTAATTTTACTAAAAGTCAAGCTGTTCATTCATATAATACAAGACGCTCTAATGATATTCGCTTACCCCTACCCAGAACAAACTGGGGTAAACAAACTTTTATTTTTCACGCCGCGAAAGACTGGAACAGCCTTCCAAATGATTTAAAAGAGTGTAATATTTTATCTATTTTTAAATCCAAGTTAAAAACTTTTTTAAAAGATCTCAGCTAATTTTAAACCTTGATGTTTTTTTTTTTGTATAATCGATTTTAAGATTTTAAATTTTTAAATTTGTTTTACTTGTAAACATATTTTACTTTTTTCGTAATTATTAATTAATTAGTTAGATTAATGCATGAGGGCCCCACTGAAAACCGCCTTGGCGAGTTGGGCTCCCTCTATAAATATTATTATTATTATTATTATTATTATTATTATCAAAAAAGTAACAGGCTTATTGAGAAATGGAGCAAGTTGGAATAGACGATTATTATTTATTACATCTGAAGGAACCTGAATAAAAACTTTGCTGGAGACATGATGGTTACTGTCAATTTTATGGTTACCTAAGGTCTCCAGTGACAAAAAAAATACCAGGAGTCTTAAGCCTACAGTTACTTTTCTGAAATGACAACGTGACTGTCAAAAAAGTTACAGGCTTATTGAGAAATGTAGCAAGTTGGAATAGACAATTATTGTTTATTACATCTGAAGGAACCTGAATAAAGACTTTGCTGGAGACATTATGGTTGCTGTCAATTTTATGGTTACCTAAGGTCTCCGGTGACGAAAACAGACTGCTGTCATTGTCATCATATACATGTACCATATTTTGTTGTCAATGAGGTTCATTTAACTGCATTACACTTAGTAGACTTATTACTTGACTATACCCTTAGCTCTTCAGAGACACAGCCACATCCAGGAGGTAATCATAAAGAACTAAATTTGTCTTGGAAGAAATTACACACTGGAAAAAGCAAAGGGACAAATACCTTACTCGCTGGACCAAAGGTAATAAACAACACTTTATTTTAGAAGACATAGTATGGAAGTGGTGAAGGAGTCATAGAACACCTTGCTTCCGTCACTGTTTGTTTGTTCCGTGGACAGTATTTCACTTTACTTGCCATCTACATCCTTGTCATCTCAGTCCCTGGTGTAAGTCTCTGATGATCTAATCCTGGACTGTGCTCTTGATTGAAAACTATTAAGTACTAACATGTTTTTCAGAAACGTAATGCATGGATCTCATCGTCTTTTGGTGGCTTTGGTGAAGATTTAGTTTCACAAGGCAAGCCCAAGAAATCAAGGCAACTGCAAGGTAGCCTTGACTCCTCTTTTAGTGTAGGTAAATGAATGGCATCCTCTTGTAGTCAGTCACGTCACCATTGTATGTTAGCTAAGTTGTTCTTATTAAGAGTTATCCCACTGTTACATTCACTCTATTAATTGAGCAGGTTACAGCCAGCCTGTTCAGAGAAAGGTCAGAAAAGAGGAAGATCTTTGGTTGGACAAGTATAGGCCAAAATCAGAGGTACAGTAGATTTAACCCTCAGTATCACTCCTCATGATTTTGTTATATACATGCATGCACATGTATATGGAAAAGTCAGGGTTTGTACGGGGTCTTGAATTCTTAAAAAATTCTTGAAATGTGCCCAGCAATTTTTCAGACCTGGAAAAAGTCTGGAAAACAGAGATGAAGTCTTGAAAAATGGTAAAACGTCTTGAGGGGTTTTTTTTTTTGAAAGCTCCAACAGGTGCTTTCTAAGTGAAATTTTTTTGTTTGGTCAAATCTTATTCAATCTTACCTGTACGTTTGCAGCGAATCATGAAAAAAGCTTTGTTCCTGCGTTTCTTTAACGTCTCTACTGGTCACCTACAAGTATTTGATAACTGTGAGTCTGGAAAATGAAACTATTGTTTTGGAAAAAGTCTGGGAAAAGTCTTGAATTTTGGATCCAAAAATCTGTACAAACCCTGAAAGTACAAGTCCCCTAAAAAATTCAAATCTATATCTAAGTCCCTGGTACAGGATAATACTGATGATTCAATGTCAATAAAAATGGACATTCTGTTGAACCACAACATCCAATAGTCAGTTACTTGTTCAAGCATTTAACAAGAAAAATTAAACTTAAAAACGTTACTCGACATTTAAATGTATCACACATCTGAAGTTTGAATAAATTAGATTGTATTAATTTGCGCATTATTCAAACTTCAGCTCTTTAAACAACTTTGAAACTCAACATTTCTCACTCTTGATAATGATGTGTGATACAAAGAAATTTAAATCAGTGTTTTTATGTTTAATTTTTCTTCTTAAACCACAACAATTTAATTTCTTTCAGGCTGAACTTATTGTTCATAAGAAAAAGGTAGCCGAGGTGCGTAGCTGGCTTCTTGATCATTTGACATTTAAAAAGGTGAGAAGATAATAAAACATTTCAACTTAATAGTTAAGGAATATTATTATCATTGTATACCAAAGAGCAGGGTTGTCAGAATGTTTTGAAGAAGACGGCTTATTTAGACGCTCTGAAAAGCTGTTTTCTGCATTCTCCAGGCTATTTTCTGTCCAAAATTACCAAAAATCGAAAGTGAATTATAAGGTGAATTACCGAGTTTAGGAAGCACATTAAATTTAACTGTGAGTGACACATAAACACTTGCTATAGTTTTCAGCAGATGTTTCTTAACCAGTCCAGGGATATTTTATTTAAAAAACACCATCTGTAAAGAAATGCCAAGCAGATTAGCCGGCCGGTACTAACCAACTAGGCGGCAATTTTCGCTGGCAGCTGGCTACTTTCAACAACCCTGCAAAGAGGGAACAGAAAAAAGTCCCGTCCACTTTTCCTAGCTCTAGAAAAGTAGATTTTCTTGCTGGGCAATCGTTAACTTCTGCCATTGTAACAAAGCCTACCAATAACCCACAGAACCCTTGCTAACAGTGCCACCTGACTTAACACCTTAAAATTGTCTTGTTTTGTTCTAGCATTCCAGTGCCTTGTTACTCCTGACTGGACCAGCTGGAGCAGGCAAAACTGCAACTGTCCATGTGTTAGCCAGTGAACTGGGACTTGAACTTCAGGAATGGATTAATCCTGTCACTGATACATTTAATGAAGGTAACTTAATTGCTGTTTCCTGTTTGTCTTTAGCCCTTAGTGAAACCGATATGTGCATGGCACAAGTTTTATTTAGCCCGTAAAACTTAAGATGCCACGCTAAAATAGACATCCATTAAAAAGAGTTATGAAAATGGCAATTTTCATCAGTACTGTGATAAAGACATTGTCATTGCTTGCTATTTTCTTTTTATCTTTCTTTAACTTTCTCCATTTCATCTCACACAGCCCTGAGCAATATCTCACTCTCACTGATACCATACTCTGCAATATTTATTTGTACCCCTTTAATGAGATGACGACCATCCCCCTTTTTATATGGGAGTCCCCCCTTCCTGGCATTACATCTTGTTTCTGGAAAAACCAATCACTGCAGCGCCTTGCCCTGCTCATGCACACTTCTTCTGTAAAGATTATTACAAATACTGAAGCACCTAAAAAGCCAAAATGGTCAAATTTCCCATTATGGAAAGACAGGATCAAATAAAATTTGCAGGATACACCAGCGCAAACAGAGCCTCTTCGATAATCATTGATTTTTGTGCATTTTGGCAGACAGTGGGTTCTCTAACTGGAGAGAAAACAGGCAGTCCCAAGTAAAGCAGTTTGAAGATTTTATTCTAAGAGCTAACAAGTATCCCACCCTATCAATATTTGGTGGAAATGACAATCTCACTGCTGTCAAGAAGATTATTTTAGTAGAGGTACTGTGAGGACAAACTGTTATTTAAATGCATATAACATATTATTAACAGAATTAGGCAAGCATTTTATCCCTTTATTTTATAAATAAATGTGCTTCATGGAATTTAGGCAGGTCTAAACTTAAGACAATGCTGACCATTGGTCTATCACAGTGGGGTACTCTTGAGAAATTGTGGGGGAGGGGGGGGGGTGGTGGTGGCATACCTGTTGAAACCCTTATTGTATCTCAGACCAAAATCTGTGAGTTTTTCCTACCCCAGCTATTTTGGACCTGTATCAATTCTACAAGCTGATCCCAGACAAACTAGAAAGCCAGCAATTTCAGAACAATTGGTGTCAAAGAGCATACCCTTTAGGGCTAGGCATACCTCATAATATCACTTACATAATGTAGGAACCACCCCCACCCCATCTTCCTTAGGAGCCTATTGCCTATAGGGTTGCCCTAGGCCTTGTGGCTTAATACAGAGCCACAGGACTGTGTGTTCGACAACAATCTTTCTTTATTTTCAGGATCTTCCAAATATTTTTTTCAGAGAGGTCTCAAGGCTGCATGAGGTTTTAAGGTACTTGCACACGCGTTACTTTAGCTGACTGTTTTACTGATGACAGTCTCTGATAATGTTTGAATACTCTCATGTCTGTACATTCAAAGGCAAATACAAATAAGCACAAGGGCTACCAAATCTTACAATAGGGTTAGTATATCCTTTGTCATGATGATTGCTAGTAAGTGGTGCATCATAGAGGCTGTGGATTTCAAAAACTCAAATCAAATTTGTTTTTGTTAAAAGTTCCCTTGATCATGATGGTCTATAGTGGTACCTGTCCACTGCTGTATTGTTTGATTGTGGGAATCCTCTACCTCTGGATATTTTATATTCATTGGGGCTGATGATAAGAAAACAGCTGTCTATAAACTTCAGATGCCATTGTAACTTTTAGGGACACTTGTTTATTGTTTTCATAATTATTTTCAACTTACAGCACCTACCAACAGACAGGTCGAAGCCCTGTTGTGTTCATTATCTCAGACAGCCATCATGGTGACTCGAATGTGCATAAGCTACTTCCTAAAGATGTTCAGTATAAACTGGGAATTCACAATATCAGGTATTTTTGTCCTGTCAGCTTGCTTGAGTCACCGGGTGGCATGAGAGCTCAAATTTTTACTGGTTTGTTACTTCTGATTTGTTTCAATTGTTTTTAAAATGATCTTAATATCTCACAAGTTCGAGATTGTTTTGGAACTTTTCAGTTTCAATCCTGTTGCACACACCAGCTTGGTGAAGACTCTGAACAGAATAGCATCACTAGAATCTCAGCAGGTACATTTTAGTACTGTATATTCAGTCATATTTTGAAGTCGAGTTTCACAACTGAGGACATGTTAATTTTAAAAATTACTTTTCATGATTTGCTTGTGCAGAATAAATCAACATTTTTGCCTCCAAGCAAGGAAACAATTGATCTGTTGGCTCAGAATAGTGGAGGAGACATCAGAACTGCCATAAATGGACTTCAGTTTTCCTGTTTAAAAGGTGAGAGAAAACTTTATTACAACGTTATTATTTAACTGCACTTTGTAAATTCCCCAGACTTTTGACAATAAATGAAAGACTGTAAACTGTCTCAAAATGTAACATTATTATTGTTGAACCATGTATTAAAAAGTGACTTATCCAATTTAGATTTTCTTGATGAGGTACATGTTAATGAACACTCAGTTAAAGTATTGAGTTTGTATGTAACCTAAATTTAAGGTTCATATTATTTCAACCTTGACAGATAAATCATATAGTTCAACGAAGAAGTTCAAACCAGGAAGAAAAGAGGAAAACAAACAAAAGAATTCAAATTCAAGAAAGTCAAAAACTGAAAAGACAAGCAAGGCCAGTCAGACAACCCAGTGTCTGGTTTATGGACACACGGATAGTACTGTAGAGTTGGAGACAGTCACACCCATTGGTGGTCGAGACACAGCATTGTTCTTGTTCAGAGCCTTAGGAAAAATCTTATATTGTAAAAGTGAGTGTTTTGTATTTAATAGGGACATGCCTCCAAATGTTTTGCAAGGGCAAAAGAGGCTTTAAAAATGTGCAATTTATATAGAGAGAAATGGGGTAGTTTGAAATCCCCTGAACCCACTTTGTCTCGAACTTTCCTGACAGTTACTGACATGTATTTTGTACACACTGTTTTTTAGCCATAACTTATTTAAAAATTTGAGGTGCATATTATACATTGCTCAGCAGTTGATGTTCATATGCCCTTCTGTACAGTAATATCCTGAGTCATCTAAGCTTGAACAAAACCGTTTAGAAACAATTGCAAACTCAACGTATCAATCTACTTGTAGTGTCAATTTTGATTTTTTTTTCTTCTTTTCCTGTAGGAGATCCAGCACTGTCTGATGCATCCCTGCTTCCCTCAAACTTATCACACCATGCAAGAAACCTCTTGACATTCTCTCCTGAGGTAATATAAAATCAAGTAATATAAAAGTAATATAAAATCGTCCCTGGTGTCAATTTGGGTGGGCTATAATTTGTTGTAACAATCCATAGAATGAAGACTGATGTACCTAATGAAGGGATCTAATGCAGGGAGCTTGCATTTGCTAACTGATGATGCAAGCTTTAAACTTTTATTGTACCAGTATTTAGTTAACATCTCTTTTACCCCTGTAAGTCGCAAGAGCAACCAACATTAAATTTCTTCCAACAATATCTATGCATAATCTACAGAAAAGGTTTTGAGAATTGACGAATTGATCACCTAATTAGGGGAAGAAAATTTTCTATATTGATCTTTAAAGAAATCTATTGATCGAGATCAGTGTGGAGAATTTGTATGTTGACATTGGGGCCTTAACAAAGGGTTAACACCTACTTTGTTCAACTTGTTTGTTTGAAGTTAATTTTTCTTTTGCTCTATCTAGGACATTTTGGAGAGGACTCATCTTACAAGTGACATGTTTAATCTGTACCTTCATCAAAATTATTTGGAATTTTTTTCTGATATGGATGATTTGGTAGGTGCAAACTTATACAGTCATATACAAGACACTTGCTTTTCTTTTCAATGGAGTGTTATTCGTGGTAGTTATGGTGACATTACCAGACTACTGACTAATATAATGGTAGAAAGGCACTTCTGTTTTCTTCGTTTTCTTTTCAGGCAAGTGTTTGTGAACATTTCAGTGGTGCAGACTTTATGATGAAGGAATGGATGGTAATGTTCTTCAGACTTTACCCAGTACCCCACACCCCTCCATCCCCAAACAAACTCCCTGCCTCCCAGCTATCTCCCCAAACCTGACGACATTTGATTAAAACTTTTTGTTTTAAAATGTTATCAATAAATAATTGAAAATGACTGCCTTGGGCATTTATTTATTGGCTAATTTTTTTATTTATTTTTTTTTTCATTTCATCACAGCATCAGTCATCAATGAGGGAATACAGCTCGTGTCTGGTGGCACGAGGGTTAATATTTAACAAAAGCAAAACCAGCGGGGTAGGGAGAGGATGGAGACCACTTCACAAACCACAGTGGTTTGAAATAAGCAAAAAGGTAACCTTACTTAACTATCAACACCCTAGAAATGCATGTCTTGTGTTATTATCTCTTTTGAAGTCCATGTAAAGCCATGGCAAAATTGTAGAAAAATTGTTCAAAGTGAACATAATGAAAATCATAGTAGAAGGGGATCAATATTACTTTTTATCTTGTCTTTGATTTAATTTTAGATGCGTGATAGTAAGAACACTGCAAGGGATTTGTTTAGAGGTAAAATCAAAATATATTTACCAGAATTTTTCAGCATGTTTCTTTTCTTGAGCTTTGAAATGGGCACATACTGTCAAGCAAAAAAATCAAGGGTGTCTTTGGGTGCGTTTACACTACAGAAAAATGTGGTAAGGGCCCTCCAATACTTAGTACAATACCGACAAATTTTGGAAAGAAATATCGGAGTTTCCACAGGGCCATGGGTACCTATGGCCTCGACTGGTCCAGACCATGTTTAACCATGTGTAAACGCACTTTTCATCACTTTATGGAGATGTAGTTGGTAACAAAGTATCACAAACACCTACCTGTAATGTCAGCATTTCCCACTGTACTGTCGTGATGCCTCACACTTTAGCCTCTACAGCATGTCTCCCTGGGAGGAGGAGACTAGAAGTGTAGGGATATCATTTACACTGTTCAATCTTGGATATGGTAATTAAAACAATATAAGACACATCCCTTGGTCTCCAATAGAATAGGGTATCATTACATCTTATGGGAAACTGATCAGTGGTATGGGTTTAGTTGGCCCAAAATTACAGTCTAACACAGTCTGATATAGATTAAGGGTTCCAGGATCCCCCCCCACTGGGATCTGTTCAACTCATCAAGCTTCGCATCTTATTTTTTTTTAAGTGCCCCCACCTCACGCAGCACCTTCCTCTTTGCCCAAATCCTCTAACCACAAATGGGGAGGAGTCTGCCAAACACCTAGCACTTCACACCACTCAGGGACACAGGATTTGGAGTATTAACCTTCACCTAAACATTTCAATCTAGTTATCTAACCTTGTCCACCAATATATTGATGGATCAGGTGATGAAAAAAAGCCTTTACAATGTTTTGCCTTTTTAGGTTACCACTGGCCATCCACAGTTCTTCAGACAGAGATTCTTCCATATTTAGCTATTACTGATGTGCCACTCAGAACTCCTGGTAAGTAATTACTTAAAAATATTTTTGCACACATATCTAATGTTGATTTGATATTTAAATATATGATATTTGATATTTAAATATGTCCTTTTTTGTGTATTTTAGGACAGATTTCTTTCCTTCAAGTTATTGGCAATTTCACGAAATCTAAGTCCCCATTCAGGTTAGCTTTATAAATAAGTAAATAAAATATTAAATACATAAATGACGATTCAGTGTAGCACTTTCACAGTTCAGCAAATGTTCTGAATCAAATTGGAATTTGGAAATGTTGGTGTCAAGGAGTGGGCACACTAGTGCACCTGAAGGAAAGCCCCCAATTGGAACAAGGATGAGGACCAATGATCAACTCAACCCAAATGTGGCATTATTGCCTCCAGAATTTAAACCTGGGCATCTTGGTGGTAGTGCTTCCCTCCCAACACTGACCAACATTAATTTTCTCCTAACAATATTTTGTTTGGAGAAAATTGATGTTGGTCACTCTTGGGACTGAACGGTTAAGAGTGTGAAGGTTGGTAGTGGGCAGTTTACGTTATGTGTGGTGCAAACATTTTTTTTTCAAAAAAATCTAATTCCATGATGATAGGTTTAAAAATTAGTGATTTACTGACTGAAATTCTGTATGCCAAAGAAAACGAATCAGGGTCCATTGAATTAAGGTCTCTTTTATTGTCACAGGGAAGTAAAACAAGTGACTTTCAAGTGGTTTTAAACAAGGCCAGGGTTTGAAGGAGTTGGCAGCACACCTTCCCCCCAAACATTCATTGATTACAGTAACATCTAGAATCATCTATGTTATCTTTACTGGATTTTGCAGAGGTAATGCTTCAGACACTTTGGATGAAAAAGACTGTGGAGCTGAAAGTGAGGATGATGATGGGATCCCAAGTTCACAGCCTAAAGGAGCCATTCAACAAAGGACAACAAAGGTTGGGGCTGAGGAGGGTGATTCACAAGTGACCCTTGACGTGCCTGAAGATGAAGATGATAGCATAGAAGACTTTGATGATGATTAAAGTACTTGCTGATTTTCCTAGAACCTTGCCTTTGTGATATTTTTGATAAGCCTAGCAAACTAATCCTCAAAACAAATAGCATATTAACCAAGTGACAGTAGGTTGGATTTGCTTATACAGATATTATTGTAATGTTTGTGTTAAAGGCTTGTAAGTGCTATGCTTCAAAAGGGCCAAAGGGTCTCAGACTACTTAGAATTTATTGCCTTCAGGTGAATGGCAAAATGTGCTTTATTTAAGTATAGGAGTTTACAACTGGGCCCCCATGATTACAGTGCTAGCAGAAATTGGGTAACCTGTGACTCTTCTTGGAGAGTATCCTTGCTTTATCTAAAGAACTCTTGTGTGATAATATGTAAATATTACTCAGCATCTGTATAAGGTACTTACCACTTGAAACCATTGTACAGTACTGAGAGAACCTTCTAATAGAGCTGTAGTATTCTAAAGAGCATGTTTTGGTACTTAAGGTGTTCATTGTTGTTAGTGTATTATAATTTTAATGTTTGGTTCCTTCATAAACATGTAAAAATTCTTGCTACAAGCTTTCCCGTCTGAATGATGATGATGGTGATCAAAGATCAGTTTGAACACATAACTATGCCAACTGAAACTAAGCCATAGGAAAATAATAGCCCCTTCGGTACTTCAGATTTCAAGTGATGGGGATTATTGAATGGAGGCAAAAATCAACCCCCCCCCCCCAAAAAAAAAAATCCTTGGACCAAAATTTAACCCCAAAAACTCCTACGCCAAATTTCCAAGCCTTAAAATTTTCTAGGAAAGGTTGAATGAAATAACACGAAAAATAAATTAGACATTGAATGTTTGTGTTTGCAGCTGGGATATGTGAGCATTACCATGAGTATTCAGATTGTTTTGAATCCCCGAAAAAATCCCTACTTCAATAAAGCCACCCAAAAAATACCAAATAAAGTTTTCCTACCTGAAAAAATTCCGGAATCAAAAATTTCACTCCCAAAAAGGCCTTCAATCATCCCCGTCACTTGAAATTTCAGAGTACCCTCACCCTTAACCCCCCTTTGGGAAAATGGCTTTCTTGATTTTAGTTTCATGGTTGCCTTTCATTCCCTGGGTTAACATTGTTTTTTATAGCATGTTGTGTTTATGTACTAAGACAAATTGATGTAGATTACATGTATTTATTGACCTTTTCTGTTGTTAGCTAGAACCAAAGTATTATAACATCTTTATCTAGCTGTAAATACAAAGAGGAGTGAATAGGATAAAAAAGTATTTTGTACAAAACTAATGCTTTTTGTAAAATATCATGCACTAACAAAGATTCACAATGACATCCACCATTATACATGTGAATTTGTTGAGTAAAATAACAAAAAATATTTTTACAAAATCCGCATTTTTCCTACTTTGCCATAAGAGTTGTCAGAATTAAAAAAGAAAATATATATTATTATCATTAAATATTTTGTAATGAGTAATTGTTTTATTCTGAAGTTTGGATTGGTTGAGTGTCATTTTGTCACAGCTCATAGCTGCCTCTTAACAATGGTCTTGTCATGTGCATTAGAGAAGAAATTTTTTGCCTGTCAGGTCAATCAACCATTTGCCTCTGTGTTCAGTATTGGCATGTTGTTTATTCTATTTTGACATTTCCTTAAGTCAGTAAGAGAAATTTCAGGAATGGTTTTATGACTTGATGTTTGACAAAAACTGAAAATAACAATTCATCGTCAACTAATTCACTGACTGAGGGTTAATTCAGCTATGATTCTCTTACATTTAGTTAATTTGCCTTTGAAGTATCCACAGAAAAGTTTCACCAAACTTTGTTTGCTTGCAGAAGATGTAGGATCTGCTGTAAAATCTGTGGTGAATGTTTCTTGAGGGCAATACCCAGAAGAACTGGCTTATTGGAGCTCTCACTGATCAGCTTTGCTATCTGCTTGGCATAAACATGCCAGATTTCCTGAAAGATAAATCATACCAGCACTGAGACAAAATCACAACACTAAGTTGTGTTCAAACTCATTCCCAGCATCCTCTCATGCTTGACCATGGAGTGACAGAGAGGAAGAAGGTTCTCACTCTCTTCCACTGCATAGGAATGAGGGCTCCAAAATCCAACTGAAAATGGTCTGATATAGGTGAAGGATTCTTCAGTCCCAGCAGTGTGCTCCCAACCCAGGACTAAACCCATTACAACCAATCACATCCACTGGAGCATTGTCTACAACACAACCTGAACATTATTATTACAGCTTTTTACTGATAACCTTTATTTTTCAAAAAGCAAAATATAATACATACCTCATCAATCCCCATAAGTGTTTTAGTACTGAATGTTTGTGTCCCTGTGGCTAAAGCATCTTTGGTGCTGGACAGTTTATTTACACTTATCTGTGAACAAAAAGAACTGCTCTATGAAAGAGAACCATATCCAGTTTAGTCACGATAAGAATGTGTAATGTGGCGCGCAATAATGATTGTTTTCTCACTTAGGGGTAGAAATTGCAGATTGTGGTCACACTTAAAGAGTTCTAGACAGAAAGCCAATATTTTTACTCATAAAGGTATCGCTTAGGGTTGTGCATAAAGGAAGTGTCTATACAAAAAACAAATGGCATGATGCTGTGTAGGAATTTAGTCTCCTTTAGTCCACATTTTATGACACCACCACTGGTTTCATAGCCTGTGAAAACAGCGGCTTCTCCTCGCTCTTCGCCAATGGGGACGTTTCATGCAGAGGAACTTCTGTGACTCAGTGGCAGAAATTCCATACTGATGATGTAAATCAATGTTAACATTATAGATCTGGTAGTCATGGGGTTCCAAATGCAAATTTGTTTAATTTTACGTTTCTCCTGGTTGATTTTGGTAAAGTGTTGTGTTCATTTGCTTATGAGCTCCAGCAAAACTCAAAGGCTTCTTCTAGACAAGACTATATTCCACAAATACTGACTGTTTTGTTAGAGATCCATTGCATGTACATATTTGACCTTTGTGACCTTTTGTCTTTTGTCTGTCATTCGTAAACAGTAGCTAAAACAGTGTAACCACACCGTCTCCCTATCAGCGCATCTGACCGGATTCCGGGCAGATTTTATGTCATCAGTATAGAATTTCTGTTGCTGAGACACAGATGTTTCTCTGCACAAAACGCCCCAGCAGTGAAGAGCGAGGAGGAACAGCTCTTTTTGCAGGCTACTGGTGTCACTGCGAAATGATAACTGAGGAAGTACAGGGCTGCAAATAATTTCCCGGCTGGCGCCGGTCAAATTGTCGGATCAAACCTATTTTTGCTCGGACATATCCCATCTTTGGCTGGACAAACATCGATTACGTCTTGTTGCTATAAAAGTGCCCCCTCCTCCCTTCACATGATGTTAATTTAAATATGAAACAAGTAAATTTTCAAAGCATTTATTATACATGGGCATCGATCTCAATGCAGGAAAAGTGGAAAGCATGGTACAGCAAAAGTGCGTCCTACCATTGCTTCAGTTCTGCGTCTTATATACGGTTAGTTATGAAGTTGATGAAATTGACTGAGGCTTGCTATCTAGTTGATTTTAAATGTTCCCGGAAACAGGGAAGCTATTTCCCTAAGATGCGAGATTGAACTTTTAAAATACAATAATGGAAGAGTTCTTTTAGACATCCGAGGACATCATCTTGCGGAAACGCAGTTTGGACATATAACAAGGGAACACCCGGATGTACTGGAAAGGGTTTTTGAAGACGTTGATCACTATGTTCCCATATTACCTGTTAAACTGAACTCGTTACATACCACATTGACAACATTTGTAAAGGATTATCGCAAATACAATTTCTTTCTAATCCATTGTGTTTCGCCCTGTCAACGGTGAAACTTGCTGCATTTTTGCTTCAGTCAAGTTTGAGAAGAATTTTTCAAATATTTTGTATAAACAACCCACGCATCATGCGTGACACGTAACACAATGAAATCTGCGGTCAATCGTTTGAGATGATATCGTGTATTTAGACCTGTTTAGGCCAGGTAAAGTTTACATGTTGTCATATCTGAATTTACTGCTAAAAAGGTTTGCTTCCCTAGAAGATAGAATGTTTAGTTAATCGCGGTATTTATAGCTTAAGTGATTAACACGGAAATGTCGACAAGTAGACAAATGAATGTAAACTTGCTTTCTTGTTATTGTTATTTTCACACTTAAATTTTGAAGACAAAGGGTGCCATGACCCTTGTACGGACATTGAGAAGTTTTGTTGTCCTTCTCACATCATGTTTACAAAACCCACACGGACTAATAATAAAGTAATTCACACCCGTGACTGGTACACATTACCCTGGGTACCAAAGGTTTTTTCACGCGTGCGTAGGGGAGCTTCGCGCATGTTCGGACCACATCTTTAAGACCCACTAATTTGTGGCGACGACTTGGTGAATGACAAAGCGAAAATGTGCAACGACAGCCGGAAATTTTATGACTACTACGAATCATTTATTAAAAGTTCTTGGTCTGGTAGTTAAGTATCCGTCTCTTCCCCTCCTTTTTCACAAACGCCAATAATATTGAACCTTTAAATATTTAAAACTTGAAACTCTAAATTTTTTCCTTACCAGCGTAAACGACCGGACAAATTGTCCGGCCAACTAAGGATTTGCCCGGACAAAATCTATTTTTGACCGGACATTGTCCGTTGACCGGCTGTTATTTGCAGCCCTGAAGTAGCACAAAAATTCCATACTGATGATGTGTTTATACCACTCAGATCTGCATCAGATTGAATGAAGCAAATTTTCAACCAATCAGAAGCTCTACCAGATCTGGGTAATAACATGTCATTTTACAGGGAAACCCTGGTAGCATTTTCATCAAATGTCAGCTATTCTCTCTGGATGGACCTCCTTTACTGGTCAAGTAAAGCCTGAACTGCACCCAGACTGGTCATCCTCTAGCTGGTTTAATTCTAATTTTTTGACAAGCACCCACATCTCTTTCATATGTGAATTCCCCCTTCCCCTCGCACACCACCTTTAGGGGCAATGTGGATCAAGCAGTGCTTGTTTATGTCTTACCAAAGTGCCAATCTTCTCAAATTGAGAAACAATCACAAAAATTCTGTCTTGATAACAACAACATATAACCTCTGTGTGGATCCCATCTAAAATGACCGCAACCTAGAAATTAAGCGCAAATTCGATCAATCAATCAGTTAAAAAGAGTTTCGAAAATTAAGCTAATGATGATACTGACCATCGGTCTAACTCCAAGTTTGCTTTCGAATAGAATTTCAGATACAATTGCAAAAAAGGTGTCTGTTGGCCTCTTGGATGGCTGCTAATGGGAAAGTTGGCTGAATTTATCTAACAAAATAGAATCTAAGCCTTTATTTTGTTGTCATACACGCTTACCTGACGAGTCTGCACTGAGCGAGCGGCCATATTGGAATCTACTAAGAGGGTCGTACAGGGGTATTCCCGTGATGCGTGATTGGCTGATTTTATTTTCCGTGAAACGTGAATTTAATAAATTATTCTTCGTGATCAGTGATCTGAGGGTTTTGCGTGACCCGTGAAGAACTTGAATTATTAAATTCATGATTTCACCACTCTATTTGGCGTGATTTTGAGATGCGAGTGCTCCGGAAGACTTATTAAAAACATCAAATGTGACAAGTAACAGACTTCGCTTCGCTAAGATCCATTGTGCAAATTCACGTGCTTTACATGCCTATCATGGATCAGATGTCTATTCCTATGCCTATGGTCTCCTATGTCACTGGGAGTCAAAGGATAGTGATCCAAAACATCGAAACATCCGAGACATGGTGGGGACGAGTACGTATAGTACGATGAGGGTCGAATGTATTGTATTTTACGTTGACCCAAAGTCTGTCGGCTCGCTTAATTTTCTTGGAAAGGAACGAGTTCGCTTTCCAATTACAGATGAACATTCATCTTTGGCAGTGTTTACTGAAAAGTTCGCGGAGTTTGCCAGATTAAAGGCAGAGCCTGAGAAACGTGGCCTCGGCTCCTGTGTTGAACTTAAATTTTGTCGTCTCGAAAAGGGAAAAGATGGAAGTAAGGCCTTTGTACTCTTGTCTAACAATTGAGGTTGAAAACCTACACGCAGTTGGTCATTTCAAGGACCAGTTTCCTTTTGCAGTACGCACGGAATCTGGCAAATACCGTATACGAAAGCATTAAGCGTGTAGTACCCTGGAGTGCCTACTTCCTACTACCTCACACATGATAAATCATATTATCCCGTGTTGCGCCAGAGCACTCCACTAAATGCCATTCCGAAGCTGGAGCATCTTAAGGCAAGAAGGGAGTTAAATAGGCAGGAAAAAGACCTCACGATTGAGTGGGCGACTAATAATGGGAGGGCTGCACGACAGAGAAGTGTGACAAGAGACCACCATGTTCAAGGCCGGAACATTGCCGTCCGTTAAACATGTACAGAACATCAGACTATCCTAACGATAAAGTCTCATTCAGCCCTAACACTGTCGAACAGGAGACTGTTAATTCTGCTACGACCGTTACGACTGTTACGACTTCTACATCGCACGAGGCCATTGAAGATGTTCAAGTAGTAGAGGAAGCCGAGGTAGAAGAGGAGGAAGAGTATGACACTGAGTCAGACGCTGAATATCCTATTGCTGACAATTACGAGGTAGATTCTCTAGACGATTTGTTGTTTCTTCGGGCAGTTACAACGCGAAGTGGACGAATGGTCAGAGTCGTCCATCGAGAGTGATTTAGGTATGAGATTTCCGATAAGCAGCCTTTACTTAGCCTTCAACGATTTTGCTTTCTTCAAACACTCTTTCTACCGTAAGAGAAGGTTATTAAAACGAGGACCTTACTTGTTTATTTTCGTGATTCGGGAAAATGAAATTTTGATAGCCGTGATCCGTGATTCGCTGTTTTTTCTGTTCGTGAACCGTGCGAGAGACCCCCCCTGTACGACCCTCTACTAAAGACAGCTGGGAGATCCCAGTTTTTGTAGGGAGGGGTAGGAGAGGACAATTCCTTGCTCTCGGAGCCTGGAACAGGGTAACTTTAACCACATGCCCCAGGGCACGTCCTGTTTTTTATTTTTAACATTTGATTTCAATTTTTAATTTTTAACATATTATTGAGTGTCACTTTACACTCCTACCCTAACTGCTTTACTGAAGCTACCTAGAAATCCGATTTGAAATATAAAAGTTATTAGACCTTATTAGAATGTCTAGAATATGTATGATTGAAAGTGGACAGACTGCAAATTATAGTAGTTGCTAAAAAAACATATCTGCGTGTCGTAACTGTTTTTCAGTAGGATGCCTAAAATGTGTGCAATTCCACAACTTGTTTCGGCTCCATTAAATCCTATACCAATACTGTTCCACCCAAAATATTAGCACAGTCACGGACAACACTGATGTAAGTGAGGAAAATAACGCAAAGTAAAATTAAAACGTTACTTATTTAAACAAACTAAATGTACACGTCAATTATATAAATAAATAAATAAATAATGCACGCGCACAAAATAAAACCGTGCGCGCACAACAAGTAATAAATAAGTGATGTAAGGATACGATGGTGCAATTCAAGCCGACATTCAAGCCTGGATTGCTAATCTCATCTCCCGCAGGGCTGCACCATCTTTTTCGACGATATGACAAGACCTTGACCTTGACTACTGAAGAATGGTATATGGTATTCCCGGGGGGAGCGCTTTCCCTTATTTGTCCTGGACGGACGGATATGGTATGTGTCGCTGAACAAGGTGTGTTATGATTTTAGGGATGGGAGAGGAGAGAGGATCTTTTGCCTTATAAAGTAGCAAAATGACCAATTTTTTGTCTTAACAGGGTCGATTTTTGAAGGCTCGACCCCCAAAGGACCTCTGCGCGGAGGGAACCCCCCGGGGGGGGCACTTGGGTATTTTTTTGGGTGGGTATGTGCCGCCGTGGACTCCAAATTGGCACCCCGTTCTAAAAAAATTTCCCCTAAAATTGATACCCCGTTCTAGAAATGGGCCGATTTTTTATACTCCGTTCTAAGGTGCAAAGAATACAACAGTTTGCTTGTTAACGCATTGAACCGTATTTTTAAAAGCAATCTGTCCTTGAATAATTTCAAATGGCTGCTTACAAAACTGGAGCTTTCGTGCGTTCGATATATTATACCCCGTTCTAGAAAACGCCTCTGAAATGGATACCCCGTTCTAACTCAGGAGCTTCAAAATCACGACCCCGTTGGTCGGCACATACCCGTATAGGTAATGTATGGGAGTACCCCCCCCCCCTGGGGGCAACCCAAACCCCTATGTATATTTATGCGTGCCTGATGCGTGACGTTCATCGTTCATTGGTAGGTGATGAAAGTATATATTCCAGTGCTGCTGCCCTCTTCGAAAATAGCATAACTACAAAAAGGATCATGAAACTCGTGTTAGAGGTAAATATTCCAACTTTTTTTTTCCTATAACAGTACCTATTGATGGTGAAAATCAATTATTTTCAAATAGAACGACTCCCGTGTTTGTCCAGAGCTGCGTAATAGGGTTATTTGGACGTGAAGCATGAAGTTTCTATTTTGAAAACCTTCAACCGGCACACCCATGGCCATGAGCGCCGTTCGATTGCTAAAAGAATCTGTTTATTTACATTTGGCTGCAGGAAGATGCCCTAACCTTTGACCGTTTTTAAGGTCTTGCATATTCTTTATTCCGTAGACTTGTTAATCGCATGTGTTGAAAAAAGCTTTTGAATTGTAATTGCTCTCCGATCTTATGTGCAACGTTTCATAGCAGACTAAGTAATGTCTCGCTTCATTGTTATATTCCCTACATGCAATTTTCAGTCTTTTTTTCCTCATTAAGCGTTTTACCTGGATATAAGATCGTACTTATTTGCAAGTAAAAAGCCACCGAATAACAACAACCCACCGAGTGCTAAATCAGTGTCAGCTTCATGCCTGCGAGCCGTGATCATACAGCGTACCGAAAAGAGCAAAAATATTTGTTTTGAGAAAAAAGAGAAGAGTGTGATTTTATTTCTCAACCTCCAACTGTCAAGGCTAAATGTTAATAAAATGTGCTGATCCTTAAGTGCAACGATTTTAAATAAAAGCGCACAACGCTAAAGTACGTGATTGTATTCACAAGCATTGAATTTCCTATAATGAATCAAGATTATTCATTAGAAAATCAGGAACGTGGGCGAGGACTTAGGAAAATGGAACGTAATATGAGAAACTGGTTTGGTGGTGGGTTTTTGTGTACCGTATATATTCGATTAACCGCCCTGAGCGCTTATTAAATTTTTGGACCTTGAGAGTGGGCGCTTATTAAATTTTCACTATTCTCAGCAAGTGCAGTATGTTTATTTGGCAACAAAACAATGAATGGTAATAACAAAAAGCAAAGATGTAACAAAGCAAGGTTTCTGTACAGTACTCTGAGGAAAACTCCGTCTTCGGAAGGATCTCTTATGATATCTTATTGGAGTTTTTGTGGGAGGGAGTGGGGTGGGGGTGGGCGCTTATTCGAATAAATACGTTATTTACATTTTAGATTTTAACCAATAGAATGCTATAAACTGTAAGTCCGTACTCCATAGTCCATCATCTTAGGCCCACATATTTAAACTTATAGTGGAGGAAAATTATGAAGTATCAGGAAATTAATATCAGGAAACTATGTATCAGGAAATTATGTTTTTCCTCAGAAAATCTCGTCAGAACTATGAAGAGCACATTTCACAGTACACAGAGTACGTTTTTATATAAAAATCTGAGCGATACTGCAATGAAACGACGATACATCTGTGTTACGTGATTTCAGGTGTGCAAAAACAATCTCAGTTCTTCAAACTTAGAAAAGGCTTGTGTTGTCTTTTAGCGTTGATATTGCCTGCAATGCGCTAAAATGAAATGAAATGTTCCGATAATTCTAAATAATAACACTAACAAGAAGGTTCAGGGCTTTTAGGTCTTACAATCAAAGGCTTACTGAAAAGTCATAAAAGCGGAACTTAAAAAATTGCACAAACAAATCAATTCAGGCTATGTTACAAGGCTATGTTAAGGTATACCGGAAACTTTTGGCGCTGGCAAGAAAATCATACCGGATTAAGCTCCTGTCCACGCATAAGAACGGTGATATCTGCGCGATTTTCTGTAAGGGAGCTAAGCTGCGACGCGCCGATCTCTAAAGTGGAGAGTCGCGTATTGGATAGGTGTTTGCTCTTCGTGTTTGCATAAAAAGCTGTCCAGTATGGACTAATGTAAACATGGCCTAAATTTATTGCCATTTTCGTATGAATATGTGACATTATCGATTACAATAGTAGCTAATACCTTTAAGTAAAAGAGAAGATAACAAATGATCAAAACCTGTAACCACAGAAAATTTCTAGTCATATGGCAGTGCAGCTACTTTAAATGTTGCACCTTCCCGTTTTTTCAGAGGTCAGAAAAGTAAAGTGACCAAGTTTCTTTAAAAGGATCGGAGACGGCGTGCATACGATACAGTTTTAAATCTATGTTTTGCAAAGTCTTTGAGACAACAAATATGGCGGAAAAAAATATAGCTGCACATAAATTCAGCGATAAAATCCTCGATTCGATACCCTGCGAGCAGTGGTTTGTCCAGGGGAGAAACCACTGCTCACAGGGTATAGATTCGATAGCCTCCCACGCAGACGTTCTTAGGGGTTCGTCACGCGTTCCTGCCCCACGAACAGGGGCAGGAACGCGTGACAAACCCATTAGAACTTCCGCGTGGGAGGCTAATCGCACCTCAAGATTATTTCACACATCCTGCTATAAGCCATGTCCGAGTTACGAAAATTCTCACTTTGTAAACTACACTAAGGGCAAAACTTTTGTTGTGAAAATGAGTTTTATTTGCATGAGAACAAACAATTGTTTCAATACATCAATAGTCTTGCACTTAGCCTCGCTTTGAACCAGAAGCTAAGGAAATGGCCGTATTTGATTGATCGGAGTTTTGATTTAACTAAAGGGTCAGTTATTCCCAGGATCACAACGACCATTCTCAACCCTTCTGTCGTAGAAATGCAACTTTCTACACAGGGTCCAGAGGAGTTTCGTGTGAATAAATGAATTACTTATTTAAAGTCTCACCTTGAAAACTGTCTATACCTGTCGCTTAGCACGATTAATTAGCCCAATGGGATGTTTATAAATCTACTGTAAACGATTTCTTCGCTTCTTATCTGAACCAGATCGACTTTTGAAAATCAATAACCGCAAGCCATATCCTAGTCTGCTACACAGCCGTTTATACAGTCGTCACGCAATCCTCGCTGGCGCACGGCACGTCGCCCGAAGGGTGACCGAAGAACCTTTACTTTAGAACCTTCCAGGGCATAATCTACCCAGCAGAGGAAAAAAACTTTATTGGAACGAGCAGCATTTTGGCACGTCGCCTGAAGGGTGACCGAAGAACTTGTAGAACCTTCCAGAGCATAATCTACCCAGCAGAGGAAAAAAACTTTATGGAACGAGCAGCATTTTGGCATGAGGTAAAAGTCGTGTAGGCTTCCCTTTTATTGCTCCGATCTTGAGCACATTTACTTTACTACGTCATTTCCGTCACCATCTGTTGCGGTGCACAGCGAACGAAAGCGCTATCTCGAAGCCGTAAATTTCGGTCGCCGAAAATGAATTTGAACGCTTTTTTATGCCGTTTTCCTACAGTATTTGGCAAATACATAAGAATTCTAGATCAGGTTAGTAAAATCAGGCGATTTCATTCAATTCCATTTGAGTTTCAGGGATTCGAAAATCGGCCCCAAATTTGTTTCCTCCCTTTCCGTATTTTATACTGAAAGCCGATCTTGCGAGCCCTCAGTCTCTTGGTTTGCGGTCTATAGAATGTGTAACGAAACTGCAACGCGATCAAAATAACCCATTTTTTCAGAGGTTTTTGACGGGTTTTGATGTTCTAACGACAAACACATCTCCTCTGGACCCTGTGCTTTCTATGCCACCCATTGGAGAATTGGGTACTTTAAGTACATGTCGCGAAAGACAATAGCTTTCTGAACGATGTATATTCTAGCAGAAGAGTATCATATCTTCTTCCAAGAGAAGAACAAAGAACCCTCAAAAAGACGTGTTTGATCGCCGGCTGCGTGCGGCTTACATTTGCTGATAGTTAAGTAAACCAAACTGTTCTTTTTCGATTAAACTGACTTGACCGCAGCGCTAATGTATTACCTCTTAAATCACGTATATGAAGAGTCGGTGTATGTTTTAGTCTTCGTAGCAGGCGCTAGGAAATAAATGGGCCCAAGAAAGAACGGGTGGGCGCGAGGGGGACACGCTAGGGGACACGCGTGTCTCCTCGCGTGTGCGTTTTTTCTTGCGCCCATTTATTTTCTAGTGCCTGCTACGCAGGCTATGTATGTTTGGTGTCGACACGCATCCGGGATAGTGTGAACAGCAACGGCGTAAAACTGGAACAAGTTGTTCACACACATCGAACTTCATGCCGGGGCAGTCGGGCGAGAGGCTGGTGAACAAAATCCCAGTCCTCAATCCTGAATAATTTATTTACTTCCGTCTCAGGAGATCCCAGTCCTTGCTCCCTTTTCTTCACTTCCTCTACGGTCCGAATCAGGGCCCGCGGAGCGTATTTTCAAGTGGGGGGGGGGGGGGGGGGTCTAGTGCGAACGCGTTAGCGTGAGCCAACTAGGGGGGTCCGGGGGCATGCTCCCCCGGGAAAATTTGACATTGAAGTCTTCTGAAATGGCTAGAAATGGTTCTAAAACTGCCAAAATTGAAGTTAATTTTTAATTCTTATAAAACAACGAGTAACAAACTGGCCTTCACGTTTGACCAAATTTAAATGAATAGACTAACTTCTAAGCTAAACCCAACAGACGCAACGGATGAGTGTCACCTGGACATTTTTAAGTCGGATTCTTTGAAGGTGCCAAAGTTGCTTTTTCGATTTTCATTGAGAGCTGCAAACTCATTGGCAACATCTATAAGACAAAGTTTGTCTGTTCTCTGCTTGTGGGTATTAAGTATTGTCAGATTGCTAAATCTTGTTTGTGTCATCGTCGAGCGTAGCCACGTTTTCAGTCTCCGAGCAGAAGAAAAGGATCTCTCGCCTGCTGCGCTGGTTGCTGGATTTACAAGAAGAAGTTTACATAGGGTTATGATTTCAGTTATCATACACTTTTCGGCTTCAGAAATTAAAGCTGCTTGATCTTGGCTAAAATGTCATCAAAACAGGTAAATTCTCCGTCCTTCATCAACACCTTAAATATTTCCAGTTGAACATTCAATGTTCTAACATCAACAGCCAAAAAAGTGGCGGGGGGGAGGGGGGGCTAAAGCTCTCCAAGCCCCACCCCCTGCGCGGTCCCTGCGAATACCTGTTCACAGTACACCAAAGCATGGCACCGAACCTAGCCAATATGTGACGCTCCTCTTTCAAGATCGGCGAAGCGCAGCTTCGCTAATCCGTTACAGAAATCGCGCCGAAATCACTGTTCTTATGTGTGAACTGATCTATCTGAAATGGTTTTCGCGCCGGCGTAAATGATGCTGTCCGGTCTAGTGTGAACATAAAGCCTTAAATTCTTTTTATTCTTTTCTTTTATTTTTATTTTAGGTTGCATTTCTTCTCGTTCTGGGCATGTCCCAGGCGTGGGGTTATTCCTCAGGCCCACCACTTAGTAAATGCGAGACAGTAATTCCTATCCACGGGAAGAACAAACCGCAGTCGGAGGCATCTCCTTACAGCATTTCTGTGTCCAACAGTTCTTACACCACAGGAGAGAGCCTTACAGTGACTATACAAGGATCAGGATCTAAGAAATTTAAAGGATTCATTTTACAAGCCCGTGGCAGTGATAGCTCCGTCGCGTGGCCCGTAGGAGAGTTCACTGAAATTCCCGCTGACGGTGCGTGATGTTGAGTAGATGTTATTACTGCTATTTCGAGAAAGGTTGTCGGGAAAAGTGTACGCGACAATCCTGAAAGGCATTATGGATGGTTTTGAGTTCTCTTTTTTTTTTTCAAAGAAATTTGAAAGAATTGGCACGAAAGGCCAAGGAAATGTGTTTGCGAGTGCTAAAGGAAAGCAACAAAAGTAGGTTCGACAGCTACAGTCGTCAGGAACGGTGTATTGATCATATCCCATATTACCTTTCGGGATTGTCGGGTGCGCATTTTTTTCGGACAACCTTTCTCGAAATAGCTGTATACTGCACCTCACATGCAAAGTCCTAATTAAGTTTTAGCCTTTTTACTGCAGTGCTGTAGAAAAAATCGCCTGAGTTCTGTTAACACTTTACGCCCCTATATGGTACTGAAACACGGACCCTTACTGTAAACACACCATGGAGTTGTTGAATCACGCGGCCGGACCGCTTTTTCGTCACTAATTTTTACCTCCTAAGATCACAGCTTTGGCTAAAGCCGTCAGCTGCAAAGATCACGTTTATTATTTACGTGTATTTTTTCACGTGCAATTCACACATTCACATCCATTCCTAACTTTGAGCTAATGTGCTAGAAACCATACGAGAGCTTTTCCGTAGGCTACTCTAACAAAAACCTCCGTTTTCTCGCGCCATCCACACTATTTAGAATGCTTGAATGGACTTAGCTTTATTCTTTCATTTTTCAGGAGCTCAAGTGTTATTTTGTGCAGGAGGAGACTTAAAGGTGATTTCACTAATCTTCATTTAATTATCCATTGCATGAGGGAATTAGCCGCTTTCGCGCAGGGACTTCAAGACGTAAGAAACGTAAATTCTCTTCACTTTCAATGCCCACCGTCCAAATGAAAGGACATGAAAATCTTGTAGTGTCAACAACGTTTCACAAATAGTACTGACTATAGTAACTAAGGTTTCGTTCACTTGAATTCAGTCATGTTTTTGTTGGGTCCGAAGAGGTACAGAGACGACAGCATCAACACAACATACTTTAATACGATAGATTCCTACAGCTCTCACGAATGACAGCGCTACCGCCGGTCAGCGGTCAGTTAGTACTTCATGTTACTACATCTTCCTTTTTTTTTTTTAAGTTAACCAAATGTCAATAAGGACAACGCTGTTCTCCAGTGTCCTAAAGTGAAACTAATCTTAGCATTGTTCGATAAGTCTGTCCGGTCTTCTTAGAGCTCCTCTAGGTCTAAGGCGTGTCAGCATCGGTTCAGGCTGCAAGGGCTTGTCCACTGCTGGTTGGTCCCCAGGGACAGGTAGTTCTACATAGTCTTCTTGGCTGGCTCCAGGAGCTGAGGATACGTCCGGGTTCCTCTCTCTTGTTGGTATCGGCTCATGATTCTCATAGTCTTCATTCTGGGGTGGGACCGGAGAACTTCCCACCAGAACTCTTCTTGTCATCCGGCGGTTTCTTCTCACTTGTCCGTTTTGGGTCTGTATGATTACAGATCTTGGACTCTCGTGTGGCTTAATCACTGTTCCTTCCTCTTTTAAATCGGGGATCCAAATGCGGTCACCGGGTGACAGTTCCTTTCCCTCTACTACTTTGTGTCTATGGTCATAATCGAATTTCATCTTAGCTCGGTACTCCTTCTCTTTCCTTCTGATGTGATCACGGTCTGGGGTCTCTGGCTTTAGCTCCTCCGGGTGACAGGGGACTTTTGTACGAAGTTTCCGACCCATGCTCAATTGTGCTGGAGAGTAACCGTGGTGCAATGGAGTATCTCTGTAATTCAGGAGAGCCAAGTATTCGTCATTACTCTTATTCAAGACCGCCTTCATAGTTTGGACCGCCCTTTCCACTTCACCGTTGGACTGGGGGTATCTTGGAGACGATGTTATGTGTTGAAACTGCCAGTCTGTGGAAAAGTTAGTGAACTCGTGTGAATCAAACTGGGGGCCATTGTCGCTAAATAAGATGTCTGGAATCCCATGTCGACTGAAGATCCTCTTAAGTTGCAGGATAGTCTGGGCAGAGTTTACATTCTTGGACACTTGACTTATCTCTACATCTCTTGAAAAGTAATCTACGGCTAGGAGGTAATGTTTATCCTTGTGCTGAAAGAAGTCTACGCCAACTCTGCTCCACGGTCGTTCTGGAAACTCAGTACCTTTCATTGGCTCAATGCGTTCTCTGCGATATTTCTCGCACATGGCGCAGTTCTGCACGACTCTTGTGATATCTTGGGAGATTCCAGGCCACCACACTGAGGAGGCCGCATTTGCACGTGTTTTGGTAATTCCTTGATGACCATCATGAAGACGCCTTAATACATCTGCCCTCAGCCTCGGAGGAATAATGATTCGCCGTCCTCTCAGGAGCAGGCCGTCGTGGAGGGAGATGTTGCCACGTTCACTCCAGTATTTAGCTATTGGCCCGTGGACTCTTCGTTTCTCTTCAGGCCATCCATTCTGCACATACTGCATCACAGTTTTAAGTGTGTCATCACTCTTCAACTCAGAACGTATCTCATCTAACCGCTGGTCGGAGGCAGGTAGGGTTACCAATACAGCATTCACATAGCACTCGACTTCGTCATGTAGGTCGTTCCATGACTTAGGCTCCTGGGCTTTACCCTCCTGGGGGGATCGAGACAATGAATCAGCTGTGTACAAGAGTTTACCAGGAACATGTGCGATGGCAAAGTCAAATCTCATGAGTCTCATCCTGAAGCGTTGTATGCGTACTGGTAGCTCGTCAATCAGCTTTGTGGAAAACAATGGAATCAATGGCTTGTGATCGGTTTCCACTTTAAATCTCATTCCGATCAAGAATTCAGCCCAGTGTTCAAGTGCCCATGTGATAGCCAAGGCCTCTTTTTCGATCTGGGCATAACGACGCTCTGTCTCGGTCATTGATCTGCTAGCATAGGCCATTTCACCGGACGGCCGCTTCTGCACGAGGACCGCACCAAGTCCAAAACTGCTGGCATCAGATGAGACCACGGTCTCCTTCTCTGGATCGTACAGTGCAAGAACTTGGTCGGATGCCATGTCTACTTTCAGCTGTCGGAGGGCTTCTTGTTGGGCTGTGCCCCACACCCACGCGCTCTCCTTCTTGAGCAAGTCTCTTAAGGGTTTCGTCTTCTCAGCCAGATTTGGGCAAAACTTCATAAGGTGGTTGACCAAACGCAGGAAACGTCTCAGGTCTGCAATGTTCTGGGGTTCTGCCATGTCGGTGATGGCTTTAATCTTGGAGGGGTCTTTCCTGATTCCATCACTGTCAATGATTTGGCCCAAGTATTGCAACCTGGATTGAGAAAATAAACACTTCTCAAGGTTGAGTGTTAGTTTCCTCTCGACTAGCCTGTCAAGGACTTGCTTAAGTCGTTTGTCATGTTCCACTTGGTCTTTCCCGATGATTAGAATATCATCCATGCGGCACTTGACCCCTTCTATTCCAGAGAGTTCTTTGTCCATCCTCTTTTGGAAATGTTCTGGGGCTGAGGATATGCCGAAGGGAGGACGCTTGAACATGTAACGGCCGAAGGGCGTGATAAAGGTAGTTAGCTTGGCACTTTCTGGGTTTAGGACTATCTGATGAAACCCTGAGTTGGCATCAAGTTTCGAGAATACTGAGCCTTCTGTTAGGCTTCCCAGGGTCTCTTCAACTGTTGGCATTTGATAGACTTCTCGGCGGACCGCTTGGTTAAGCCTGGTAAGATCAACACATATCCGCACCCTGCCATCGGCCTTTGGCACTACCACAATCGGTGAACACCATTCTGTCGGCTCATCCACTGGTTCAATAACGTCCAGTTGTTCCATACGCTTGATCTCCTCTTGCACTTGCTTCATTAGTGGTAGTGATACTCGCCTGGGAGTGGTCAAACAAAAGGGTGTGGCCCCTTCCTTCAATTGAATTGTATGCTCACCCTCCAATTTGCCAAGGCCTTGAAAAAGTGATGGGTACTGCTTGACAATGTCCTCCTTGGTCCCTGATTGGAGTGGATGGCTATCAGGCATTTGATGGACAGCTTTAACACTGTATGTCCCAGGGATTTCATGGATAAGACCAAGACTTCGGATGGCGGGTATCCCCAGAAGCAACTTGGATGCCCCACTGACTACGTACACTCGTTCTTTAATGACTGTTTCGTCTTGTTGGAGGTTCATGACTGCACATCCAAGGGTCTTTAAAGGAACATCCCCTGCTCCGACAAGTTCTCTGTCAGATTTTGAAAGTGTTCCATATGAAGACTTGTAAATGTGCTCAGGCATCACAGACACTTGTGCTCCTGTGTCGATGCACCATGCCAGCGTCTCTTGGTCTTGAATCTTGAGGTTGACATGCCATCAAGGGTCGTACCCACTGGTTTGAGAGTTTACTGCTGGTTCGGCCTTGGAGGTGTTTGGACTAGTGGGTGTGTAAACCCCTCCCACAAATGTGAGGCTAAAGTTATCCTCGGTTTCAAGAACTTCGTTGACCGTCTTTGGAGGTACACTCTTGCATATGATAGGGAAATGTCCCATTTTGTTGCACTTGCTGCATCGTGTATCTGCCGCTGGGCAGTTCCTCTTTCCAGGGGGGTGTCGGCGGTTGCAATACCCACAGTTCCGGCCACTTGTTTGGAAGGGCTTCCTCTTGAAGTCTCGCTGGTTCCTTTGCTCTGTATCTTGACCAGCATGAGGGTCTTGCCTGTTCCCTCGCGGTGTGACGCTCTCAATCTCCGCGGTTTTTGATTCGTGTAACTCACGTTTTGTTGCTTCCTTCAAAGACAGGATTTTCACTGCCTTTTCGAGTGAAAGGGCTGCTCCCTCGTCATAGAGTTTTAGCTTGTAATTGTCTTCCTTGCAGGAAAAGGTAAGTTTGTCTCCAACTGCTTGCTCATAGAAATCGGTTGGGAACTTGCACTCGGCGGCTCTTTCCTTGACAGTCACCACCCACGAATCAAAGGTCTGTGTGGGCTCTCGTTTAAGGTGAAGCCAAAATTTCTCTCGCAGCATGAGTTGAGGGTCCCGTTTTTGAAAGTATTCATCAAACTTTGCCACACGGTCGCGTAGTTGTCGGAGTCTTCGGCTGGAAGTTTCTCTTCTCCTCCCGCGGGGTCGTCACGCTCAGGTAGGTAGGTGAAATTCGAGTAAATTTCCAAACACGGCTCGCCGATGTGGTTTAATAGCAGCCCCACTTTCATTTCATCGGGTTTCTTTGAAGCTCCAATTGCCTTGAGGTAAATTTCGAATTTTTGTTTCCATTTTCCCCACGAGTGAGCAGGATTTCCCATCGAAATTTCCAGCGGTTCCGGTGGTTTGGCGAATGGCATGCTTTCCGCCATCTTGTTTTGAACCACGTGCGTAGGATCCGCGTGAAGTTTGACCGGTCAATTCGTCTCAGTATTTGATCCGTTTCTCCGATTGGTTTGATCTCCGCAACTGTAGGCTAGTAGGAAGGTCACGCTTCTGGCACCATGTTGGGTCCGAAGAGGTACAGAGACGACAGCATCAACACAACATACTTTAATACGATAGATTCCTACAGCTCTCACGAATGACAGCGCTACCGCCGGTCAGTGGTCAGTTAGTACTTCATGTTACTACAGTTTTCAGTGTTATCCGGTTTCTTGCTCATGGGGCTTTAAACCAATCTTGAGAGTGGTTTAAAAAGATACGGTTTTGGTGCCGCGCAGATTTACTGGTTTCGTGTGGACGGAAGGTAGATTCGTATAAAAATAAATATGTGGTTTTAAAATGTCCGGAATCTTTTGGACGGGGCCTAAGTGTTTTTAACGTCGAATTCTTGGTTTGCCACCACCTGACAAGGCGACCATGTTGGAGGTCAAAACAAAAGAGTTTTTCTTCGAAGAATTTACATGAAAATGGAGTTTATTTCCCAGAGGAGAGAAATGCTTTTGCTGTTGACCACCAACGTGGCCGCCGTGACGTCACGTACAAACCAGCAATAGGCATGCGCAATAGGCAGATGCATGGTCGTGGTAGAGTTCAAGTGTGCGTAGAAAAAACGCCCGTGCAGCACGTAAGCCTCTGAAAGGGTAAAATCTGTGTGAGCGTATCGTTTCACAGTTTGCTTGTAAGGCCTATACGTGCGTCTTTTTATAGACCTCACTCCTCCAGTTGTCATGAATGTTTTGAGAATAAGGTGTATGTTAAGTGCTTTGAGTATCACTATATATTTTAAAGCTGTAGGTTTTGTTCTCTCTTTCAGAGTACTGCTGCTCATAAGAATCCTGACAAAAAAGAATGGTCTTCGCTTCAGTTCACTTGGACGGCCCCTGCCCAAAGTGCCGGGAACATTACTTTCATGTAAGAACGAGTTTAAAGTGCAGTTAGGGAGGTTTAGCAACGACGACGGCGACAACAAAATAGAAACGCCAAAAGAGCAATGGGTTTGTTAAGCAAAAAAACAACTTCGCACGTGCAGCACGCTTTTTTGTACATTTGCACGACTATGACGTGAAAATGCCTGATTTCACGCTTTATGGAGGACGTTAACAAGTGACGACGAATTTTTCTTTCTCCTTCCAAATTTGATTGCGGTCCGCAAGAAATCAACTCTAGGGAAACTTGCCTACATTTGACATTTTCAGCGGATTGGAATAAACGCGACAATGTTTGAAAAAACGCGAATGCCTTTTCAAAGGGACGTTTACGCTGCCGTCGACATCGTAGCTCCCTATTAGGGACCTTAAGATCCGACGACGGCGACGGCAACGAGGACGTCAAAAAGAGCAATGGGTTTAATATCCAAAACAACAATTTTTCACGCTTTTTTCTACATTAATTTCTTTGCCATCACTGCACGACTACGACGTGAAAATGCCAAATTTCACGTTTCACAAAGTAAGTACACAAGCGACGACGAAATTTCTTCACTTGGCTGATTTTGGACATGGTTCTTAGGGATTCAACTATAGGAGGGTTCACCTACATTTGGAAAAGTTAGTGACTTGGAGTAATCGCGTTGAAGGTTGAAAGAACGCGAATTCACTTTTTCAGCGACGTTTTCGCTGCCGTCACTGTCCTCGGATCTTAATCTCCTTCGATGACATCACAACAAAGCTCGGACCCATTCTTCGCAGTGCTCAGTAATGGCCGAAAGAACCACCAAAATTTTAGCCTGAATTTGAAACTTTAAGAAATTATAACAAATAAAGTAACGCCCACTACAGCAAACAAACACGCATTCGTGACGCTGTTTGCTTTTGATTGCAGCGCGGTTTTTCAAACCTGCTTTGAAGCATTTTAATGGCAGTATCACTCATCTTAGTCATTTCGTTTTAATTACAGCGCGACAATCGTTGAAAATTTCACCACTTTCTGGAGAAAAATTGAATCACCTGTGGTTACAGGGCCTCCAGCTGAAAATGTAACACGAGGGGTAGCGTCGCAAAGCTTTCAGGTAAGTGTAAATGAACAAGAAGAGCATGCAGTGCTAGATTAATAAAACCTCGTTCCGATGGATCCATCAATAAAGAATTTCATTTTGATTTATATTTTAATTTGTTAATTGTAGGAACGTTAACACGCCTGTGTTAAGCAGACGCCGGGTTTTTTAGGGTGAAAGGTGAAATATCGATGACGCGCGTATGCAAGATTGGAGAAAAAGCTTGCTTCCACTCACATGTTCCTCTCGCGCTCTGTAAACAACTTACCAAAAAAAACTAACCAGCGCCTGCCACGGAGGCTAGGGCTTCCGTTTCCTGTAACCCCTCATTGTGTCGAACTGCAGTATGAGGTGGTTTTGGGGGCGCTGTCGCTCATTTTACCGGCTATTTGCTTAGAAACTGGGTCAAAATGTGCCTCCCAAAACGGTCCAACAGTGCAGTTCGAGATAGCACCTACCTTGTCTCAAGTGTAAGGTCAAAATGGCAAGTAACGCGGAAAACAGGCCGCGAAGGACATCGCGGGAAGGCGTTACATCATTTACAGGGGCATGAAGTACACCCTTCCCACGTCAAAACACCCGCAGAGATCGAGGAATACTAATTTTTCATTGTCACTTAATTATTGGTAGATTGACAAAACCGGATGTGGTAAGACCAAGGGATGCTTCTCTCTTCCATCAGACTGCACCGGAAGTGCCGATTGTAACTATTTATTTACATATCAAGTTTCTGAAGGAAATGTTGTTATGGAGATGAGTGCTAAACAACGCTATGTTTCAGTTGCATTTAATGAGCAACAATTGATGGTAGGTGTGATGCCATTTCCGTAACCGGTTAACGTCTAGAATTGATATGACTAAATCTGACTGACTGGCTGATGGAATGACTGTCTGCTAGACTGATTGACTGACCGACTGACTGTATGACTGACTGAATGACTAACTGACTGATTGACTGACTGCTTATGACTGTTTGACTGACTGACTGGCTGACTTACTGATGGACTGACTGGCTGACTGAGTGGCTAATTGATTACTGGGACTGGTTGGTTGACTGACTGACTGACTGACTTAATGCCCGACTGACTGGCTGATTGGTTGACCGACTGACACACTGGCTATGCTCATCTAGAATTCCATTCCTGTAACTCGTATATTTATTACTTCCCAAAACAAATGTATGGGTTAGTCTCAATTATAAAATCTAATGGTTGAATTAATATGAAAAGTTCCCTTCTAGTTTAATGAACGTTTGTTCTCGTTCTAGTATTCTTAAGTATTTTTCTGCTTGGAGAATATTTGCTACTTTCCTGTGTCAAAGGTTTTTGGTGTAAAATACAGATGAGTTAAAAAAATGAATCTAAATATTGTTTTTTTACTTGATTAAGGACAAAATGGATGCCATTATGTGCGCTACAATGGGAAGCAACCTAGTGGAATTACGTCACTATTATTCACGTGACCACAACATGGACAGGCAAAACCTGGTGAGAAAAAAGATTATCTATAACTCGCCCGCTTTGTCAGGGGTAAAGCTGCTTAGCAGGCACATGAAAATAATAATAGGGACTTAAAAGAACGGGGCGCGCGTGTCTTCCTCGCGCGTCTGGATCTTCTTGTGCCCATATTATTGCTTTGAGTATGACTTCTCTTTCTTATTCCAACTCATTGTATCCCCTTCTCAGTCACTAGCGGTTTGTCCTTTGAAGTCTGTCGCAACAATCCTACAACTTACTACTAGGGACCTTAAGATACGAGGACGGAGACGGCTGAGAAATTGTCGCTGAAAAAGTGAATTCATGTTCTTTCAATCTTCATCGCGATTACTCCAAGTCACTGACTTTTTCAAATGTAGGCGAACCATCCTAAAGTTGAATTCCTAATAACCATATCCAAGTGCAGAAAGAGAGAGGAAATTTCGTCGTCGTTGGTGTACTTCCTCTGCATGTGCAACGTGAAATTAGGCATTTTCACGTCGTAGTCGTGCAGTGGCGGCAAAGAAATCTACAAAAAAGCGTGATGCACGTGCAAAATTGTTGTTTTGCTAATTAAACTTATTGCTTTTGTGGCGTTCCCGTTGCCGTCGCCTTCGCCGTCGTTGGATCTTAATGTCCCTACTTAAAGAAAGTGGGGAATCGTGACGCAAGTGAAGTGGATTTTTTTATGGTAGTGATCTTAAGGTTGAGCTAACCTAAAGAAAATTGTTTTCAGGCGGGAAACAGCGACATTACTTTAAATAAGATTGTTAACGAGGATGGTGGAATAAAGTGCAGGTAAGTTGCATCTCTTACATTTCAGCGTAAATTGTTTAATTAAGATATTTTGTTAGTTTTAACAACCAGTTGAGGGGTCTACTTCACTAACTATGGTTTGAATGGGTTGTTAACGGTAGTTTGTTTTCAGTTGCTAGTGCTTTTACGTTATAAATGCTATGTGAGGTATGGTATGGCGTACAAGGTTATTTAAGAGGTATCTGACATTGTAGGGACGTTGTGCTGCTGCTGAATGAAGGTACACGGCTGATGTGTTGAGTATGACTGCTATGACAGTTGGATAGATTTGCAGTTGTTTTCAGATTCTTACCGATTAACACTGCCATGCGTTTTTTTAAAACTAGTTTGTTTAGTACAGAAAATGTGTGAGCGCTAAAGGTCTCGGCTGTTTTAAGGCTTTGTATCCCAATCCTTCGAACAATTGCTTGTCTTGTATCGGTAACAGTGAGGCATTTAATTAATTTTCTCCATACCAGGGTCACTCGAAACCTCACTTCAAATGCAGATTACTTTAAAGATCTAACCAAGAAGTGGTACGTCCTTTTTGCCTATGGAACAACAAGTAAGTGTTGCTAACATGCAGATGTCGTGTCGGCTTTGTAGGAAAAATGTTCCATCTAAAGTAGAGCTGTCCAGTTCTATTGCCGATTTTTGTGGCTAGTGTGCGTAATTTATGCATAAATTAGTCAACAATTTTGCACACCACCACCATGGAATAGCGGGGCAAGGCGTTATGAGTGCCTCAAATACGTGTATACGTTAATATGGACAATTTTATGTTTAAGCCTCGTTTCCATGCTGGAATATACACATGATATTTTCGAACCCATATAAATCCCGTCTGAACAAGTTACAAAGTTGCCACCAAAACTTTTCATGTTATTTAGGGTCCCCTTAACACATTTAGACTAGCGGCTTGTTTTCTTCAAGAAATTCCCACGGCATTACACATGCTCCCGGACTATAAAGTCAAACCCTTTTAATACTGAGGGGGAAATAGAAACTGTCCGTATGAACGAGGTGTCCGGTGTGAAAATGTAAGGGCTTTCTTTCCCCAGGGATAAAGCAAACTGTCCGAAAAAATGAGGTGTCCGTATTAAGCAGGTTGAATTTAGAGAAAATGTAAGGGCTTTCTTTCCCCAGGGATAAAGCAAACTGTCTGTAATAATGAGGTGTCCGTATTAAGCGGGTTGAATTTAGAGAAAATGTAAGGGCTTTCTTTCCCCAGGGATAAAGCAAACTGTCCGTAATAATGAGGTGTCCGTATTAAGCGGGTTGAATTTACAGAAAATGTAAGGGCTTTCTTTCCCCAGGGATAAAGCAAATTGTCTGTAATAATGAGGTGTCCGTGTTCAGAAAGCGGATGTCCATAATGCAGGGTTTGACTGTGTAAGTTATGACTCTGTGGATATGACTTTTCCTTTCAAGCACAGATCCACACAGGTTTCCACTGTTTTACGGAAATCATTCAGATTTGTCATAATTAATATATTTTTAATAATAGCAACAATAAAAACTTTCCAAGTTGAAATCTAGAAAATGGTTTAGACAGTCAGTAAATATCCTGTCTGAATGGCTCAGAAACCCTGGAACGGGACTTTGGGGACTTGAAATCCAAAACTTTTCCCTCGGGAGCATGCTCCCGGGCCCCCCGCCCTAGAAACTTGCGCTTTCGGTGCTCGTTTAGGAAATCGGCCAGTATTTAATGTAGATTCGCGCCTGCGCTTCAGGTTTGGGTGTTGCAACACATTACAGGAAGTAATTTGTTTTGTTTTGTGGTGTTTTTTTTTAGCGCCCTCTGGAAGTGGGCAGTATCATCAGAAAAATCGAACGTTCTGGGGGGAGAAGATCGATCTTTCGGTCCCTGCAACGTTAGTAGATGAAAAGACTCAAGTCAAGGATACGGTGAGATATGAATATTCTATTTAACTTCAAGTGAAACTTCTCATTAAGTCGTCATTTAGTCCATCCACAATCGCTAGAAGTGGAGTAGTCTCTCATGATTTTCCCCAGGACGGTAAAGCGAAAGAATGTAACAGCGCGTGTGACATCATCATTTATTAACCTTTGTGTTAAAACCACTTTTAAAGGATACAGCATGCGCAAGTTGTTAGGCGAGCAGACCTCAAGAAAGCACCAGTCTTATAGGAGTTCGCCACTCGCGAGCAATGAGACACGTTTATTTCGCTCTCTCTCCATCTCTCATAAAAAAAAATGAGAGACTATTCATAGTCGTCTAACAAATAGTTTATTCCAATGTTTTGGGAATCCATCTATCTACCTGATCTCCTCATCCGTCCATCCACCCATGGCCATCTATCCGCTCATCCATTCATCTATCCATCCATCCGTCCTTTCAACCACCTATCTAGTACCCTGCGAAGTAGACGCCAACTATTTTTTGGTTAGTTTTTATAGAGTGCGTGCGTCCTCGAAATTTCTTCCTTCGCCCTCATTCGTGCATTTGTCCCTTCCGTTCTTTCTAGCCGGCATCTTACGGGACAAATCCTATGATGTGACCATTTTAAGTAATGAAACCGCTTTAGCAGACCTTGAACTTGGCATTGTTAGGTTCTTTACTATTTTGCAAATGATAAATAAATAAGTAACGATTTGGAGGTTGCACATCCACATAGTGGTTCTTCGTCTACCTGATTTCTGGTCGAATTGGTATTTGGTTTTTGAGAAGAGGGGAAAACCGTAGTACCCGGAGAAAAACCTCTCGAAGCAAAGGAGAGAATCAACATCAAACTCAACCCACATATTGCGTCAACGCTGGGATTAATGATATTTAACCTTTGATGCAAACTTTGACTTTAGGGCAGCCTTGCATCTGCGTAACATCTTTTTGACACGAACTTTGAAGCGTTCATTTTGGCGTACTTTTTTCACAGATCACCAAGGACGGATGCGGGGAAACTAAAAGCTGCTATTCTGAGCCTGCGGACTGTAAGGGCAGCAGCGACTGTAGCTACTTTGTAACCATCAAACCCGTGAAGGGAGGAGATGGTCAAGGTGAAGTCACCGAGGTGGAATTTGAAATCAGTTCCAAGAAGCAGTGGGCCTCTATTGGTTTTAACACAGAAAAAAAGATGGTAAGAACGATCCTTCGTTAAGAGATACTATTTTGGCGTTACTCATACTACTGCGTATCGTGGCAAAGCAAAGGTTTACGAAAGGGGAAGGTTGCAAAGAACCGTGCGAGACTTGCGCGCCTACCACGCGCGAGAAGCCACACTTTCTGCTCTTCGCGCCTTGCAGGCAGTGGGTCACCAGAGCTACAGCCCTGAGCCCATTTGTTCGGAAGGTGAATATTGCGCGTTTTCATTTCAAGGTCATACGAAAATCGCTCTAACCCATTTCCGAGTTCCAAAAACTCTCACTTTCCAAACGAGGCTGAAAAACCTTTCTTGTAAAAGTAAGTCTATTTGCATGAGAATGAAAAATCATTTACATATCAATAGCTTCGCACTTAGCCACGCTTTGAAACAGAGGCATGCGGCAACTTGCAATTGGCCTACTCAGGTCAATTCTGATTAACACAAATTACATTTCAGGGTGGAACAGATGCATTGATCTGTGAGAACATCAACGGGCAAGTTTCTGTGGAACACTACGTGGCTGATAAGGGTTATGGAACGCCCACCAAGTCCAATCCTGTGAGTTTATCATACTGAGGCACTTTAAGCCATCGTTTTAAAGTCCACAAGTAGTTTGCAACCGATCAGGCCCTTTCCTAAAATACGGCGTAAAAAATTATGTCCAATCACAGTAGAGGCCTAGAGTCCAATTACTCAATCAGAGCTCAAAGCAAGTGGATTCCTCGAGTGTTTCTTGGTGTTACGGAAACTATTTGTTGGCTTCACACTAGAGCTTCAAGTATAATGTAAGTGCACTTGGAACCTACCTTGAGTGTGAAGGGGTAAAATGTACCCACTTCCATTCAACTTTACTTGGTGACCATGGAAACGTTTGTAGTTCAAAGCAGTCGGAGTTCGCCACCAAGTATAGGCTACACCACCCTTGAGAACACACTTGAGCAATAAGAAATGGAAGACATGTGCACGATGCGCACGTGCAACGGGGAGATTGACAGCTTTTACTTCTAGTAAAATACTATGTCAACAAGTGTGAAGCCATGTTTTCTACAGAACGACTTAAGATTCCAAGAGCACTTGAATCAAGTGCTTACTTGAAGCTAACTTTGTTTTTAGTGTGAAGCCAACAATTGTTGGCTAGCTATTGCTTTGTGATGTGGATATTAGGGCCATTTATACGAGGAAAAATAAGACGCGTATTAAATAAGACGCGAACGTTCCGTATAAACGGCACATTTCGTCTAAAATAAGACGCGACTTAGCTAAGACGCGTCTTATTTTAGAACAGCCCATAACACCTGTTCTTAGATCGAGAAAAACTTCGTATAAATGACATAAGACGCGAACGCATAGTACGCATGCGTTAAGTTTCGGCGCGCCATGTTGGACTGCCGTTGCTATGGGCAACATTCACATGAAAACGAGTCAAGAACAGAAATAAGTCGCGAACCATTTATACGAGCTGTTCTCATCTTAGATAAGACATGCTCGTATAAATGGTACAGTTCGCGTCTTATTTAAGACGCGTCTTATTTTTTCTCGTATAAATGGCCCTATTGTTCAGTGTCTATTCGATATTTTGGGATCAATTTAGGTTTCTGGGAAACTGCCCACCTACCCCTCCCCTAACTCAACGTGCAACATGTGCGTCTCACTTGGGGCAAAATATTAGGTTAGGGGAGGGGTAGGTGGGCAGTTTCCCAGAAACCTAAATTGGTGATAATTGCACCAATCCTCACCACCAAGAAACTAATGATTTATCCGTCATAAGCCGGCCATGCGCGGGAAAACCGATACAAGCGTATCACACTAATTGGTTAGTCGTACCTCTATTTTGTTTGTTTGTTTTTTGTCAATCAAAGAGATCTGAACAGACTTTTTACTATAACTTAGAATATTTGTGGAGGATTTTTATGGTAGTATTTAAGCTTACTAATATTGTTTTTTTGTTTGCTTGTTTAATTCTTTTCCAGAAACCTTCCTCTTTAGAGCAAACATCGCAAAAATCAGAAAGTGGAATAATAAGCTGTCAGTAAGTTAATTACGTTACTTTTATTTATGTTTCAGAGTTTCGACAGTTATGACTTTTTAAAACGCTGAATCTCCGGTACTGTTTTCTTGCAATCGCGATATACCATTCTGCGTTTTTTTTTTTTTGGAGTGTGTCTGTTTGTTTGTTTGCTTCTTGTGGAAAAAAGTTTAAAATCTTTATTTGTAATTTTTTTCTCTCTATTTTTTACTGTAGATTTAAAAGAAAGATGCAGGATCCTGACATGATTGACCTAACGAATCCATTGTACCTGGTGTATGTCAGCGGACCCACAAGTACGTCACACAATAATATTTCCTAATTTCCGATGCATGTTACTAAGTAAAGAAGACTACAACAGAAAGAGCAATGCATACGGAGCACTACAAATAAATACATACACTTTAGGCAACTTTTATGTTGGGGTACATGCAAAGCGCCAGTGTTGACAAATTAATATTGAAACGAAAGAATAAAAAACGTCTTTCTTGATATCTGGCGGATCAAAACTCTTGAAAGAGATAATGTAGTCGTAATGGCGCAATTTAACAAAAAAAGAAAATTCATGACACATTGTTATACATTGTACTCACTATCTGCCTTCTCATTAACTAAGAGCCTACAGTTAATTTTGGAAATCAACGTAACCTACAGATCTGTTAGATAACTTCTAGCAGATAACTAAGATATCTGTAGGTAGCACAACTAGCAAACAGGAACTAGCTGTCCATCCTCTCTTAACCCTTAAAGTCGCAACAGTGACCAACATCAATTTTCTCCTAACAAGGGGTTACGAAAATCAAGTTTTTTCGCGTAGTTTCGAAAAATATTCAACCCGGGAAAGCTTCATCGTACTATTTTTTACCTGAAAAATTAGTGCAGTTATTTTTATTGGAGAAGGTTTAGCCCTTTCCCGGTCGCAAAATGATTAAACTTCAAAAACTGGATAACTTGTTCCCGCCACTACGACATTCTCGCTAAAACTCGTAGTAGAATGACAACGTCTACCACATTTTCCCGCCAAAATGACGTTGATTCACGCGCGAACACTACTTAGTATTGAGAAAATCTCGTTCTTGTAGTCGTCCTCGTCTTAGATCTAAAGCTCTTTAGTAGGTTTTATCTCTTCTTTTTTCTTTAAAGGTGGTAATACGATCGGTCAGCACCCTCCATCGCCTAAAACAAGTCCACAGAAGGTCGAGGTTTCTAAAGTTGTGGTGCTTACCGGAGAAAAGAAAGACTCCACTTTGATAAAGGCACATGGTGAGCTGTTTTGAGTATATATTATGGAATCATTGTGAATCTGTAATTCGGATATAAGAGACGCTCTTTCTTACTTAACAGTGCGAATCACTATACCCCTGCTCAGGTACATCTGTACATCTCAGTTGTGTGGTGTTGGGTTGCTAAAAATGTACTGTGAGTGAATTTAGAGATTGAAAAATCTAGTTAATCTTAGTAACTCTTCTCTGGGATCTTAAGCTCTTTACAAGCACTGTATAAGAAAATATCATTAATTTATCGGAGGCGGACTCGCTAATGAGAGTCATACTTATTTATCTTATGTCAGAACATATCTCCCAGCTATGGTTAGAACCAAAATTTCTTAGATGCATAGATAACCACATTTTCTTACCCATGGCGCTGCGCTGCGCACGCTTCGCGCGCGAGAGAGCTCCACTATAACTTTGTATTGCTTGTCTTTTTAGGATGTTTAATGGTAATCGCTTGGATAGGGTTTGCCTCCATTGGAATCTTTATGGCTCGCTTTACGAAGGTAGCATTTGGTGACAAAGAACTGTTGGGCACTAAAGTCTGGTTTACGGTAAGATATGATAAAGATCATTGGATCTTTCTCGTTTTTTATAATAGCCAACAAAAAGTTTCTCCTTACAATACCAATACACAATCAACAGAAGTTACGAAAATTAATGAAATGATCACCAAACGAAAACAACTTTGGTCTTTGATTTCTTTGTTGAAATCAGTCTGGAGAAATTGTAAGTGGATATTTTGGGGCTTTCAAAAAAGGGTGAAGTGGCAAGCGCGTGCGCGGTTAATTGCTTATATCGCAAGTTTTGCGACCACCGATTGCTCCACCTCGATCAAACTTGCTCTAAAGCGATAAGACGGTTTAGTGCGGTTGTTAGATACATACATGTTGCAATCGCGATCGCTCTATTGGCGTGGTGCATGCTGAATTGCAGTTGCTTTTTCTCCATAGCCATCTTGATTGTTGTAACTATTTTTGTTTGCTAATGCACGATCTAAACCTCCGAAACAACGTCACAGTTTTTTTCTTTTCTCGTCGTTGGTGTTTTCGTTGGTCATGCGTGTCGAGCCTAAGGGGCGTCTGTATACGGTGGAACCTCCATATAACTAGCCTGCGTAGCAAGCGTTTCCAATCGAGTTATTGCGCGAAAGTTAGAGCGGAAGCAAAAAAAAAAAGTTGAAGGGGGAGGGGGAGGGGAGAAGAGGAAACCCCCCTCCCCCCCCCCCGTCATTAATTTTTTTTTTTGCTTTTGTCCCAGCTTTCTAGACGAACCTCGCGAGGAAACGCTTGCTACGCAGGCTACCATATAACGAAGTTCTCGGTATAACAAATTATTTTCTTTACACCAGTAAAAGCAAAATATATGAAAAGAAAAGTAGATATAACGAAACCTCGTTATGGCGAACAAATATTGCTACTCCCGTGGCCCTTCTTTATATCGAGGTTCCACTCTAATCTGCCGTTGTTAAAATGACTATTTATTTTACTCTCTGCTAGTTTCACCGAATCTTGATGATCTGCACAGTCTTGGTGACGATTGTTGGTATTATCCTCATTTTTGTTTACGCCGGACACTGGGTAAGAATTATAATACTAAAGCTAATGATCCTGGAAATTTTTCCCCATTATGGAAACGTGCTAAATTAAAAAATGCGGAAACCGTCACACAAGAGAGCGTCCATCTCTTCGTTCAATCAGGCGTGGATGCACAGCGTGTAAGACTTTCAGGTTATTTATAGGTACCGCTCTTTCGCCGAAAAAAACAGCCCTATCTTAGTTAATCAGAGCAAATAGAATTTCCAGTTCTAAGTTTCAATATCAGTGGCCTTGAGGACAGTACATGCATTTTGCAAACAGTATTCTTGAAGCAGTTTACATAAAGAACATAAAAGAAAACTGTTCAATTTTCGTATTCATTAATCTCCCAATTTGCTGCTTCCGTTGGTCAACCGGAAAACGAAAACAACGTTCAGACGTTTAGACGAAGAAGGCCCATATTCTACTATCGATGTGTCAAAAAGAAAAGTTGGGTCTGAGGCGCTGAACTGAACTTCCTAGGAACCGTGGCAAAACTTCTTGCCTCTCGATTAACAAAAAAAAGGTTTTGAAAATTTTTTTTTTTTTACCGTCAGATGTCTGGTGCTCACCCTATCACTGGAATTATTGTGCTAGTCCTTTCTGTCATTCAGCCAATCGCGGCGGCATTCCGACCCCACCCTGGAGATGACAAGTATGTATTCTTCATTACGTTCAAGGAATTCAGAGACGTTGTAAGAGCCATTGATTTGTTGTTGCTCACTGATTATTCTCTTTCTTCTTTGCAGTCGATACCTTTTTAACTGGGCGCACCGTGCTGGTGGAATCTTCGCCCTTATTTTGGCTGGTACGATATCCTCCCATAGATCTTTAACCCTATCACCTCTAGGACAAGTTTTGTCACTCTTTATCAATCTAAGGTCCAATAGTGACCAACATAAATTTTCTCCTGACAATATCGATACACAATCAAGAGAAAGGTTATGAGAATTAATAAAATGGAAAATGCTTTGATTTTTAATCTAACTCTCAATTTGTATGTGCGATACGTTTTCGTTATGGAATTTTTGTGCGCGTTCCTCAGACGGCATTTCAGCATTTCGCTGTAACCTGTTGTTGTTGTTGTTGTTGTTTTTACCTCTTTCAGTGGTCACCGTGTTTCTTGGTATTCTCATTTATAAGGATGAGTTAGGTTTGGATGATTCCCCTCTGTACGCCATGATTGTCTACTGCGTGGGCGTGGCATTCGTGATTGCCTTTGATATCTACCTTTCCTGTAAGAAGAGGGACCACAAGACGGCAAGTTTTACCATGATAGGAGAGAAAGAGGGTGAGTCCGGTTAATAGCTGAGTAGCAATCGGTTGGAGGGAGGGGGTACTCTTATCTCTTAATGCATGATTTTGTTTGGGACGTCACACAACGCTTCTTTCTAAAATTAGAACGGTTGCGTGACGACCTAATCTCATCGAGGAGATGCAATTAAGGCCAAACGATCTAAAAATAACGAAAAAGTCTTGCCGGGTTGATCAAAGCAGAACGCAGAAAATTCAAATCGTAAAAGGCCCAGCTGCCTAACCTCGTTCCCAGTTCCTCTCTCTCCCCCCTTTTTTTTTGAGCGAGAAGAAGAGAGGACCCCGGGATCAAGGCTGTCACTTCCATAGAGCGTGGCGTCTGACGTCACAGCTAACGTTCAGAGACTCAATCTGTTTTCCCTCTTAACGTTAGGTTTGTCTTTGCGTTTTATGACTTTAAACTAAAACTCTTTTCCAAAAAAAATAGTCTCCTTCACGGCCGTTCTTTGTGTCGTGACGCTACGCTCCTCTCTACCGAGCAGACTACCAAGAAAAGGGTTCGTATCGAAATTTTCAAACTCCAGCAAGGTACCTCAAAGGCACGGAAAGCAGCAATATATTATTGTCTTTGGTTTTCTGTCATACGCTGTTTTTTAAAAGTACATAATTTATACTAACCACCTTCGCCCCTTACATTAGTCTATACTAAGTACAATATATACTAGGTATTTTTCAAAACCTACGTAACTTACACTCATTTGTGTATTTTAACCCTTATCACTTAGCCATGAAACTGGTAACAGTAGATGCTAACAAACCTGGAGGTAAAAGTTCCTGACAATAAGTGATAACAATGGCATGATGTAATGTAATTGCTAACTTGTGCTAATCATCTAAGCGTTTTCTTCTCTCCTTTTATTAATCAAACTCTCTGCTTTGATGATTAATGTTAATCCACATCATCTTGTTGATAACAAATAATAGTAAAATACTTAATGTAGAGCTTTAGTCCTCTTGCTTGCGTTCAGGGATTTTATTTCGCCAAGTAAAGAAATTTCGAATAAGAAGCAAGTTTTTCCCAACTGCCAGCAAACCTGAGCTAGCACGCTTGGAATAATCTAGAGTGTCAAATCCATAATTTACTAAATGCTGGCCAGAGCTCTTTTTTGCCAATAGACTTATAAAACTTGACATCAAACCACACTGCAGCGCAAGAAATTCAATTATTGTAGCTGTTTATGTGATGATTCCACCCAACTAAGTTTCTAATTTCTCTGTTGTTTTTGTCTTGGGACACTTACATTTTAAGCATCTTGGCTGCGCGTAATGAATATAAAAGAGGTTTGCATACGCGCTGCGCTGCAGACACAAATAAACGAATAAGCAAAAGATTCGCGCGTCGTATTTCTGTAGGAAACAGGGTAGATTAGGCTCTAGGGAAAAGCCTCTTGGTTTCTAATCGGTTTTGGAGCATTAAGGGATGTGCCGTCGCTTGGCTCGTCTTTCCTCTGAAAGCACGCGATGCCTGGAAACTAGGCAGCAATATAGAAAAGATTTGAACAGATTTTGCTCATAGATTTTTTTTGCTTTCGTTTAAAAGGTGGTCATGTTCAGGTGGAGCAGTCGCCGGAAGAGGTTTGTACAAAGTCTTATTGTTGTTCCTTGTTAAAGAACAGGACTGCGCCATGAAGAACACCATGTTAGCTCCACTGTCCAATGGACATCGTTTGTCGTGGTCTAGTCGATCACTTGTTATTGATCACGACGTTTTGACAACTTACTGCGGGACTATTAGTAGCACAGTGGTTGTTAATGAATAGAGTGATTTAGCAACAGAACGGGAACGTCGGCTAACGACCGGAAGACTTGCCTGCGTGCAGACGTCTCCTATTTCCTTTGTTGCACGCGGAAAGGGTCCCTTTTCCCCGTGCAACAAAGGAAATAGGAGACGTCTGCACGCAGGCATCCGGAAGACGCGCGGAAAGGGCTGATCGCGACTTCCGGTGCCCAATTTGCCGCTGTGCCTTTGGTCAAGCTTTTTTATTTCCGAGCGCCTACGTCATTGCCGTGGTGTAGTCTTTCCTTAACCAGCCAATTATTGCATTTTGAATCGCACGTGTGTTTGTTGGCACCAACCATGAGTAAGGTTCGAAATGCAGTAATCAGTTACAATCACTCTGATGTTACACGGGACGATTCGCAACGACGATTTTTAGCGCAAGACATCGTTGCAATGTAGGAACAATGTTGTAACTATTCGAAACAATGTCGCAACAATGTTGCAACGCTGCGTTGCGCTAAAAGTCGTCGTTGCGAATAGTCTCGTGTAACATCACCTTCACAGTCCCGCACAGCAAATCGACACCGTGACCATCTGAAGTCCAACAGTAAGTACGCTATTTTGAGCGTTTCCTGTCAGTTGTTTTTCGGGCAAGCTCTCACAATGACAGGGGCGCAGTTGCACTAATTTGTATGTTAATGAACAAAAAGACAAGGTTGCCTTAGCCTGTAGGGAAACTTGGTCGATCAGTAACAGTTTTTGATAACTTTTAAGTCGTTTGTTAGTGAATCTCTAGTCCTTGGAAGCTCTTTCTCCAGCTTGACACGCGCGAGTAGTATTAACCCTATTTCATTCTTCTCTGTTACTTTTTCAGCTCGCCGTATCTCACCGCCGTCTCATGCTGGGCTTTTTAGTTCTCCTTGTGACCGGCATAGTGATCGCACTTATAGTGCTGATAGCGGTTGCAGAAGCGGGAGAAGAAGGCGACCATCATTGAAACGAGACAATTAACAGTTGTATGGCGATAATGTATGTTTTATCCTCTGTTAACTGATGTTAACATAATAACGGAACATAGCTTTGTGCTCCTCCATGGTGTTTCTTCGAGATGAGAGTGTAAGATTCGGAGAGTGTGCAATAAAGAAAACTAGACGAACTACCTTCTCGAATCCGGTAACACGCAATAACCTTGTGAGACTTGCATGGACATAACACAAGAAATAGATACTTACCTAAATTTCAAAACCCGAAAACTGAACGTGGTAAATAACGCGTTACTATAGATACATTAGTGACTGGAGAACTCTCCCCAATCTTTTAACGAAACCCATGCCTTGTAAAGTTTTTAAATTGGACTTAAGGGCCAAATATTATAGTTTGTAAAATTTTCATTTCATCCTTTTAGTCGTTAGCCTTTGAATTTTCATGATAGTTAATCTTTTAGTCTGACTGTATTTTTTTTAAGTCATCTAGCCTTTTTAGCCTTTCAACTTTGTAACCACTAGCTTTTTAGATCTGATTGTTATTAGTAGTTTTAGTATTATTTAATCTTAGTCAGAGGACCTCCCTCATAGCAACTTAATGTAACGGGAACTTCCTTTTTAACGATTGTTATTATTATTACTATTATTATTATTATTAACCTATATGAATCGTGGAGTCCGCTGTATTGTAACAAATACTCAGGAGGGGATGTTCATTATATTGTTATCCCAACACCCAACAGAGGCTGCGAATACCGCCATCTTAGTCGAATTTTCGGAAAAATATCTGTTCGCCATTTTCTGCCTCTCCTAGGGTTTTCGAACATATAAAAAATGGTATAATCCCCTAAAAGTTCACCTAGAATTTTCAGGAGCCTGTTTTCGCTCCCTCGGATCACTAGATGTCGAGGAATCCGAGATGAAAAATTTTTAGGTGATAAAAATATGCCTATATCTACCGTTTAAATGCTAAAATACATTCAACAATGCTATGTTTAAGTGGTTTTGAACTATGTTCTCGTTGGGTGCCCCTGGCTCCTCGCCACTAGATGCGAGGAGAGACTGCTGTATTCGATCCTTTCGTATTGTGTCTTTAACAATAGGAAAAACTTGTTATTGATAACAAGGGGGCAAAATAATGGCTTAGGGGAGGGTTAGGTGGGCAGTTTCCCAGAACCCTAAATTGATCCGATAATAAATTAATCGCATTACGTTGTATTTCGTTATTTCAGGTTTTTTCTGCAGGAGAAGAGAGTTACATCACCACATTCCAACAGATGATTAGTAATCCGACTTAATAGAAGTTAAGCATGAACTCAGTTGAAGAGGGAATTATTGTTTTGCTGTTAATTGTATTTTTAGTTATATTGGAAACTTTTATTAACTCAGTTGTAGATATTTTGTTTTTTGGCCATCTTAGCTTAAGAACAAACAAAAAGCAAACTGCGGTGATAAACGTAAGGAAATATAAACGTATTTCTGGAAAGAAAAAAAGACTTTAACTTGAAGTTTCGCATGTTCCAACGTAGATCTTCAGAAGTACTAAACCGTTTAATAACAACAGAAATTTAAATGTAGGATAAGTAACTAATCAAAGAAACAAAAAAAACATATAGTAGAAAATTTGCATGTAAAGGAAAAAGCATCAAATGAAAAAGGTAAAGTTTTTCATTTTCATTTAGGGAAGGTTGTAAATCCCTAATCAGCAGAGTCTCGTAATAATATGAAATGGAACCATTTCGAAATTTTGGCAAGAGGACGGCCGGACACCCATTGCAAGATAAAAGAGACTCTGCTGATTAGGGATTAGGGAAACGCGAATTTTAAAGTCATTTCTTTCCGGAAATGCGTTGATATTTTCTTATGTTTATCACCGCAGTTTGCTTTTTGTTTCTTTTTATTAACTCTTTGATGTCTAAGTTCTTTACAAGCCAGGCGTGGTTGTCCTTGAACAGCCTGTGCTTTGTATATGTAAGCAAGACATTATCAAGTTGACTTTTCGGCTCACATATTGAAGCATATTTATGTTCATCTATTTCATTTTTTATGTAACCGATCCTTAGATTATCTCTGTGTAAACGAACACGAATAATAATAGAATTGTTATTGCCATTACTATAACAGTAATGTTTTGCTTATCAAAAACCAATTTCGTTAAAGAAGATAAAAAAGCATTATGTAACTCTATTTTGTTTAAGGAACAGTCTTTCATTTCACTTATGGTGGGATAAGTGGTTCAGGAAGGGAGTGTTCTGGATGATCTCGGAAATGAACTAGCTATAGGTTAAGAAAGGCATTATATTCCCCCCTACAAAAAAACTCAAACCTGCAATTATTTCCTCGTAGAATGCTCGAAAAATCTCTTATTTTTTGCGATCCTTTTTTGGGGGGGCATTCTTGTGTGAGTGCGCTCTGTATTTTATTGTAAACAGACTTGTTTTCACAAGGAAAACACGGCGCTATCTTCCCATTGGTCGGTGATAGAAACATTCTTCTTTAATGACTTCGCTCTTTGAAATTAAATCCTCTTTATCAACTCATAAATAATTCATGACGACAAAAACAAGAAATCTCTACTGGAGGTTTCGATTGTAGATCCTTGTTAGTTCTCTTAATTTTACCATGAAATTCTGCGGACAGTTTGGCTTTATGTTTCTTTAAGAATGTTAATGTTCATTCCAGGACCTTCATAGTCATGATCGATGATCGTCGAATTCCGTGAAATTCTTGAACATAATAAGCGCTATTCGATTCACGTGCGTGCAAAATTTAGTAGAATACAAAGTAATTTTACTTTACACTTATCAACCGGATGTTTTATAAGGAAAAATAGGGCAGAGGTGAGAGGGTTGGGTAATCATCACAAACAGACTCTGTACCCGGAAATGGACAAGCATATGGCCAGATTCCCAAGGTGCACCACACATTCTCTAAAACTCGAAATCGAAAGTTGAAGTAAGAATTCCCTCCCACATTACAATTTCGGTAAATTAAAAATTATCGAGCGTAAAATCTGAAATTGAGACAGTTTGTTTGCATAATTCTAACGATTTAGAGATTTTAACTTTAGTTTAAAAGTTATATAAGTTTTGCAGCCTCGTTCCTCGTATGTGGTAAACATTTCCACAATTTTGATATCCTATACCTCCACCACTACCAAAGGTGGTCCATACACCTTAGACAGTTCTGGTTGTATGCCGTCCACAGAGAGGAGAACCTCAGCTCTATTAACCCTTTAAGCCCTAAAAGTGATCAGCATCAAGTTTCTCCTTGTAATATCAATGCTTTGTAAAACAGAGTGGTCATGAGAATTACGAACATGATCACACGAGATGAATTTGCTTAATATTTTAACAACTTCTCCCCACTTCTTCTGTAGGAAATGAATAAGGACAACAAATGAGAATTCAAATTTTGATCTTAGGGTTTAAAGGGTTAAATCACACGTACAAGCCGGTACGCATACATTCCCTCCTGGCTGCAAATGACCTCGAATGATTTGAGAATCAGCCTTTGCGCATTCTTACCGTCCCTATTAACAAATACCATCAACTGAAGTGATACAAATCACTTTGACTCTGAAGATGTAGAAAGGTCAGTCACTGTCAACAACAGTCCTATTCGGGACTATGTTCACACGGACGATCGTGCTCAACTTTAATACTTATGAAATGACTCCTGGGTTCAATCCTGTCACAAAAGAATCAGAGCTAAACCGACCATGAACCTCACATTTCAGCTTCTATTTTCGCATATCGTTTGATTTGAATATGACAGTGAGTGCCAAGTTCCGCTTGGCCTGCGTAGCAACCGTTTCCAATCGAGTTATGGCGCGAAAGTTAGAGCGGGAGCGAAAAAAACAAGGTGGAAGTGGGAGAGGAAGGGGAGAAGAGGAAGTTTTTCAAAATCGTGGAGTTTGCGGGCAAGCGTGTCCTGATATCCCCTTCCTGTCCCCCGTCATTCCTTTTTTTCTTTGCTGTCGTCCCAACTTTTCTCGGCGAACTCGCGCGGAAACGCTTGCTACGCAGGCTAAGGTCCGCTGTAAGTATCCCGGTTAGCAAAGGAGGCGCCGTTTCATCCTTTTGCGTGCGGAATTTAAGTAGAATTCCACTTCTATGTTGCTTGACGCTTCCCTTACAAGTTTGTATTGAGTAAACGACAGTTTTGAAATTTTCGGTGCGGTGGGAAATTCTTTCTCCAGGCAGAAGTATAGAAAGAAAAGGCAGGAGTGAGTAGAAAACCCGGGGGGGCTTGGGTGAATTTTAGCCCCTACCCCATTATAGTTAGTCTTCCTAGCAGCCGTTTTTTGGATGTCACGCAACGGGCCCATGCGTCACATTCAAAAAACGGCTGCGGGGAAGACTACATTAGAGTCTATTGTGTGGCGAATTTCAGACCCCATTTTAGTCACTTTTGGGCAAAAGTAATTTTGGCGATCCCACCTTAGTCACTTTCTATTTATGTATCTTAACCTTATCCTAAAAATTATCCTAAAATGAATTGACCCATTTTTTAAATTGAATGAAGAACAGTTTACGTTTCACCTACAATACAAACACTCTTGTACGTTTGCCAACCATAAATATCCATAAATATGAAGACCTATCTTACCGCGAAAATACGAAAATGTGCGACCCCATGCTCGTAACTCTATCGAAAATGCGACCCCATTATAGTCAAACCAGTCGTGAAAAGGCGACCCCATCCAGCGGCACATCCTCATTAGCCTCCTATAGATCGCTTTCGCTGTCACGCAACAAAAAAAAAGTAAATTGGAAACCGTCCAGTGGAAGAAGCCAAGAAAATGGATGTTATAAAAGACTAATGTATAAACAATTTTTCCAAGTCTCAGGTCTTTGTGGACCATAGTTTGAGAGTAATTTGCCGAAACATTTCACGCACCTTTGTAGAGCTTTGTATGGAGACGCCATATTGGTGTACAGTTATGGCCGCCGGGAATGAACAAAAACATCTCGAGTTCACTTTTTCTACAAAAGCTCTTTATTTTCACTGGAGAACTAACATACGTGCGCATAAACATGTCTTCTAATATTTGAAATGGTTATACTGCTGAAAGTCAAGAGGAGAGACTTTTTTTCAACGAGACAGCATTCCTATTTTGGTGTCACGCACTTTGAAAACCAGGAAGTTCTCGAAATGAAACATGCTACGGGAATGGAAACTCGTGCAAAGATTTATTTGTTGTTTATCTTCAACCTAGTGTAAATAAGAATTCTTAAAACTTTACAATGTGATGACGTCACTGTGAAAACCATCCATAATAAGGAAGAAAATTATCACGTACAAACCGTAAGTTGTACAATGGACCCGGAAATAAACACTACACCTCTACCGGTTGAGCTGCTACAAAGGACCTTTGTTTACCGTGATTCTCAAGCGGTTCAAGGCACTTCCTCCTTGTAGCGAGAGTTCTTGAGTCGTTTGCCGTCTGAACCAGGCTGGTCGCCTCTTTTGCCTCCCTCTGTGAGAAATCTTCAAAGGATCATGACCACCAGGTTTGAGGTAATTTTCATTCTTAGTATCATTGGATCTCTTGACTATTGAACAGAAACACGCTGCGACCCTCGAGTTATGAGGATTAGATTTTTACCTCCGCAAAGTATGAGATACATGGAATCTCGATCGTTGCAAGAGACAACTGCCGAACAAAATATGTTTCACAAAAGATTCTTCTTTCTTTATACGTTTCCGCGGTGAATCCTTATTCTTCTTATTGACACCAATGGCATGACATGTATGAGCTACGTATCTAGTGTATCTAGTGTATGTAATTGTGGCAATCGTTTGTCTTATTATATTCCGTCCTACATAATTTTTTCATTATCTTTGCTTCAAATTTTGATTATTCAAATGTATTTGAGTTGTCATGTGTGTGTCATAAGTGCTCTGGATTGTTCAGACCAAAGCTACCCAAGAAACGACGAAGAGGTCAGCTATTTTTCACAAAAATTGCGTAAGTTGGTTTCACTCTGGGGTTAAGCGCTACTAAAATGTCTTGTGTCAAATGAAAACATAAGCACAAGCATGCACAGATTAAGGTGGATAAACTTGGCTGCCCCATAGATTTCGTCACGTTCACAAAAGTTGAGAGAAGGGTTCAGCAACCTGAATAAACAGTACAACGTTAGGCTCTTTACAAGAACTGATATCTGCGGAAATATCAGCAATGAAAAATGCAAAATATTATGTCCTTGAGGCAAATATGTTAATATGTGTCTTTGCTAGTAAGACAGCTAAATGTACAATAGCAAAACAGGCTCAAGTTGTCGAAAGCTGAGTTTTAGCAATTCTATCATTTTTATAATCCTTCAGAGTTAATTTGAATTATTAAAAACTGAACCATTAGATAATGCAATTCTAGAGCTCTGATTGGCTTAGCTATCATAGTATATGAGCCATTATACCATGCTCTTCAAATATGGTAACTGTACGCGTCTGCTCAAAACAAGCTGAAAATCGGTTAGTTTACAAATTAAGTCGCGAAGAATTCTCGATATTTTGTGGGCGTTTTTAATAAAACAATTATTCCCACTTACGCTGGTTGGATATCTGCTACGCGCCTTGTTGTCATATATATCTATTTTGAACGAGCACCTGTGCTCTTAGGGGTTAACGTGGGTAAATAAATTACTGTATTGTTGTATTGTACCATCTCACATCCAACGTGCACTCATGGAATAATTGTTAACTAAAATTTTTCTTATGTTTTAGTCATTCCAGGTTGCATTTCTTGTCCTTCTGCGCATGACCCAGCTATGGGCCTTTTCTGAAGGTCCGCCACTGAGCACGTGCGAGACCATGGAGCCAAAACATCACACCAAGGCGCAATTAAGCCCATCACCTTACAACATCTCTGTGTCCCGAAATTCTTATTCCACAAACGACACCCTTACAGTGACTATCAGTGGATTGGGATCACAGAAATTCAATGGATTCATTTTGCAAGCTCGTGGTATGAACAGCTCAGTGGCTTGGCCAGTTGGAAAATTCACTGAAATTCCTGAAGAAGGTGCGATGAGAATTTCCCTTTCCCATTCAACTTAAAGATCTGGGCCAGGTCCCTCGAAAGATGGTTAAGTTTAACCCAGGATTAAGCCAAACTTTAAGTAACGGTTTCGTTGGTTCACTCTCTAACAGCTTCTAATAACTTAAGTCTCGATCTGTTTGCTTCCTAGGTGCTCAGTTTGTATTCTGCTCTGGAGGAGACCCTACGGTAATAAGTCATTTGCCGTCATTGCGCTTGTTTAGACCCGAGCAGTTCCGCAGGGGCGGATCCAGGATCTTTTTTATGAGGGGGTGCACTCGTCTCTTGCTCTACTTCAAAACCAATAAACCACAAAGTTTTTTTGTTTTTTTGCAGAATACTTGTTGTATTAGAAAACCGCAGGTCATCTCAGGGATGGGTGCGCACCCCCTGCACCCTTCCCCTAGACCCGCCCCTGTTCCGGATCCAGATCTTGAGATAAGGGGAGGGGGGGGGGGCGGCTCTCATCCAGACCCTTAGATAAGGGAGGGGGGGGACCGGTCTCCAAAAACATTTTTTTCGGCCCTTTTGGCCTCAGTTTGGTCTTAAAATAAGGGGGAGGCCGTGCCCGCAGTCCCCTCTCCTGGATCCGCCACTGCCGAGTAAGTTACCTGTTTGGTAGTAATCTGCAACTTGAACCGACGGCTGTAAACTAAAATCTCAGGTCTGGAAATCTTGGATTTGGAAAGTCTTTTAAAACAAGTTCATCTTGAAAGACAGCTAGCTATTACTCTGGTGAAAACGTAGAAAAATTGCAAAGGTTGAATTTCATTTTTCACGAAGACAAAAGTCAAGTGTAACTCAAAGGCAACTAATAGTCCTTGTTTACTTAAGCTACATGTATGATCAATGTTCATGAGAAAAAAATATTGTTTTCTTTTTCAGAATACAGTTGGGAACAACAATCCTAAAAAACTGAAGTGGACTTCCCTCGATTTTAAATGGAAGGCTCCCACGATGAGCGCTGGGGATATAATTTTTTTGTAAGATTAAGTTTTAATAGGGGTAGCCTGTGATAAAGAAACATTTTTGAAAATTTCTAGGTAAAGCGAAAACGCAATGCGAGAGCAATTTCGCTGCTACGCCTCCTCCTCCTCCTCATCGTCGCTGACAAATTGGATGGAGAATCAGGTTTCGTCGTCCGCGCTAGGTTTTGGGACAATTTTGTGCATAGATTGCAGAGAGCATGGACCCATTTCTAGCAAGTCCCAAAAATTTTCGGTGACTCGGAATACTGCTCAGTGTTTTTCTTTTTTTCTGCTGTAATGTTTACATTCAAAAACTTAATACGTTGAACTAAATAGCTTTGCATGCAGTTCGACAACACTAGCAGTTAAAAAAACGACAAAATGTACTGGCTTGTGCATGAACTTGGATCTCAAAATAATTTAGGTTACCAAGCCAGAGTCTTCAGCTGGACTGATCGTTGCGTTTGGGCCAGGGAAGATAAGATCAATACATATCAGGCAAAAACATATAAATCAGTGTTCATTGTCTTATTGTTGTTGAGATGGTGTGTTAGTGTGGTCCTTCATACATTGCATTACGTGTTCCGGCGTCGTCCGCAATATCAAAAAAGTGCCAAAAGCGTCGTTCATTAGCGAAAGCTTATGCATTTTAAGTTGTTTCTTGCGTATGTTCATTTCCAGCGCGACAATCACTGAAAACTACACAACATATTGGGAGAAAGTCAAATCAACTGTGATAACCGGACCTCCAGCTGAATATGTAGTACGAGGGGTATCTACAGAGAGTTTTCAGGTAAGCCTAACAGGTCAAACTCTGTCAAATTAACGATACCTTGTATCACATTATAGACGATCATGTCTGCTTTTGGCGTGGTTTCCAGTTCTGTCTACGCAAGACGGGCGGTATTACGTTCTTAGCAAATACATGTAGCACACATCGCGAAAGCTATGCAGAGGATCGTTTATTTTTCAAACAAGATAATTTCGCCCTCAGCTTCTCCTCTTCCGGTGCGGCTTGGTCATGGCACGGAAAGTAGGAAGAATACAAACTGCAAAGCGCCAGCCACTTGGAAAAGTAGGGAGCTTGCAGAAGGACGACAGTTTTTCGCCGTCTTCTGCACAATTACGACGTCCAATTTCCTGACACGACGTGTTACTTTGAAGCTGAACCTTATTCGACGACGATGGAACTGCCTTTCTCTTTTTGGACTTGTGGGTGGCCCCTAACAATTAAACTTAAGGAAACTTCGTCTATAATAGACAAATTGAGGACGCAAATTAGTCGTGGTCGTCAAGATGGTTGTGCACAGAAGATACTATCCTACTCTACTTAAAACAGGAACGTTCTCCAGAAAATAAACCGGCAGATTTTGTCCACAGGCCCAAATGTTAGTAATATCTTACGTTTTTTTGAAAGGAAGAGCTGAAGGAAGTGGCTTTTTTTTCTCTCTACAGATTGACAAAACCGGATGTGGTACGGCCAAAGGATGCTTCTCTCTTCCATCCGATTGCAGAGGAAGTGACGACTGTAATTTTCTGTTTACATATCAAGTTTCTGGAGGAAATGTTTTCATGGAAATGAGTGCTAAGCAACGCTGGGTTTCAGTTGCATTTAATGAACAGCAAAAGATGGTAGGTATGACAGCAATAACGAAGAGCGGTACAATTCACCATCGCCAACCCTGACCACAATCAATTCCCACTTGCATGACATACAGTAAATGACGAATGACTCTCGTCTGGATGCTTAACAATTGCTGAAAAACGCTTTCTAGTGTTTGCGTTGTAATATATCATTTGTTAATTGAACAAATACTACTTCTACTATTCTTGTAATTCTTCTTCTTCTTCTTCGTCGTCGTCGTCGTCGTTCTTTGTCTTCTTCAATTTTCCTTCTTTCATGTCTTCCCCAACAATACATGTGCACTCTTTTTTTCTAGAAATATAATAAAGTAAAATGTAGTTTCATTGACTTAAAGGACAAAATGGATTGCATACTGTGTGCCACCATGGCAAACGACTCAGTGGAATTACGCCATTATTCTTCGCGTCGCCACAGCATGGACAGGCAAATTTTGGTGAGATTACTAATAAAGCTAGTTTATCTGAAATAGGTGACCGTTTGTAAGACATTGTAGAAAAAAGGGGGGATTTAACTTTCCTCCAAACATCTCCGTCCATCACCGCTATTGGCTTTCCTATTTTTGCTTTTGTTCATCTACCGTACCAAGCACTTTTTTCATGCTACATTTACTTCCAAGAATGGTCGGTAGGATATTTTACTATCTGAAATTACGTAACCTACAACCTGCAGCCATGTTCCGAACTAATCCTCTGGGAGTTGAACTCCTTTCTTATTTAAACACGTTCTTTTGTTCCAACAAATTTGCATCGATACATGGCCATGTGAGTGAAAAGGCTCAATTTTTTCGTCTGTGAATGAAATGGTACGACAGTGGTATAAATATTTATAGAACCTAATGAATGGACGATTAAAAAAAATGTTGCTTTACCTATTTTAGGAGGTATGTAAAAAATATGCTGAGCAAAATCCATATCAGCTGACAAATGCACAGTATTAACGGTTAGGGCGTGAAACTCCGAGTTACAACTTTTCATCCTTTGCATTTGTTCAGTATAGAATTCATAAGTAGCTCTTCATCATTCGACTGAAACCTATTCAGCATTTTTTACTTTCTTAGGCTGCATTAGTGCCATATAAGTGTACACTTTAGAGTTAAATTAGCTAACCTCAAAAAAAATGTTTCAGGCTGGCAATCACGACCTTGTTTTGAATACGATAGGGTATGAGGATGGCACAATCAAGTGCAGGTGAGTTTAAAAAATCTCTGCGCAACTCTCTCGTAATGGACACCTCTCTAGGACGGGCACCTGGTGTTGGTCCCTGCCGTTTTTCAGTCATTTTACTGTAACTATACTCCCTATATGAAGGGCACCTCTCTAAGACGGACAAAGAACACTTTTGAAACCGTCAACGGACAATTGGGAAATGGCTGAGGGTATACTGTTGCGCTATTAGACAACGAAACCGTTAAAGTTTGCTTGTAATGAACGTTTAATTGCATAATGAGACAATTATTTGTTTTAATTAGTTTTCTGTCACTATTTTCCAGTTTCAGCTGTTTTGAACAAGTTAAGCAGACGTGTGTATTCATTACGGATAGGTTAAGCTTCAAAAAATTGCTCGTATGACGTTACCTCCACTTTCTATAAGCCGGACATATCTCTAAGACGGACAGTCAAGAACGGTCCCGAAGGTTTCCGTCTTACAGAGAATTGACTGTACTACAGGGCAATATCGTCTTATCAGCTCTGTAGATATGCTAACGGTTAGGAGAGCTGTCTAGTCTGTCTACCTTTTATGCGACTGGACCAGCCGTTTGTGTTTGCCCCTTCAGTTTGCTAGTGCATAATAAATATTTTTATTATTTCCCTTCCAGGGTCACTCGTAAATTAACTTCAAATGCAGCTTATTTCAGGGATCTGACCAAGAAGTGGTATATTCTATTTTCTCATGGACCGACATGTACGTACTAATAATCTGCCTAAGCGATATTTGTGTTAATGGTAGGTTCTTGGTAATCCGGAAGGGTGCGATGACCAAATGACGTAATACAAAGGAATGAAACACACTGAATAATTAATAATTATTCCTCGAGCCCGAATGGGCTCTGAGTCAATAGCTATTGACTCAGAGGCCATGAGGGCGAACGGAATAATTGTTTTAATAAAATCCAACTAGTTGGTCAAAAATATCGAGACAAAGCAACTTTAGCTAGTTAAAGCTAGACTTCAATCCTTTTTTGCCGCCCAAAAGCTGGCGCTTTTCGCTACTATAGGGGGCTTTAACATATAGCCCAGTAGTAGCTCAACCAATCAGAACGCACCATTGATAATAGACGACTAGTTGAATTTTACTAATACCCATGATGCATGATGTGTTTTACGTGATTTACCCCTCAGCAATCTTCCGTAAGTCGACATCTACACTAGCAATGGAAATAGCCAGCTATCTAACGAACTTCAAGTTTGTGTTAATAGTTTGGTGATAGGCCACTTCATAGTTCCAAAAGCTCTGACTTTGAAGAGGAGACCAAATGCGAAACCTTTCTTTTGAAAATGAATTTTATTTGCATGAGAATAAAGAATCTTTTTCATATCAATAGCTTCGCACTTAGCCTCGCTTTGAAACAGAGGCTTGAGGAAACCCTGAAATGCCCCCTTGATGTTGCCACAGGTTTGTTTCAAGTGTTTACGTTAAAAGCATTTTACTTTTCACGTGTTTTTGTTGATTTTTGTTTTCAGCCGCTACCGGAAGTGGGCTGTATCATTCAAGAAATCGAACATTCACTGCTGAAAGAGTGGATATATCTGTTCCTGCGATATTGATAGACGGACAAAGCCAAATAAAGAACATTGTAGGATACGATTTTAATTGTTAATTCCAAATAAATCATCCATCCATCCATTAAGTCAGTCAGCCAGTCAGTCAGTTAGTCACTCAAACAGTCAGTCGATAATTCATTCATTCATTCATTCATTCATCCATCCATCCATCCATCCATCCATCCATCCATCCATCCATCCATCCATCCATTCATTCAATCATTCTTTCCCTTCCTTCCCATCTTCGTCTGTCCGCTCGTTCATTCATTCATTGGTTACTACCAACCACTTTTAACCAGGCGCCATTCCGAAATGGCTAGTTCGGATCTTCTTAGAGACAAGACAGAACAAAAAACAAGTATTCCCACTAACATCAAATTTTTGAATTTGTTTTTAATTAATACCGGCTTTAAGTATTACTGATCAGAGAAGCTGTAGGAAACACTTGGAAAACTGGCCCATCTGATAAATAGATATTTGGAAGTCATTGAGGAAGAGTAGATTCAACCTACTTTTCGATCTCTAGATCTCCGGCTACGCCTTGCAACAAAAGTCGAGTTAAAAGCCTGGTAAGTCTGGTTGAGCCAGACTTACCAGGCTTTTGAAAAACGAAAAGCAAAATTGAAAGCCTTGTTGAGCCTGGTTTTTCCAAGCTTTCGAGGTAAGCCTGGTTAAATTTACCTCGAAACTCTCGTAACATAATCCAATTGAAAGTCCCTCGATGCTGATGTATGGCGTCATCTTATTCTCGTGCTCAACCATTCTTTAAGTAAAAACAGACAAATATAAAGAGAAACCAACCTTAAAACTTTCATATTCCTAATATCACAGATCAATAAAGACGGATGCGGGAAGACAAAAAGCTGTTATTCTGAGCCTGCAAACTGTAAAGGCACCAGTGACTGTGACTTCCTTGTGACCATCAGACCCGTGAAGGGTGTGGACTGCAGTGATGACAACGGCGAGGTGGAATTCGAACTTAGTACCAATAAGGATTGGGCTGCTATTGGCTTTAACAAAGAGAAAAAGATGGTAATGAGGGGTACTAACCATCTATATGGGAAAATCAAAAATTCTGAATCGAAAATCAAATGGTTTGCTCCATTCCGTTTGGGAAGCTTCGCAAAATATGGACTGTGATTTGAGGCGATGCAATTTTTTGGCTTTTTTTGTACCCTGTAGCTGGCCCTTCTCCCACCACGTCAAATTTCATAGTTTTATTCAAAATATCACCGCCCAGGTGGTTTGTGTAAATGTTAAGCACCCTAGGTCCCCAGATCGAGGTATAGGGTGTAATCAGCAGAACAGTAATTGAACAATGTCATCAAAGAAAGTCAAGGTGTTACGTAGTATCATTCACATCAACATATTTAAGAACGTAAATCTATCAAATTTTTACGTATGGTCTTGGAAAAGCTATAAATAGTTGCAAGTTTTGCAGTTCTTCATATCACATGAATATGACTTTGATTAAAGTCGAAATATTGCACAACACTTTGTATAAAAGAGTGCGCGAAAGGTCTGCTAAACGCAATTTTTATTTGGCTTTTTCCCACCTGTTTTTTTTTTGTTTTGGTTGTATTATGTGACTGTTTTAAGGCTGGAACCGATTCTTTGATCTGTATGAAAGGAAGACAAAGGAATTATCTGCGGCACTTTGTGGCTGACAATGGTTACGGGACACCCACTAGGACACGTCCAGTAAGTATTTCACATCATTCACTGTGTGCTTAAGTATGATGCTTTTTAATGCCTTTTCAGTATAAACTGATCAGGCGTGCAGTCAAGATGGTAACAAGCTCTAAATTTGGGTGATATAATAGGGAGCTTAGGCGGTAACACGGCGACGGCAACGAGAACGGCAAAAAAAGCAATAGGATTAGAGAAGCAAAACAATAACTTTACACGTGCATCACGCTTTTTTGTACATTTCTTTGCCGTTGTTGCACGACTACGACGTGAAACTTCCTAATTTCATGTTTTGTGAAGAATGTGAACACACCGGACAACGATTTTGTTTTTCTTCTCCTAAACTTTGATACAGTCCTTTAGGATTCAACTCTTCAAAAATCTGCCAACATTTGACGAATTAAACGAGATGGAATAATAAAGTTTGAAGCAGCGTGAAACTTTTCAAGTGACGTTTTTGAAACCGTCGCCGTCGTTATTGCTTAAGCCCCCTAATCAACCTCGTCCCCAGGTCGCTTTTCCCGGGCTTTGGAAAAGCGCCCCAGGACGAGGTTTCCCCCTAATGCAACACGCGCGTGGCAAGCGAAAGGAGACGCGCGTTCCCTCGCCGTCCGGGACGTTGCTCGCCTCTCGAAATGGAGAGCTTGCTCGCTACCATCTTGGCCCTCAGAGCCGAAAACCCATGAAGTCAGTACTCGCATTTTGCATTATTTAGCTACCTGATATTTGCTAAGTAGTATTTACTTGGACATTGACAGACCCAACCTTCAGCATTCATATTACTTGGTATTACTCTCTGGCTACGTTTTTAAACTCCCAAAAAAAGAGCAAACTACAAAAAGTCAGTCTTGTTGGATTCTAAAGAAAAGAAAAGAAATTCAATAACTCGTGTAGAGCCGATCACCCCTACAGCCTACTTCTGATTGGTTTAAAAATTTGTTGGTTTTTCCCTTTGTTTGTGATTTAAGTATATTGTACCGTTTAAGAAACTAGTCGAGGTATGTGTCGAAACGATGGCAATCTGAACTGGCTGGAATTCAACTTCAGCTTTCCAACAATTACTTGTGATACTACATTTCTTTTTACATATACATACTTCTTGATTTCAGACACCTTCCTCTTTAGTTAAAACATTAGCAAAATCAGAAAATGGAGTGCTCAGCTGTCGGTAAGTCAAGCGCAGTTTCTTGGTGTGGTCCAATAACTACTTCAAATAAAATAGCTAACAAAGAATGGTATTACTTTCTCCAACACCCAGAATCAACCGCGTTTAGTTTCAAGTTAAGATATCCGTTATAATTTATATTTGTTTTTTCTTCTGAGGCGATAAGTCTGGGAGATGAATTTTTCTCATATAATATCTCCTTTTTTGACTTATAGTTTTAAAAGACTGAAACGGGATCCTAAGATGGTGGATCTAACGCAGCCATGGTATCTGGTTTATGCCAGCGGCCCCAACAGTACGTAGCTTGCTGATAGATAACGACAGTAAACTGCTATTTAACAATTATTCCACGAGCCCGATGGGCTCTGTGTCAATAGCCCATGAGGCCGAAGGCCGAATGGGCTATTGACTCAGAGGCCAGGAGGGCGAGAGGAATAATTGCTTTAGTAAAATCCAACCAGTTGGTCAAAAATATCGAGAATAAAAAAAATTTAGCTACTTAACGCTTTTTGTGGCTTTTTTTATTTGTGTTAAAAGTTCTAAATATCACACCTACAAAAGCTTTCATGTTTGATAGGAAGCAAGGTGGAATATAAAAAAAGCACAGTCTGTCGCACTAAATAATTAAAACGACTGACATTTACTTGCTGTTCATGCCAGTCCTTTTCTTTTTTTAAAAAAAGATGATGATGGATCAATAGGTATTCATACTTCATCGCCTAAAACAAGTCCAGAGAAGATCAAAGTATGTGAAATTGCGACTCTGGTTGGAGAAAAGAAGGACACGACCCTGATAAAAGTGCACGGTAAGATTCATTTTAACCCTTCAAGCCCCAATATCTACATACAAATTCTCCAAACTGGTCTTTATACATTTCCTTAAGGAATAAGTTGAGAGAATTTGGTAGAAGATCAAAGCATTTTCCCTAAGGTGATCATCTTATTAACTCTCATAACCATTTCTCTTGGTAACATATGGATATTGTTAGGAGAAAATTGATCTTGGTCACTATTGGGACTTACAGGGTTAAAGCAGTAACTGGCAGCTTAGTTGTCCCAATTTAATTACATACTTCGTTTTTAAGGTTTGAAAACAGATCTTTTCCTCTGCAACACTGTATGTGAAATTATTGTGAATTACTGTCGTTGTAGGCTGTTTAATGATTATCGCGTGGGTTGGCTCTGCTTCTGTTGGAATTTTCATGGCTCGTTATATGAAGGTAGCATTTGGTAAAAGGGAAATGCTGGGTACCAAAGTCTGGTTTACGGTAAGACATGACGTTACTCAATTAAACCTAAGCAAACACCGGTGTGAGTAATTTTTTGAGTGTCATCTTTACTGAAGGTCTTTTTTTAAACTTAAAATTTGGTCTTGTTAGACCACTTAAATAGCTATTTATAAACAATTCTGCTAATTTTTAACTGTCAATATTCACTTTGAAATTCATTTAAAACTTGAATTTTTTAGGACATCTTCGAAACACTCCTTGCATTTTGCAGTGATCGGGTCGTCCTGTCAAATCATGCAGCTCATCAGTGCTGGAATAAAAATGCCACATCTTTGAAAAAGGTGACAGGCATTTAACTTTAATCACTTGAATTGTACCTAAGTGGTTGTTTTCTTTTTGTTTGACAGTTTCATCGAGCATTGTTGGTCTTCACAGTGCTGGTAACAATCATTGCGACTGTCATCATTTTTATTCACGCCGGACACTGGGTAAGTTGAGCACTATCCCAACCTCGTCCCCAGGTTACTCTCCTACCCGTCCCTCTCTCGCTTCGTAGGGAGGGGTAGGAAATAACCCTGGGAACGAGGCTGGTACTATCCCTAAAAATAGTTCTTTACGTTTGAGGAACAATAAAAACGCTTAATAAATAAATATTTAAATAAATAAATAAATAGTTTGAAGGAGTGGGTTTTTAAAGAGGGTAACGACTGATGAGCCAATATTTATTGCATAATTGCCGGCTAACGGTTAGGGGTTTTTTAGTGCCATGCGTGACTGTTTCTATCAAAATTATGTTTTGGCTGTTAATGTAAATATATCAATGACATTTCTCTGTCCAAAATTAGAGCCCAAATTTAGTACACATTTTCAAAATGAAATTCTACTTAGGATTAAAAAATGGGAGCAAGCAAAAGTTTGCAGACTGTTGGCCATGTTGGTTATGTTTTTATGTCCGTCTTTTCATAAGTCTAAGCCTCTCTCTTCTTTTTTCTACTGTTAGATGCCTGGTGCTCATACTGTCGTTGGTATTATTGTGTTGGTACTCGCTGTCATTCAGCCAATTATGGCATGGTTCCGACCCCACCCTGGAGATAGCAAGTATGTGAGCTGAACCTTTTTCTTCCTTTTTCTTTTGTTCTAATTAATTGGCATAGCTGTTGGCCACGCAAGTGAAAAGGCTCTTTTACCCAAAACTTTCATTTCTCCTTCGGAGTTACTTTCTTTTGTCAGATGTCTATCAGAGGCACTTTTGGAGAAGGACCATTTTCGGGAAGGAAATATCAAACTCCAAACGCAAGAGTCAGAAAACCAGAAACTTCTGGTGAAGTGAAATCTCGCGCGTTGTAAAAGCATACTAGGCTTATTTAGCAACAGGACGGGGACGTCAGTTGACAACGGCGCGTGCAAATCAAACAATTCAACTGGCTTGACCAATGACAGAGCGTTAAATTAAGCACCGGAAGTCGTGTTTAGTCCTTTCCGCGCGCTTTCCCGTCGCCAACTGACGTTCCCGTCCTGTTGCTAAATCAGCCTACTAACTATGGTAAAACCCAGGAATTCACGATCAATACGTCATCACAGAATAAACTCGTTCACAGTTTTCCGGACTTACAGGGACACAATTTTCGCCAGTCTGAGGCACTTTGAAGGTTCAAATAGGCTCTGATAAATTGTGCGAGGATAATGGTCGGAATAATTCGTCTTTTTTTCAATCAAATTTCTTTCGATAATTTCTTCATCAAGTCATGTAAGGGTTTAAATAAACTTAAGGAAAAAATTTACTACATATACACCTTTAACTAAGCGAACTTCAGGATGCTATAGCTAGCGATCTGATGTTAGTAACTGTTGGTTTTCTCCTACCCCTCTAGCCGGTACCTTTTTAATTGGGCGCACCGTGGTGTTGGTCTCTCTTCGCTGGTTTTGGCTGGTAAGACATACTAACAAAACCGTGTTTACTCGAATAAGCACCTCGGCACTAACTTACTTTTTCAACTTTCTCGGTGCTGCGCTTATTCGCAGGCGGCGCTTCTATAAATTTTGTTTATTTCCAAATAAAACGGGTTCTCCATATTCTTCCTTTGGTTTACCATGTTTTGTTACAAAATGATAAGTATAGCCAAGTGAACATTTCAAAATATAGCAATAACTAGAATATGAACAACAAGCAGTTGAACCTCTATTAAGCGACTACCTATTAAGAAGCCACCCTCCATTAAGCGGCCAGTAATCAATGTCCTGAAATAATCGTAGAAAAGAATAGGAACTTAAGCCTCTTTTTTGAACGTCCACCTCTTGGCCGTCCCAACGAGAGTTATCCCATTGTTTACGTCTCTATCAAGCGGCCACGAAGCGCTCGATACACTTGTTTGGCTTTATTTCACCAATATGATGAAGGAAATACAGTCTGAGATAGAAGTTGAATACCGAATGTGGACCAGTAAGTTATGCCGCTCCCATCGGGTGCTTGTTTCAAAGTAAAGTAATGTTTCTACTAAAGATTTAGCTTATTTTTGACGAACCTCTATGAAGCGGCCACACGCCAGTACCCCAAGAGTGGCCGCTTAATGGAGGTTAAAAGAGCGAATCAGTCATGTGTGTATAAACATATGTTTACTAACAATGACAATAAAAAATGGGTGCATTTTAGCTGGAAGGGTGCGGCGCTAATTCGGAGACGACGTTTTTTTTTTGGGGGGGGGGGGGTAAATACGGTAATTGTGAAACTCATCCATATTCTCATATTTGTTTCGTAGTTTTCTTCAAAAAGTTTTTTCCATTTATGTACGTAAACAGCCCAAATGGTTTTTTTGGCCAAATCTGCAACCCTGAGATCTCGTCAAAACCCATTTAAATCGGCGTCAATCACATGAAATAACAACTTTTTCACTGAATCTGTGCAAGATTTGCAACGCAATTGCCTAAAAAACATTTTATTTTTTTCTTTCCTCTGTAGTGGCCGCTGTGTTTCTTGGTATTCGCATGGAAGCAGCAGGGCTGGATGACTCGCCTCTGTACGCCATGATTGTGTATTGTGTAGGCGTTCCCTTTGTGATTGTGTTTGATTTTTACATTTCCCTGGAGAAGAGTGACAAAAAGAAGGAAATTTTCAGCTTGACAAAGGAACTGAATCCGGGTAATTTAATCAGGTTGCTGTGTTTATTCCCTTCCTCTAGCATTGTAATTAACAATTATTCCTCGAGCCTGAATGGGCTCTGAGCCAATAGCCTATGATGCCGAAGGCCAAATGGGCTATTGACTCAGAGGTCATTTAGGCTCGAGGAATAATTGTTAATTAGTAAAATCCAACTAGTTGGTCAAAAATATCGAGAATTAAAAAATTTTAGCTAGTTAAATCTAGGCTTTAATCTTTTTTGCCGCCAAAAAGCCAGCGCTTTTCGCTACTTGTGGGCTATAACATATAGCCTAGTAGTAGCTCAACCAATCAGAACGCGGTATTGATTATAGACCACTAGTTGGATTTTACTAATAGATAATACTGGAAGCCAAGCTTCCTCTGTTACCAGTCGACATTGTGGGCTTTACCGTTGTAAAAAACACGTTGCCTGGCAAAGGAGAGTGTAAAACGCGTTGTACATCTTATATTTTCACAACAGGTGATCATGATAAGCGGGAACAGTCAGTAGACAAGGTGGGTGTCGAGTTTTATTAGGGAGCTTAAGCAACGACGTCGGCGACGGCAACGAGACCGGCAAAAAAGCAATAGAGTGCTTTCACATGACGTCACGGCGGCCATATTGGTGTCCCAAAACAATGAAACAGCGGCCATGTTGGTGTCCCAAACTAATCCTTAATTGGGAGTTGAACTCTTATTTTATGCAAACGCTTTCTTTTGTTCTTATAAATTTGCATAGATGCTGGCCACGTGAGTGAAAACACTCTATAGGTTTAGACTGGCAAAACAACAACTTTGCTCGTACATCACTCTTTTTTGCACATTTCATTGCCGTCGCTGCACGACTACAACGTAAAAATGCTTAATTTCACGTTTAGTCGAGGACGTGAACACAAGACAACGACTTTCTTTTTCTTTTCCTGAACTTTGATACAGTATTTTAAAATTCAACTCCAGAAAAAATTGCCAACATTTGACGAATTGAACGAGTCGGAATCAGTAAGTGCAATAAAAGTTTGAAATAGCGGGAATTCACCTTTTAAGTGACGTTTTCGTAGCCGTCGCGGTCGTTGTTACTTAAATTAAGCTCCCTATTAATACCATCTTACGAGCTGCCTTGAAATGTAAGCCGCTTTATGCATCTTTGATTTACAGGGCAATGAACTTAACTTAACTTCGACCTGACCTGGGCCAACGAAACTTAGATACTTGAAATGATGTCCTCGGTTTTGATTGATTGATGAACTTCAAGGTCAGAGTTCTTTGTCGGGAACAACTGACCAGTGATGGGCTGATTAATGTATGGATGCGCTGTAAAATTTTGAGGTTAGAAAGAAAACGAAATGAAAACAATATTACTTGGACCGTCGGATTAAAAACGTTGAGCTTGCAAAAAGGGCTTATACGCGCCAATATAGCATCAAACTTGGCTGAGACTGGTTAACCTTTTTTTGTTATTCTCCATTATTTTTCAGTCTGTTTCTCTCCGCCGTTTCATGCTGGGCTTCTTAGTTCTCCTTGTGTCCTGTGTAGTGATGGCGCTTGTGCTTTTGATAGCAGTCTCAAAAGAACAAGAAAACGAAAGCAATCATGATCATTGAATTGACCAAAAAGTAAGTAAACATTCACTTGGGGATGCATACATGTTTTCTCTGGTGACCTGAGGGCTTTACTCAAATTAGCTATTCACTCTATAAGAGCTGAGAGAGAACGGTTACCAGCTTTAGGTGCTGTGATTTCTTGGATAGTATGGTAAGGCTAGAGATTGCTATTGTTCATCCGTGGAATCCAAGGCAACCATTAACCAATTATTGTTTATATTTTGATTAAAATTAATCGTTCAACTACACGATCTCAGAGATAGGTGTGGTGGAAGCTTGTACTCATTCTCTATGTCGTTTATGTTGTGGCAATAGCACCAATCCTCTCGTTTGAACCGAGCCTACACTAACTAGCTCTTGCCCATGCATCTTAGGATTTATAAGTAACTTCAAATTGGCTTCAATGAAACGCTTAGTTTTATTAGTGCCAATTTGTTTATTTATTGCAGGTTGGCTTTCATACAGTAAACAGTGAACGTATTTCCTGCTTCATTTGGGACAGATAACCTTTATCAGCTTTATAACCCAGAAGAAGTAACATATAAAGGCAGCTGATGAATAAAAGCTTCTTGATTTACGTTTTATGGTTTTTTATTTACTTATAAAAAAATCCTTTTGATTATTTCTTTGATTTGCTGTTAGATTAGCCACAAAATTAAGACAGCATTAGTATTCACTAGTAAGTGAATAAAGAGTCAAACAAAAATTTATGGGCAATTTCAAGTGCCCTAACCGTTAAGGAGCAGGAAAGATTACATCATATTTAGTTAATGAATCTTGATAAACATGAAATCGGAAATTTAAAATTAAATATACTTATAAATATAGCTTTTAATAGCAAAAATCATCAATATCTGCGCAATACACGAGAGCTCGAACATTTTGATCCTTTATAGCCTAGAGTGTTATTCTTGTAATCAACCATTTTTGTAAAATTTCGCCTTCATTTGGCACCATTTAGTTAATGAAACTTTTGACGGTAAACAAACCAATACTTTTTATCCTAAAAAAGAACAAATTCCGCTACCCTTCACTGTAAAGAGAATGTTAAGGCGCAATAAAGTTTTACTGCCTTCGTTGGTCTATTGTAAGTAACAGGGGTGTAATATAGAAAATTGTTATAGTAGTCGAAGTTCCTAAGCACTAAATAAAATGTTGAAATGAATCGAAAGAAAATGAGGCTTATGCCATGATTTGTACCCCAGCAAAGAGGAACTCGTTTTCTGAGTGCACACACCGCTGCATGGTCCGCTTCGTTGCAGAAAATTGGAAACGGTTCTTTATTGTTCGTTCAGAAACAATACAGCAATAATTCATTGAGAAAACACAAACATAATTATGTTGAAGAATATTCTTGCAATCTGTTAGAAACTGCGGAGTGTAAATTTTCTCCAGGGTTTCTTGATAAAAATAGACGAATTCAGAGTGATCGTTGGCGAATGAACAAATCTACATGAAATAATTTTTATACTCTTTTTTATTTGTTTTTGTTTGCTGGTGTATGAAGTCATGCAGTGTGATCACTCAATCAATTCTCTTCAACATATGGGCATTGTTTGTTTGTTTTTATTTTATTTCCTAAAAAAATCTATGATTTAAGTGTAAGTATGGTGTTGGAAATTGTTTACCAAAAATAATGGGTTATAATTTACCTGTGTATGGGACAGTTTGCGCATCGTCACCACTCCATCAGAAGTAGTTAGCTCATTTGAATATTTTACATTTTTCTTTTAAACCTGTGATAATAAACGAATGACGCTATTGCAATTATTCCGGCTTTGCATTCGTATTAGTTAAACGCAGCACTCAGGTGTCAGAACGTTGATACGCTATCTGCAGTTGCATGTTGTACGTAAAAGATGCTGAACTCAAAGGTAGGAACTAAAAAGATAACTGACAAGAAAATCAAATGAAACTATATATTTCAAGATCCAATTTGAAACTCCAATCATGTATTTCAAACCCTTAGTGTGATAATGTACTTATGGTTCTACAAATTTCAGTTGTCTCTAATCAAGCACTCTCTGATTCTCTGATCAATGCAAAGGCAACCTGTTCTTACGAAAGTCTTTGATTGATGGTACATCGTTTATTTTTTGTTTGTTTGCCTTTGAAGAGTCTTTTTTTTACCGACAAAGTATCGCGGCTTCAGTGCATATGGATGGATGCGCTCTGATGGTTAAAAATGTGCTAGCTTATAATCAGTTTATAAGGCTTTAAACAAATTCGGGATAGAAAAACGTCTTCTCTGTAGTACTGTAAATAAGGCCTTTAATCGGTAAAACCACGATGGCAGAAATAAATTGATAGCGCGGTGGTACTGAGGGACACCGTTCATTAAGTTATTACGTAATGCTTTTTGTTAGGTTAGTCGGTTCTTACTTACAAGTGTTATTTTATTCATATATGAAAGGCATTAACGAGTAAAAGAAAATCTACTGAAATTGGCCTGAGAAATAAAAAGAGGAAAATAAAATTTACTTGTTTCATGGAGTTGCTGCGGATTTCATGATAAGGAAATAGAATTCTTTCGGCAGAGGAAAGGATATTCGTATACAATCGAAATAAACTCCAGCCATGTCTAAGTGGATTATGATGATAGAACCATACAGTACGTTAAATTGCACCAGAGTAAACAGAGAAAAAATGGGGTTTGAAAACGTTAGACACAGATGGAATTTTTTTTAATTAACAGAGGGCTAGTCAAGATTCATTCTCCGCCTGGCGAAAAACTGGACTGGGGTTTAAATACATTTCATCTGACACAGATTTTTGTTTGTATGTTTGGTTTCATTTCAAAATAAAACATTTCGCTAAACAAAATTTTGCAATCCTGTTCTTTAAAATTACTTTCACCACTTGCTTCACATATATCCCTGGTAACTGCAGCGTACGATATTTTTTTAAGATTGAAGGAAAACCTAGACCATACTATGAGGTTTTCGGGATAACACCGAATAGGCGACGAAAATATTAACGATGCTTTTGGGAGACTCGGGAAACTCATGGTTTGTGCATCGTAAAATGGTTTAACCTAAATTTTTCATATTTGCATTTGCAATCCGTGTTAACTCAAGACATGTATACGATGATAACATCCCCACCTACATGATTGAAACAATGGAACATCAGGTGGGTTGGGCCCACCTGATCGTAGTGTCGTGACACTGCAAAATTTAAACAAAGGGTTTTTATTTACTCTCTGTGGTCATTTACTTTGTAAGAACCCCTTGTTAACAATAGCGTGCATTTCACGTCTCCATCCAAACACTGTTTGTTTAGAAATTCATCAAATTTGAGTGCAATTTTCTCGGTGCCAAAAACTTTCTGTTTTTAAAAGCCGTTTTCGATCTTCCCACATCCACGATGGAGCATGTAATGTGAATTTGTAATGAAGTTATTGACCGCAAAACAGTCGTTTTTTTTTCTCAAAATCGGTTTGATAGCTTAAAAGTCTCACGCACGAGAAACTCGCGAGAGTATTTTTAGCGTCTCTCCTCAGTCTCGTTCTCCGTTTTCAGCCTCACTCCAGACCTTTTGTTTGACTTTTCGTGCGTTCTTGAATACGCAAATATACGGACTGTTTTGCAGTCTATTTATGAGTAAAAGCAAGTGTTGTTAGAGCCGCTGCTGTGACAACAGTCATATTTAAGTGTAGATCAGTACTGTTACGTGATAAGTCCGTTCTGTTCCAGGCTCTCAAATAGTCAAGTGTTCGCATAGAGGATACTGTTGTTTTTGACAATCCAAGTTTTGACCTTCGACGACGACGACAAGTGAATCTAAAGGACCACGTCGTTCAATTTGTCTTTTTTTTTTTTATTTCGTTATTGGGCGTTACGTCTTGGTCTTGCAGAGTTGCTGTTTTGCTAAAGGACTCCAATCTTTTTCTTGCCATTTCGTCGTGGTCGTTGCTTAAGCTCCCTAGTATCTTGGTATCTGGAAATTAAGTCGTTGTTCGTTTTTTTTCTCTCTTGTATCTAACATTTACTTTAGGAAACTAAAATTTGCTGGCGTTCGTCCGTCTGAATTTTGTTTTTCAACAGTTGTTAGTAGGGTTACTAGCTGTGCTGACGTCACATGGCTTGCTTTCTTGTCATGGGTACCCAACTCATGTACCGATTACAGTCTGTGAATATCTGATGCCAGGACATCAGCTCCAGCCATTACAATTTGCTTTGCCTCAGCCAATGAACACCAACCCTTACTCGATTCACGTGAGCAACACGAGCTATACACCTGGTGGAACGATGACTGTCGTGATTAATGGAACTACGGGAATTAAGGTGAATGAATATGGAAGCACGGATCTTTGGATCTTACTCTTAACATCCAGTTACCTGTGAAAGACAGACGAAAGTATACTTTTGGTTAAGTCCATCTGCGAGCCAGCGCAGAAATGTCCGTTATGGACCCCCACCCATGTACCAGGATTTGAGTACGCTCCATAATTAGCCTGTTGAAAAGGCAATGTGATTTGATGATTTGCCAGTCAGGTTAAAGGGAAATTCCAAAAGCACGTCAGGTAATTCGTTGAGTCCGTTGGACCCCAGAACAAGGATCTCCGCGCTGCTTCGCAGACGTCACTAACCGGGTCTAGATTACGTCTTCGACGCAGGCTACGTGAGACCCTTTACCTTGAAAGTTCTAATTTGTATCACCAGCAATAAAACGCGAACGTTAGTCATTTACAATTTACTACTGCGGCTCTGCAATACAGGAGTTAAGTTGTCCCAAAGCCCCCTCCAAACGAAAAGAACAAATTGTGAAAATTTAAGATTTTTACTGATAATGCCTACATATTTATCCTTACAGGGTTTCATTATCCAAGCGCGCGCTGCAGGAAGTCCCTTACCAGTTGGAGAATTTCAGGGTAGCCTACCAAGCAACCAGACTTATATGTGGTGTTCCGGTGGCGAACCGCAGGTGCATTCTAATAGCAAAATTACACTATGACCTCCTTTTTCTACAACTACCAGAATCCTTCAGCTCGTTGTTTTCTTGGGAAAATTAGGGCTATCGATATTATTATTTAATTAAGAAAGCAAAAACGAAATGAAATCTGGTAGTTGTAGTTGGGAAGTTTCTCAGGATCTTTTACTGATCCAATAAAATTCGAAGAAACTGCCCCACTACCCTTCCCTTAACCTAACGTTTATAGTTACTTCTCACTTGGGTTGGGGAGGTTGGGGAGGGGGTAGGTGGGTTTCCCCACGATCTTATACTGGTAGCCAATCATGAAACGATAACGTTTCCAAAACGTAGTCTCACACTGTGTAATTCGACGCAAATCCGACCCAACCTCATCACACGCAGCCTTAGAACGGCCAATACTCCTCATTTAATTTTACTTCTATATTCTTTCTCTGCCTAGGCCTTTATCTGTTACCCCTCCCCCCTGCATCTCAAGAGCAAATCCTACCTTTTTCTATGCCTCTTTCCCCTTTTGACTCTAAAGACTCTAAACATCGCTCTCTTTTATCCTTATTCCATCACCAGAATACAGTTGCCCATCGCCGTACTGGCCTGGCAGACAAGTCGTGGATTTCATTGAAATTCACCTGGAAAGCACCGGAAGCCCCTGTTGGGAACATCTCTTTTTGGTAAAAATGAGCAACATGTCTAGTGATTGTATTTTACACAAACCAACCAGTGCAAGGAAAGCGCTGCGTGGTCAGTATAAATGATAAATATTTCCAAAAGCGAAATTTGGATCTACTTTCGTCTTGTTCATTTTGTCTTTTTCGATGAAAACTTAGTCTAGGAATAGGTTCTTCATATTAGTTCATATTAGACAAAATGTAATTACTTTTCAAGCACCAGAAGGTGACAGCTGCTTAAAGGTATACCTGACATTTTCACTCAGGGCCAGTCTTCTTTACAACTATACCACATTTTGGATGAGAATCCAATCTGCAGAGGTCAGCGGGCCTACAGCTGTAGCAAGGCCTTCTCCAACACTACAACCAAGCTTTGAGGTAAATATAACTTAACGGATGCAGGACATCTTTGGTTGGGTAAGGCTTGAAGAGTCTTCCTGTGTCACGCTATTTGGTGTCTTTTTAAACAGCTAAAACGTGTTTTCGCATCAGTTGGATTTTAAAATTAAAGTAATGATCAAGTTTTGTTATTTAAGACTTTGTTTAGCGCTGATCTGTCCTGCAAAGTGGGTTGTCGGGAGCGTCGCTTCATGGTGGTCATGTGCATTTTCAGGCTTTATTCCCGAGGCCTAACTTGTAATGATTTATCTGGAATGAATACAACCCAGAAGGAAATTGGGCTGAATTAACATTCGCAAAGACTTCTGGGTCTACTAAGGACAGAGGAAAAAATTGGCCAATAGCTGACCGGTGTGTCCTCTGTAACGATCCCAGAAGCACTTGCGGGAGGTATTTCGGCTCCAGTCCTCTTCTTGTTTCTTAAGTGGCGAATGAGTAAGAATGACAAGCCGCTGGACCTTGGCGTGGCACAACTGACTAAGTCGAAATGGCTGTTTATACTGAAAATAATTTAATATCCTGAGAAGTGATGTTATTATTATTATTGATGTTTCAGATAACTAAGCAAGGCTGTGGAAGTGAAAAGAGTTGTTATTCCGAGCCAGAATACTGCACAAACAGCGCCAATTGTGCATTCCTTGTAACTTTCAAGGCGGACGGTGACAACATCACATTTGAGATGAGCGGCTCTCACCGCTACATTGCTGTTGGTTTTAATGACAAGCAAGAAATGGTAGGTATTTATAATGTCTGTACACCAGCCTGATCACCAGCGGCCTCCTTCCCATAATTCTCCCTCTTGATGTAAATTTCCACGGAAAGGAAGGCGGGAAGGAGAACACGAGCGAGACGTCTGGCCTCTTCTTTTTGCTTCCCGTGGTCCCTTGCGTTTCGCCACCATTCGATCACTCGCGTTTCGCGCTCGCCTTTGCTCGCCTGAGGAGAATGCAGTCTTTGATGCAGATATCTCCTAACAGGAAAACAAGGCACGTTTTTCACGCTACCACTTTCCTCTTTATTGCACACCCACGATTCCCTAGGGATTGGTTTTGCACAGGAAGTACACTACATCACTATAGTTTACCTACGCTTTAATGAGATCTATTACCGACGACGAAGAATTTTCAAAGGGCGCCATCGTCCTGCAAGGAGGCCCAACAAATTTTCTGAATTGTCAAAAAAAAAGAACTCAAACGCCAATCAGTCAACGTTTATCGCGACACCAACGCAGCAAAATGTAGCTTTCTTATTCTAGATTTTGTACTCAGTTTTCCAATAACTTTTCTTGCCTTTCAATCGTTGATTAATTAATTGTGCTATTGTCCTTCTTTTTTAGAACCAAACCGATACAATTTCCTGCTCAACATCCTCAAACAACGCTGTTGAAATTAGACATTACTTCTTGGCTTTTCGTCAGCCAATACGAACTGACATAGTAAGTGTGAACGATTTTGTTTGCCATACATATTTTGTACCTAAGGGATAGAACAAGAGACAGGGGCGGGGTATCTCACAGTTATCTCAATAACAATATCACAAAAAAGTGTTAAATTTAAAGGGCGTGGTCACGTCTAGCAAGACAGTTAACGCAAGCCGTACCAAACCTCAGGAATTATACTTGCGCACATATTGTGAACAAAAAAAGATCATTTTCAGGTGTTTTGACAAACTCTCCTCGAATAATAGCCGTCCCTTCATTAATCGCCCCTCGAATAATCGCCCCTCTGTGACGGAAATATTTAAAATAATCGCCTCCCTCGAATAATCGCCTCCCACCCGCTCCTGTCGCCATCTTCTCTTCCTTTTATCCTCTCCCTGTCAAGTTGAAGTGCAATGTGATCCAGCAAAACAGATCAGTGACGATTCAAGCTATGAAAATTACTGAAGGAACTAAATTTGGAACACTCAAAAAGCCCATGTTCAGTTTATTTGATGTGATTATTTTTTTATTTAATGGGAAAATAAAACAAAATATTTAGGACACGACTTCCAGTGAGCAAAAATTTGAAATAATTGCCTCCCTCAAATAATCGCCTTTCCTCGAATGATCGCCCTCTTTTTGAGCGAAAAAAGATGTAATCGCCCCCTGCTATTATTCGAGGAAATACGGTAAATGTTTGAAGGGTTTTAATTATCTGATGAAAACTTGATCTTTTTCATCAGAGAAACACGGATGACATTGTTCGCCATATGGCTGCCTACGAAAATGGAACATTAACATGCAGGTATAAAATGTAGTGACTATCAGTAAAGTTCTTTTATCTTGTCTATTCTAGACTGCAAAACAGTCGATTTTTTTTTCTCAAAATCAGTAAAGAAATCAGTAAAGGGTGTCTCGTTCCAGACCTTTTGTTTGACTGCTCGCGCGTACTTGAATACGCAAAAATACTGACTGTTTTGCGGTTCATGTCTATTCGTAAGCAGAATATGGTTTTACTTAGGTCGTTCAGGTTTTAAAAAAGACTAACATGGGAGATCAAGGGTGATCAACTTAATTTTGCTTAACAAGGCAAAGAATTGTTTTTCTAGAATTAATTGTTTTCATTGTTATGATAGTACAAAAATAAATTATTGTACCTAATGATTTAGCTACGATACGTCGTCTTTCAACCCCTAAAATTATAAGTGTGACAAAAACCTGTATTTTCTCGCGTCTGCATTTCATTGATTGACCTTATTTATCACGGGTTTTGCAATGGTTCTGTTTATTTCTAGATTTTCTCGTAAACTTTCACCCTCGAGTCCGCACAAGAGAGACCTCATAATGAAGAACTGGTTTTTCATTTTTGCATGGGGCAGCGTTAGTAAGTATCTGTTAGTAATAAGATAACGTATCAGTTCAGTTGGCAGCAAGTCATTATTATAAGAAAAAAATGAAAAAGAATATACTGGTTTGAATTTAACAAACCACGGCCTGGCCAGTAACTCACGCATGCGCACAGGTGGTATATGTGTGCTCCTAGTTTACTATCTGTCTGGTTTAAATGTGCCTTTTTGATGCTCATTCTCATTAAGTTAACAGTTTTCTAACTAGTCTATCGGAGGTCCTAACTGATCCCTATCAGATTCAGAAAGGGTAGACGGTCCAGGCTCATTGATCTCCCAATCAGTGAGGCTAGAGGGCACAGCTCACGTCAGATTTTTCACTTCTTTGTACTATAGGCGGTACAGGTGCTTTGCAATATCACTACCAAAACGCAACGTTCAGTGCTGAACGCGTTAACCTTACGCTGCCCGCCGTGTTGAAAAACGGTCGTAGCAGGCCACCAGCGCCAACGCCAGATGGAAAACTGGAGGTACGCACAACTTTTCTGCAACACTTTTTTACTGAATCCATTTTAGTGTGTTTACGTCAAGTTCTTTCTTGTTTTCTTTGAAATCGCGGTAGTAAAATCATGTAGGCAGCTTCAATGCCGTGTTACGTCATTGATGACGTCAGCATGACGTCATATAATTTAGCGCCGAATGTTGTCACACTTAAAAATTTATTACAGTTGAGGCCAAATGTTATTACATTTTGGACTTATTTACATTTAGGTTGAAATGTTATTCATTTAGGACTTCACTACATTTAGTGTCAGTTATTACATTTAGGCGTTCTACAAACGTGTTTTTAATAGAGTGTTTTCACTCACGTGGCTTGCATCTATATAAATTTATTGGAACAAAAGAAAGCGTTTACACAAGAAAAGAGTTCAACTCCCACAGGATTGGTTTGGAACACCAATATTGCCGCTGCGACATCATGTGTAAACGATTTATTTGTTTTAAGTTTATTTTGTACTTTTTCCTTCATTTTAGTTTTCAAAATCGGATTGCGGCAAGACTAAGAACTGCTACTCTGAGCCCAAAGACTGTTCGTCCTGTCGAAACTGTGACTATCTTGTGACTTTTGAACCTTGTCAAAATAAGGATAACGTCAGCTTTGAGTTGAGTGCGAGAAGTGACTGGGTCGCAATAGGGTTCAACGAGCAAAGCAAGATGGTAAGTCTCATAAATCTTTGAAACTCATGCAGATTTCTCTGTCACACAATCATTCTCTTGTCTCACAATTTTTTCACTGCGTTCTGCATCCCTCCTTCTTCACTTGTTTTGTTAAAGAGTGAGGAATTTCTCCTGGCTAAACTTTTTTTTCTTGTCGTGATTTCGTTACTTCAGTGTTCCCTTCCACGAACGACTTTTAGTTCGCATTTACCAGAGTCCCACAAATACTTTACCAAGCAGTTTTTATTGACAATTTTCATCTCTTATTAGGATGGTACTGATGCTATCATCTGCTCTCGCCTTAATGACAACGCAGTGGTTAACCATTATTCTTTGGTAGGCTATAACAGTCCAATTCAAACCAACCCGGTAAGTTAATTGGACCTTAATTGCAGGAAACTACAATGTAGATTTTAGGGAGACCTTGTTCACATCTTCGTAAAATTATCCACTTATATGTGGATCCACATTTTTACTTTTTTTCATTTAGACGGATTTGTTTTTTGGATGCGGTGGGAAAAGAAAAACTTGAAATAAGCTAATTTATTATAAACTTTCAAACAAACATTCGCGTTGTCAATCCTATGGCTTCATATCGAGTCCCTGTTTCCGTTGACGACCTTGATCAGGCGAGAAAACCTCCTGTTAATTTGGACCCCACCCCACCCCCCAGTCAGCCTTATGTCATGGCGACATTCAGTGAGATTTATTTTAAGATACTTATTTTTAGGCTCCTGCTGGTCTCAAAGTTATTGCTGGTGCTTATGAAGATGGAGTCATTAAGTGTAGGTTAGTATTGTTGGCTGCTTGAAAAGCCGGGAAACAAATCGTCGGTTTGATTATACTTGCAGATTCACTGTGACGCTATTTATCACTGATTGCTCTATTTTGCATACTTTGTTGATGGGCTTCATTGTAGGTTTTCTCGGGGAAAAACTGCAAGTGGCATGCAGAGTCTGGATCAGAACGTCTTTTTGATTTTCGCTCGCGGTAGTGTGATTCAGGGTGAGTAAAATCAAAAGTTTTTGCATTGGTCACTATTCTCGTTTGTTTATTTTTAAACAGTATCAACTAAGCTAATATATACTTCTTATTAACTGAGAGCGAGGTCATCACAGGGAAATCTCCGACCGAGTCCTTGATGCATCGCTCAGTCAATACATCAAGGCCATATAATAATAAGGTATATTATCTAACGTAAGTAGATTCAAGAGCTGTTGTTTAGAGCGCTAGCTCCTTTGTAGGAGTGAACTTTATAAACAAAGGTTAATAAAGATTTGACCTTAATGTGGAATTTTCTCTGTTTAAGGAGGCTTGCTGAACAAGCATAGTGTAAAATCACAGAGCGCCAGTCAAGTGGACGTCTGTGAAATTAATGCAAATCTTGAGAGTAAATCCTCAGACCTCAAAATGCTGCGGGCACATGGTAAGAGAGATCAATTTGATCTCATAATTAACTCAGTTACGTAAGTTGAAATAACTTTCATGAGCATTTACCAAAGCATTTAAAAGAATTTTGACCTTTTCCTTTTCCTACTTTATTCTCTTTTCTCATTCTTTGCTGCTACCTTCTAATAGGCCATATTTTAAATGAGGCGTGACATCAGGCTATATTCTAAACAATATTTGACTGACGGCTTTGACTAATTTCCAGGAGCGCTTATGGTTGTGGCCTGGATTGGGTTTGCCACCATGGCTATCCTTGTGGCGCGTTATATGAAAGAGACCTGGGGAAAGCTATGTGGAAAGAAGGCTTGGTTCCAGGTCAGTAAACAAAACTGTTGGCTGGTTCTTGCCGCATAAATAGATGGGCTGCCTGTGGTATCTTAATTCACAAACTGGCCAGTATATCTCAGGTCTTGACATTTGTCCTGGATTTGCGCTTTTTATTTTTTAGATCAAATCATACGAAAGATAAAGAAAAATAACTTGATATTTACTGTATTTTAACAATTATTCCTCGAGCCCGAATGGGCTCTGAGTCATGAGACCGAAGGCCTAATGGGATATTGACTCAGAGGCCATGAGGGCGAGAGGAATAATTGTTTTAGTAAAATCCAACCAGCTGGTCAAAAATATCGAGACAAAACAACTTTAGCTGGTTAAAGCTAGACTTTAATCCCTTTTTTGCCGCCAAAAAGCCGGCGCTTTCGCTACTAGTGGGCTATAACATATAGCATAGTAGTAGCTCAACCAATCAGAACGCAGCATTGATAATAGACCACTAGTTGGGTTTTACTAATATCAGATAGTCAATCACTGTAACCATAGACTGAAGGATTGAAGGATCTAGCCTGTTCCAAGCTCCGAAAAGTCGGGTCCGCGAATTTCAGAAAGCGTGAATACAAAAATGAAACTTGGACGGGAGGAAACTGGGGAGAGGAAGACCGCTACCGCTCCCTTTTTCCCAAATCACGCGCTGATATTTCCGCTTGGCTTTACTTACGTGTCATTTCTACTATCTGAGATCCTAGAACAGGTTATGAAGGATGCTGTCCCGCGTGCGCTGACTAAAACAGGAAAAAAAAACATATGTAAATCAAGACAAAGTGATCTTTTTCGTGATTATCAGTACTAAGGTTTTGTTTCTGAGGAGACTACGGTACTGCGCAAATCTTGGGGCTGAAACACTTAGTCACTTTACCAAGTGAAGACGTATGAAGATTGAAAAGCTGAAGTTTGGAGTGCTAGCCCTTATGAAAGTGATTCCACCCGTCTTATCAGTATCTTGTTATTTTCAGGTTCACAGAGCTCTGACCGTCACCTGTTTACTACTCACGATCACTGGTTTTGTTTTGGTTTTTGTTCATGCCGAAGGATGGTCTGATGTAAGATTATGAAACTTCATTATTAAATGTTATTAAATCTTGTAATCTCATTTATATACCCTCGGAGAAAAAAATCTGAAGTACTATTTTTTTTTTTTGCGCATACAGTCAGGTGGAGCCCACTCAATACTAGGAGTCATCGCAACACTGTTGGCCTGTGTACAGCCCATTATGGCGCTTCTAAGGCCCGACCCAGATGCGGAAAGGTAGTAAAATATTTTGCATGATAGTCGGTTGGTAAGATCACTGTCTCTGTATCACAGAGCTGAGGTCTTGGTTTCGAATCCTCTTCGGGCCTGATTTTTTTTTCCATTTCTGGCTGTCTTGTCACAACTGCTTAGGGCAACCGATTTGTGAGGGACCCTCTAGTAAACGGCCAAAAGACTAGTTCTTTAAAAACAAAAATCAAAATCAACCGTAATTCGTTGTTACTTTCTTGGACCATTATCCAAGGGAAGATCCAGCCCCACCCCCTAAAGAAAAGAAAGAAAGCAAACAAAAACGGAGACAGTGTACCTCGTTCCACAGTTGTTAAAACGTAAAAACTTCGAACATCAAAGTATACAAGAACCCCGGAATCCTTTGGGTCCAAAATAAATTCAATCCTCAATGTGTAAAATCGTTTTTGTTCTAAAGTTAAGTTCACTTCAGTTTTGTTCTAAGTTCAGTTCAAGTCCCACATAACCATTACGATTTGCCGATAAAAAGACAGGCTTGTTCTAAAAAAGTTCAATACAGTGACGCTAAGGGTAATGTTGTTCAAAAATCCTGTATCAATAACTTTCAAAGCTCTTAAATTGTGTTGTGGTTGATGTACTGGTTTTACCTGTTCATAGGCGCTACATTTTTAACTGGGCTCATCGCTGTGTTGGCATTACCACATTCATTCTCGCAAGTGAGTCACCTGATTTTAGCTTCTAATTGACCACTTCTTTGTCAAATGCGTGGGGCCATGTTTACTACCGAATGCCTTCTCTGCGCCTTTCCTAGTCCTTAGGCCTCATTATTCCGCGCGGTCATTGCGTCTCGGGTCACGTGGTCCGAGCAAAGAAGTGAGGCCTAGACAAAAAACCTCAAAAGTGAGACATTCAAGACCAAAGTTTCGCATTTCAAGATGAAAGTATATCGTTAGAAGACACAGAAGGGGAGGGAAAGTTCAAAAGAATGCTCACTTTTCTTTTAGTGGACAAAGACATTTTCAAAAAGCAATCCACGCATGCACACTCTCTTTTTATCTAGACGCTTCTTCGGCGTTTGCCGCGGATACGTACACCGAAATGCATTGACCAAGAAGGCCTAGGAAAACGCCGTACGTACAGGGACTAGGCAATTCTGCGCCTACGGTGGGATGGTAGGGTTCAAATCCATCCATTTACATCTCCGCCAGAAGGAAATGATGTATGGCAACGATAAATGAACCTCCGTCGAGTTACTTGCCCCATTAATTACGGAGGATTAGTCTGCCGCCTTTTCTCGCTCCTCGCCGCTGGATACATTTCTCCTGCAAAAACTTCCCTAGCTGCGCGGAGCGTTGAGAGACGGTTGTATTCGTAGGCAAACGGAGGATGGGTTGGAATAACTTTTTTAAAAGTTATTTTGCACACGTGGCTCTAGAATTTGAATAGGTGCTTAATTAAGTGACACGACTAATTATTGTCGATTTCCTTGCAAGCTTAAACTGGAATGGTTTTCGTCCAAGGCATCTCACCCATCTGAAACTTGGAGGTCATGTCAGTAATTAATTTAAATTGCTTTCCTATCTTTTGTCAGTTATCAACATAATTCTTGGTCTGCGTCTACCTCACCTGGATGTTAAGTTTGCAGTTTATTTCGTGATCGCCTTTTGCGTGGGTCTGATCCCAGTTGTTCTTTTGGAGTTTGTTCGCTGCTGTAACCGATACCATAAAAGAGAGGGTAGGTTTCTAACTTTCTTGTACAGTCATCATCATCATCATCGTTTTAGTAAGCATGGGTTAGTAAGTTGAAACACTATTACAGGTGTTTGCATACCTGCAATACAGATCTGCTAGGTAGATTTAGCAATAGCCACGCAAAAGCGCGTAGATAGGACCGAATGCGACTACCGGTGCTCAGTTTGCTGCTTTACCAAATCAACCGGTTTAAATTTGCGCGCGCCGTCATCACTGTAGTCTCTTTGTCTTTGCTCAATCTGCCTAATATTCTCTTGTAATGTGATGCGTGATTTTTACGAGGCAGGGAACGTTACAATAAAGAGTAGAATCCCAAAAACAATACCGCAATTTATTTAATAATAATATTAATCAATTTAATAATACCAATTTAAATTAATTCATAAATATTGATTAATTGTATTGCGGGACTGTTTGCCGTTGGACACAACACTGCACAACCCTGTGCCATGCGCGCGCAACCTTAAAATTACCAATATTACGTAGTTATTGGCCACTCATCTTAACTTTCTGTCCTTGTTTTTTTCTCAGGACTCACTTACGTGACAGTTGGGTTCGTCTTCGTCCTGGCGATCTCAGTCTGTTTGACTTTGCTTCTGTTCATTGCACGCGAGGCACCTTAAAGAACACTCATACCCAATCATCCTGGAGATGTCTATTTTCTGGTATTCTTGGACAATGATAATTGTATTCGTCGAAGCATGCAGGTGTTTTTCCTTTGCTTAAAAGGTGTCAATTTTGCGTTAGACTTAAGGAATTTAGGTACAAGGATATTCGGATCTTTCGAATAACAATTTTTATCTCTCTCTAATTTTTCCAATTGGCAACCTTTAACCAATCAAAGTTGGTTAGGTTACCCATAAAAATTTCCAGCTCTTCAAAATATTTATCAGGTTAGTCATACCAATTTCTTGAAAGAATCGCCATCAAAGCTAGACCTAACGGCCAACGTTTTAACGACATTGAGTTTGACAAGTCCCGGCAGTCCTCTACAAACTGCCACCTGTATTTGTCCCGGTGGAATTCACATTGATTTAACCTTTCCGGCATCAAGGTTTTTCGCTGGCGCGTCAACAGCGAGAGACAAAGCAAGCCCAGAAAATTGACTCCTTATAGAAAGTTCTTAACGTTATTTTTATAAACCTTGCTTGTAGAAAAATGTCTTATATGTAATTTTTGCATACGAGTTGTTTAATTCATATCATGTAGTACATCATCTTTAGTGCACCGCAGAGAACCCGTAAAACCAAGGCAGCTTGGCTTTTATACAAGTTGCTTAGTTTTTTAAGGTTCTAAAAGCTACAAATAAAATTTTGGACTTCATATCCTTAAATGCTCCATAATTTTAAGTCGACACGATGTTGTCAAACTGCGGGAGACAGACTTACTTACATATTCTTCCTATGGCGTTAAGAAGTGATGAAAATGTGGTTAAGAATTTACCCGGGGGAAAGGATTTCATAATAGCTTTCAGAAAGACTGAAAATTGTGCTCGTAAGAATCGCTGAGGGAATTGAGTTACGGTACGTCAACTTAGAACAATCATAAACCAAAATCATGAATCACGATGTTTAGCTTTCAAAAAAGCACTTTTATTTTGTCGTCACATTCCATGATTTGTTAAAAGCAAAATTAAAAACAAGCTTGAAGATGAAAGCTCTGTTAACACGGTCAAACATCTACGTAGACAGGCTATCTGTTCATCTTGAGTGAATTTAGGCAAAACTGCAACAACAAGAAAAAAACACAAAGAAATTTACTCGGGGGTGATCTGGGTAATTTGAGACCATGTGTTGTTAGCTGTTCATTGATTGAACCCAATTGAAAACTGTTGTTCCTTGGCAAACGTTAAGTGTTATTATTGCCCAACTTCTACTGTTCCCTTAAACTTTTACTTGAGCGTTAACTAATCCGTATCTCGGCCTTATAGTATCCTTTACTTTTCGCCCCATGTAAGGGAATCCAAGACAGTCTTGGATTATGGATTCCACGCCGTGGATTCCGTATTACAATTACTGGATTCCAAATCTTTTTCAGTGGAACTTGGATTCCGGATTCCAAGGCCCAGGATTCCACAAGCAAAAATTCCAAGATTCCGGATTCCACATGCAAAAATTTTCCGGATTCTGGAATCCGGAGTCCCTTACATAGGGTTTTTACTTTCCAATGGAACACAACTGGTCTTACTTGTCGGTTTTCTACCCTGTGTACCTTTCGTCAGCTGCCGTCACGGCACCATATAAAGGATTCTGACATTCTCGGATGTCATTTGACTCCAGTGGCCGCATCACCTCTTCTTGTGTGCTCTGGTCTTGATAAACCTCTGTAATTTCAAGCTTGGAATGGTACAGCGGATTAAATAATCCGAGCTCGGCTCCCCTAAAGTGAAAAGCGATAGTCATTAACTTTGAAATTCAGGAATCCTTGAAGATCAAGAAAATGACCAATCCTCTTATTTTGTTCCAATTTCATCATTACTCTCCAGAACCCATCCCCCCCCCCCCCCCGCCCGGGACTGGGAAATTCTTCGAATCCTTAGGCGCAAACGCTAAGCGCGGTTACCTAGACTAGAACCAATGCTTGGCGGATCGTTTGAAAACTTTGAATGAATGGGGCGCGTTTTATGCTTTGCCAAAATAATGACAGAGGGAGATACTGAAAGACCAGGAAGGACAAAAGACTACCTCAATGTAAGTACTTCAACTCTATTTCATTCAAAAAAAATTATTATTTGCTTAGTCGAAGCTCGTATTGACTGTAACCCACGGTCTATGACCGATTAAAATTACGGTGTGGTCAATTTATTTTTAATGGTTAAACAGATGTAAATGAAACCACTTTACATTTCTTGTACAGAACGTCCTGAACTGCATAAGTTTCGATAGTTTTTGTATGTAGTTGAATCGCTTGAGACTGTCGCAGAAATCCTTAGGTGCGATGTTTTTAGTGTATTCAACTGAAACCTTTCATTTCAACAGCATGTTTGCGTGGCGCCATTTATATTGTAGCGTGTAGTTCTTGATCTATCTTTTGAGTCTGTGAATATAAAAATCCTCAGAATGGTGCGACCATTCAAACGACATTAGGCACTTCAACAGCACGTTTGTATGAAACTATTTGTTTCGCAGTATTCTACCGAATAAATTTGTTTTTTATTTCCTTTTAATTTTAATCTCTACAAATATACACAGCTCTGAAGCTATGAATATATGAAAATCATATATGTGAAAATCATGTATGTGATTCTCTCTTGGAAATTAGCAACTTAGTAACATTTACATAATTTTCTTACGCATCATAGATTGGGTTTTCTGTCGAGACACCCGATGAGAACTCTACGCCGCTATAAAAAACAAAATGTTGTTTTAGTGATCAAAACATTTTGAATCACTCGGAGACTTAATTCTTATGGAGCTATTCTATCAGTTGCATTTACTAATTTAAAAAGGGATTAATCCAACATTAATAATCTAGTCTGGTAATGATGATGAGTTAGAAAATTACGGCCAGCTTATTAATTATCCTTGTCGCTGTGTATCTAGTGTCAGTATTTTATGAAATAATGTTTTAAATTTAATATTTATTGGCAAAATATGATTATAGTTGTTGTTGATATTAGTGACTGCTAAATGTGCAGAAATGCATTTGCAGCAGATGAATGGGGCTAAAAAAGACTGTCGGCAAATTATGAATTTAACCTGAAAAGTGTTTCAGGTTTAGAAAAATTGAGTTTTCATTGTATTGTGAGTGTGGAACAAACAAACGATCTGAAGGGATTCTAACTCATGAAAGTGTCATGACATTCCAGATAAGATAATCATTAGAAGTTCTGAAGGTTGTGACAATGGGTGTGACATCTTTTTCCACCAAAATGTTCACTTATTTCATGTGCATGTGACTACTGTTTTGGTCAAAACAGTGCTCAAGTTACTGAAAGGTACTCCATTTGATCTGAACTTGCACTGATTTTGTTACAAATAGTTATGGTGAGTCCTGGGACTCCTCATGTAAAAAAATCATGAGTCCCACTCCAGAACGTTTTAGTCTCAGTTTAAAAAAAAAATGAGTCCCTGGATCTTTTGTAACCACGCAGTTAATCTGAAGCTATACTCCAAACTCTGTATTACAGTTTACTGAAACAAAAATATACTCCTTCTATTGTAAAGCACAACAAAGACTAAAGGAAATAAGCGTTGTTTATCAACAGCCACAGAAATCACACAAACATATTCTACAAAAACATCTTCAGATCCATCAATCGATCTTTGCGTGCTACTGGACGCATACCACAAATTGTTTTGCGTGTTTGGGGAATTTTTTTGCGTCAGGACGCAGAGGTAACAAAATCATTTGACTTGCCATAAAATTTTATGTCATTTCAATTAGCATCGCATTGTCACGAGCCTTTAAATAGAGAGATGTGCTGCTTAAGGACTGTTCTCGTGATGTAAGAAGGTAAATTCATAATTCATACCTTTCGTAGAGGGGGTTGTCCACAGACTCTGATTTCGGATTGCTGTTAAAGGGAAAAAAATAATTTTGTTATGTCTCGCCGCGTAAAACCCATTGTTGTCAATATGCAATCAATCTATTAGCGGCGGTTCAATTATGTAAACGTCACTGTAGTTATATCAGATTGATGTGCAACTAATTTAATTTTAACCGCGTTTCTTACCTCTCGTAATAAACAATTTGCTTGCTTTCCATTTTATTTCGTTTTTGATCCCTGATAAAGAATAAAAAAAAATCAAGAAACTAGTCAGCCATTCAACAAATCAGGCAGTCAATCAATCAATCAATCAACGTTTCATGTTACTATCAAAATCTTTAGAACAATCATTCATCATTATTTTAATTAGGTAGAATAACGTGCCTCGCAAAACCTCGTGACCCTCGTGGTTAATAAGGCCAACTATTAAGTGCCACACTGACTGGCGGGTTAATAACTAGGTGGGTGACCAGCCGGGAATTTATACTCTATATAGATTGCTATTCCTCTTTTTCGTCGCCCGCTTTATTTTTAACTGCGTATAGCAAAACGACTCTTTCGCATTATTTCGGCCGTCGAATGCCGGGATGGAACATAAACGTCCGAGTTCCCGCGCAAACTCAACGAGTAACTCACAAGTAAGTCTCACTTGTGACTGTAAAGGCTACAAAGGCCGAGACCAGTCTCTAATCCATCGACGGGGTTAACTGCCAAGTGCATTATGGGTTTGCCATGGTGCCGAACACACCCGACAAAAGCAATAACATGCGCGAACTGAGACGCAATACAAATGTTCCTTTACTTTAGTTTTCACTCTTATTTTGAAGCGAATGATCCAGATAACGTCCATTTTCTCTATAAAGTAATTCCACCAGGATAATTTATTGGCTGGAGCATTTCCTCACCACTAAAACGGCCACAAAATCAACCAGGCCAAGTTTGTTTTGCGCAGTTTTGTTCCTAGGCAACTACGGACACCAACCCAATATATGTATGGAAATATATATAACGAAAGCGAGATCACAGCTCGCAATGCAATGCACGCGCACCACAAATTTCTACAAATGTATTAACCTCCCATTCGCCGGAGGAATAAACCAATTTCCAAAACGGCGGTCAGCCACTCATCTTTCTTTCAGTCTATCAATTAGTCAATCCATCATGATCAGCTAGTTACCTTTAATTGAATTCCTTAAACAGTGATTTTAAATAAGAGATGCAGAGTTTGATAGTAAAACACTAATAACAGACTAAAACACGCATTAGCAAAGACGCGCAAAGTTTGCCGTAAGCACGCAACGTCTCACCTTCTGCGGTAAAGAAAAAGCGTAAAAAGACAAAATCCAAGAAGTAGAAGGCACAGCACAGGAGCAAGAATCATGGGCACATTGGATGATCCATTGTCCGGCTCCTTTTTACTATAACTAATCGAGGACTCATTTCTGAGAGTTTCTTGAGTTGAGAGTAGGGATTCATTAGTAGGCCCGGTCTTTCGGGGCTTCGTTGAACCTGTTAAGAGCAAAGAGAGGGTTTAGGAAGTCCTTTTCTTATCTCGTTCCTATTTTCCTTCCATCTGTCTTTGTCATGGAAAAGATTCTTTTCCGTTTGAGCCCAGAAGACTGAGTGAACAGCTAGAATCTACCATCATAATGACCAAAAGTGGTGGTTCTGGTGGCGGTCGTAGAATGGCTTATAATGGTCTCTCTCCCCTTTGCCTTCACCGAGTGTTTTTACATATATATACATATACGCTGTGAGGAACGACGACAAAATCGTCCGCGCAAAACGCTCAACAGCAAAACTCAGTTGGACATCAAAGGACAGACGCAACTGTCCCCATTATGAAGATGTCGGTATCCAAAAGGTATGGATGGGGGGGGGGGGGGGGGGCTGTAGTATTAGCACAGTTATTGCTTAAAATTCCTGCCTTAGGTTAGCGTGCACTGTCTAAGCATCTGTGTTACTAGTAACTGACTTACTATCAAAGAAAAGTATTACCTGTAGTTACAGAGACTCCTTTGCTTGAGCTTTTGGTTGTTATACCTTGACTTGTAACAGGCTTCGTAGTGTTTTCAGTCCCTGTTGTACGACCTATGGTGCTAGCAGAGGTGGTTGTGCTAGGAGAGGATTTGGATGTCGAGGTCTTAACGGTGGCTGTTGTGCTTGTTTTACTTTTGAATGCGGTGGTAGCTTTGGTTCCTTGTACAGTAGTTCCCACAGGGGTCTTACCTGCAGTAGTTGGGACATGTGTCGTCTGAGCAGTGACTGGAGAATGGGTTTTCTGTGCCGTCGTCTCGGAATTAGTTGTCTGGGCAGTTGTTCGTGAAGAAGGTATCTGTGTAGAAGTCTGGGAGTGGGTTGTCTTTGTGGCGGTTGGTGCTGATGTCTGAGTGCTTCTGCTGCTAACAGTAGTTTTAAAGGTTGGCTTTGTTGACAAACGTTTTCTCGTAGTACTGGTGGACACGGTTGTTGAAGAGGTCGTCATGGAAACATTCGAGGCGGTTGTTACAGTTGATGGAGGTTCTAAACAGAGAAGTCGAGAAAAAATCGATTCGACGAGAGTTCAATTATGCAAGGTTGCTTCCACTCTTGCATATTACAGAGGGAGGTTTTGTGCACACCAGACGTAGTTATTCGATAAACCGATCATCGATAGTAATTAATATCAATTATCGATGAATATCCATTCCAATATCGATCGACAGAAATCCATAAAGAAAAAAAAAGTTGTGACTTTGATTAATATCGATGAATTTCCGATAGAAATCGATAATGATCTTTTGTTGATTGTTATCGATTACTATCGATCCTATCGATTGTTATCGATTTTATTAATCGGTAATAATCGATAAATTATTTTTTATTTGACTTCGATTTCTATCGATTTCCGATAACAATCAATATTAATCGGCGGATTAAATCGATTAAAATCGATGATATCGATTTTTATCCATTAACCACGTCTGTTGTACACTAAGGGCGTCACAGGTTTATCATTTTTTGAAACTGTCAAGTGTCACCTTCTGCAAATATCTACTGTTTGGTTGGTTTGTTTTTATTTCTTGACGATTCTTTCTAAGTTACAACTAACTCGCAAGCGATGGAGTTGCGGCTCCAAGCTTGGGTATTTTTTTCCTCTTACAAACAAAGACACTGAGTTGATGCATTTCGACTTTCTATACGAATTCCATCTTCACCTAAAATTCATATTCCACATTTTGAAATTTGTAAATGTTGTTATATTTTTATACTTACGTGTGGGCCTCTGTGCGAAATATGAGGCCTTGAATCCAGGAAAATTAATCTTGTTATCAGTCTTAAAAATGACGAACATCTCGTTAGATGATGATCGTACTCCAAAAGGTGCAGGTAGCTTGTCACCTGAGTACACACCCAGAGAGGGTGAAGTCTCATTTTGTCCGTCGAACAATTGGACGTTGTCCGTGTTAATTCCTTTCTGGAGTGTGAATTCAGGAAACCTCAAGACCACCTAGAATACATAAATTCATAGAACACAAAGATCGTTCTGAATATTAGAGGGTTTAAGCAGCGACGGGGTTTTCTCGCGAGCGACGCACGTAAACGGAAAGTGGACTTGTTACACTCTTGAGACGTGATTTTGAACAAATTTTTTTGGCAAATCGTCTCTATAAGAGCAAAGAAACTTAGCAATACAAAGTTGGTAGCTTCAAGGTATTTTAAAAGAGAAAAAGGCTCACTTCCTTCGGCGCTCAAGAACGTTGCCGCTTAAACTCCCTATTCGTGTCACGCCAACTGCCAACCTCATTCTCAGGATTTTCTCCTACTCATACTTGTGCAAATAAAACAGGGGCTAAATAAACCTTTTTCACGCTCTGAAACTAAAACAGACCATCTCAGAGACACGAAGCGTTGATGACTGTGGAATCTGTAGTCATCCCTTAGCAGATCCCTTGAGTCTTTAATCATAACATAAAATGGCCATCTTGGAGCTGTTGAGAAATTTACACCATCAAATTATTCCCCTACTTCTAGAATTCTATTTCTGATTTAAACTGCGCAGCCGCTGTTTGATAATGGCTGAAAACCGAAAACTGCAAAGGACGCAAAAAACCGAAACTGAAACCGATCTAAAAAAAGTTCCCTTCTCGCTTCAACAGTGGCGAATTAACTGTACTTTTACCAAAGGGTCTCAAACAAATACAAAGTAACAGAGTAATAAGCGTTTTATTTACCTGAAGACCCTCGGGAACGTTTATCCTCCAGGAACAGTACTGGCCTGCCGGATAAGAATTTGGATAATTGGGAGACTGGAACGAGCCACTAGATGAAGTCAATGTATAGTTACAACCTGACAAAATAAAAGAACAAAACCATCATCAACAACAAGGAAACTGTTGAATATTGCTTTAGACGCAAATAAACTATGCCCTCTGGTTTTCGGCGGTAAACTAAAAGAGGACACGCTGTGTCTCAGGGGTAAAACGTAGATCGAGCGAAATACACAAGCGCTCGATTGTAATTTTGCTTGTTGCTATCTAAGGAAAATGTGAGATAACTTGTGGTCTAAATACAATGCAGTAGTTAGAGAAAAAAAGGTTACGGCCTACAATTACTTTTTAAGCCGGCTTTGAGGCTGTACTTTGTTTGATATAAAAGAGCCCCGGAGTCATTTCATAAGTAAGGTGGAGTATGATCGTCCGGGTGAACGTAGTCCTGAATAGGACTGTTGTTGACAGTGACTGACGTTTCGACAATCTATGCGGTAGTCGTTTTCAGAGTCAAAGTGAGTTATATCACGTCATTGATGGTATTAAACTCTGCTTATTGACCCGATTGGTCAATTAAGTGGTGATGTTATTGGCCGTCTGTCACTTAAGCCGTGTTTTTATTGGCTGTGAAGACTCTTAAATGTCATTGGTGCGTTTCGGATATAACTGATCAGGCTTGGAGAAATTCAGAGCAAATAATGATAATAATAATAATAACAATAATAATAACAATGATAATAATAATAATTTGAACACGCATTCAAAAACGGCAGATAGAGAGACCAGGTCTTCCGTGCTTTCTTTTGCGCCACTGATGAAAATTTACCCAGCAACCCTGTTAAAAATATTACTTGCATTTTTGGTATGCGGTAGGTAAGCTTATTGCAACTTCCAGCAGTTGAAATATCTACTCACTTGAATAGTAACAGTAGTGAATGGTGTGGTCATTCATCCCTGCCCCGTAAGGATACACCCCTCCGTAACCGTCGTCATCCTCTTCAGTGTCAAAACGAATCCATTCCGAACTAGCTTGAGCCCACATTACTTGCTGGCAAGAGGCAGAACCATAAGCCACTAGAAAAAAAGGTTTGATGGTCGGAAGCTCAATGGGCTCCACTTTATTTCCGTCTGTTCTGCAGCAGTAGTAAATTTTTGTGTTACTGCCATACACACCGTCGGGAAGAATACCTCCTTTGTTGTTCTTGTTAAACCAGTCTTCGTCATCCCAAGTAATGTAGCCGTTTTGGAATCCAGTAGGGCAAGAGCCCTTCTTGTAAATGCAGTATTTGCCTTTAAATTAGATAAGAGAAGAGAAAACATAAATTGGTAAGTGTGTCTTGTAAAAGCAGGAGAGCGAGGAAGTCATCTGGGGTGTTCATTCCTTTTGATCTTCTAGCCTTCACGATCTAATGATCAGAATTTTAAAAATGATCACAGATGGGACAAGAATATCGGAGAAGAATAAAGTTGCTGACAACTTTGGGAGATTAACACGATTTCGACTCCCGCAAGAGTTCTTTATAGTCGAACCTCGACAAGCACAACGACCACCTTATTGAATTCATTGAAAAAGTCGCCCTGGTAAGTCAACGCGGTAACTGGGGATGGAACAAGACTTGCGTCCCAGTTGAAACCAACCTGACCAAGGACTACGTCCCGTACTCTTTTCGAACATCACCTTTGTGGTTGTGGGTTTTTTAGCGTCCCACAAAGGTCAGACCCGGTGAAGTGTTGTGAGACGGAGCCTGCGGTTTTCCGTACTTATCCGAGAAGACAAAAATATTAAACCATTTGCACATGTGACGAGAAAAGTAACAAAGTTAGCGTATTCTACTCAGCTATTCTTTGCTTGAGTAAGCTTATACCTTTGGGCCAACGTGGTCTTGACTCGTCTTTAGCTTTGTCCGTTTTCATACAAAAGGCTCGTTTCAGATTATTTTTGTCCACACTGGCATCTAAATGGAAGTTGTTGGAGTGTTTATTACTTGGGAAAAAGTCTGATGTATCTTGGTAACGCCATCCAGTGCGCCAAGTGAATCCAAAGGACGATGGACAGCCAGATTGGGCACGTGGTATCCCGTATGTCCCAGCAGGCCATTTGTTCACAGCTGTAGAATTCAAATTTAAGAAAACTTATTTTTTAAGACCAAGTGTCACGATTATAGCAACTCGGCAATCTCGTTCCCAGAGTCCTCTCCCACCCGGGAACGAGGCTGCTAGGCCAGTTACCAAAAGTATGCCAAAATAAGAAAGTATTGTTTGACCCTTAAAAGCTACCTTTCTAAAAAGATATTGTCATTATTTAAAAAAAACTTTTTGTCTTTTGTCTTTTGTCTTTTTATCTGTATGGGAAACTAAGAGCTACCCGTCCAAAACACAAAAATATTCAATTTACCAGCCCCATAACCTACGGTGAGCATCACGGGTTTAACCTGCGATCAGGTAGCCTCCCCGCAGACGTCGTTTGGGGTTCGTTTGTCACGCATTCATTTCTCCCCCACAAACGAACAAAGGACGTCTGCGGGGAGGCTAGCGATCAGGCTGTCCTTCTTCCCTTTTTGTTTTGGACTTTCACGCTGTATACCCGAAAAAAGAATAACGCCTGATCGCAGGTTAGTACGGATCCCCACAGGGTCCACTGGGGAAATGTTGCTAGTGGTAACGAGTTAGGTTTATAAAATAGTTAAAATTCGCTGTTATACGGAGGATTTCGTAATGTCAGACCACATCGTACCACCGATCACTGCACTTTCTCAGGGCAACTTTGAACTAAGTGGCATAGGATTGTGACAACAAATGAATGTATTCAAACCGTGTGCATAGCTTTCGTGGCGACACACATGTTATTAGTGATTGTTTGTTTACTGAATACTTAAAAATTTTAGTAGTGATGTTGACATGTGATAACACAGCTCGACCTTGCAGTGATATTAAGTGACCTGAGGGAAATCTTTAACTAGCTAAGTCCTGAAAAGGCATGTTTTCCTTTAAAAAAATTATGTTGAGTAGTAAGTAAAATGGGACTTCTTCTTATATTAGGAAAAGGCACAACGAATGTTATAGATAGGGCTGTCTGAAGTGTTGACGTGATCAAGGAATGTGCATACCTCCTTTATTCACAGGAAGCGATGAAATGCAGTCAATGAATCAACGTGGAGTACATACCCAAAGTAATTTGGCCTGTTTTGAGTAGTAGTTGTTCGAGATATTATTATGGAATCACACAACAAACGAAAAGAAAACTTTTTAAAACACACGTACATGTATATTTCGTCCGAGCTGGTTTTTTGCCTGTACAAATTGTTCAGTAAAATGACCGAGCAAGGCTATCGAACGGCGCACTGCATGATTTTCCAAGGGTGACTAGGTTGTATAAATGTATTTTTTTAAAGTGAAAAATCAATGTTTTTTTTCTGACTAGTAGATTTTACAATACTTGTGACCGCGTTTTTAAAAAAAAAAAATTAAAAAGGCATTGTAAAGGGCTACAGGACGTTGATGTCGTAATACACCTGGAGTACAGCTTTTGCAATGGAAGCGCTTGCTGAAAATACCAATTGCGATATTTCTCAAGTCTGTTAAGTTTCTCCTACACACAGGCGATTTACGTTTGCCCTTTTCAATGATGGAATGAATCTGTTTAGTTTCGCCACATCAGGATCAATAAATCATTCACCTACCTTCAAGTACAGTTCCAAATGCAACTGCAACAAGCAGAAGAGACGGTAAAATTCGTGATTCAGTTTTCATTTTTTTAGCAGAGAAGACAAGTCCTGGTAATATTAATCGTCAAATCCTGGAGAAAAAGCGGACAGCTCCGCACACTGCACTCAACACGTGCCGGTCAAGCGAGTAAAAGAAAGACAATTAGTGACAGGGTGTTTACTTATTGGGAATAATGTGACAGAAAAATGGAACTGAATTGGACTGGACTGCGAAATGGTTTGAATGAATAGAATTTTTTCCCCTTTTCATGTGTATATGGTCTCACAATATACATAGCACGCTCAAGTAATTGAATTTCTTTGTTTTTTGTGTGTGTGTTGTTGTCGTTAATAGAGACGGACCATTAGAAAAGTTATGGGGGAGGGATTGTTTTTTCGTTATCAAATTCCTTGTATGAATTTTTTTTAGGCCATAGCATGAATATCTTCAGGGTTAATTGGCGTGCATGAATATATTTTTTTTCATTTAATTTTCCCTGGCGCGAATATTTTTTTGGTTCTTCGCCCCCCACCCCCCCTCCCCCAATAAGTTTTCTAATGGTCCGTCCCTTATTATTAGCGATATTACCGATACAGGTGTGAGCAGTGCTGTCCGTGTTATCAGGGTGTCCGTAATAGCGAGGTGTCCGCAAGGCGAGAGTTGACTGTACTTTGTAAACAACAACAACAACAACAACAAAATGACATTGAACACTTTCCACAGACCTTTTTTCAATAAGGCAATTGAGTTTATTGTTTATTGTCACTGGTATCTCTTTCCATGAACGCCAACGAAACATTTATTCGGGGGCGGCGCGTAAAAACTTTTTTCTCCCAAATGCGGCCCTTATTCGAGGGCGGTGATTAATCGAGGGCGCCGGGCGCTAAGTCGGGGCGGCGTTTATTCAAATAAATGCGATAATTGGCAACATTAACATAATTAAGCAGTCAGCCATGACACATCCCCTTTAATGACACTCATTTATGACGTTAACATGACGTCAAAACATTGAAGGGCTAATTAAGCGTTTATTTCATTTAGGCAGCAGCCTTTGGTCATGGGCTCCCGATTTAGGGCAAAAAGTTATTACATTTAGGCCTTCTAAGCTTGAATCGGTGTTTGGCTCTTTGTTTCACTAGCTGACTCATCTCCATTCGTCTTCGAGCGTAACGCGCACGGCAGCAGCAGGGCCTCTCTCTCTCTTGCTTTCCTCCTTCCCATCACACCCCGCGCGCCACTTAAGAAAGACAGTGAGAGATGACTAGGGACCAGTCAGGTCTCCTGCTATGATGATCACAAACTAGCTCTTTTGTATTTAATTGGAAAGTAGAAGTCAATAGGTCATTTCCGAGTCGTTCCAAGCAGTGGCAGTTCAATATTTGAAAACTGGGAAGAAAATCGCAATTTTTCCATTTTCTGAGTGAACAGCTACTCCCATCCCGATATAGATGTAATTTCATTGTGTGATCGATTAGTTTAGTGTAGGAACCTGTGAAGGACTGTTTGTCAAGAGTGACTTATAACTCCATGCAATAATTTTGTTTTCTATAAATATATGAATTTCATATATTTTAACTGCGAAATGAAGAAGTATAGTAGATACGGAGAAGATCATCACGGCTAAATACACAACTTATGCAGTTAAAGAAAAGAAAGGCTAAAAGCCTTAAAAAATCAAGCTTACCGGGACTCGAGTCGATTCGAACCCTGACCTCTAAGATGCCGGTTGAGGCAACTGGAAGCTGGCCATTAAATGGGTTCGTAATATACCCCGAAAAGATGACATGATGAATATATGAATTTCACATGTTTGAACTGTGAGATGAAGAAATAAATGCTGAGCCGATGAGATCATCACAGTTAAATACGCAACTTATGCAGAAAGCCTGAAAAATGTCTTGGTAGTTAGTCCTCGATGGTGTAGAATATAACGCAAACGACCCGGGTTCAAAGCATTCCAATGGTGTTTTTCTATCTTATTTTATATTGCACAGTAAAGTTGGACTCAAGTTGTTCTTCATGTAATTTTACTGAAAGAAACAATCTGGCTTCAGCCGATGTTACCTAATGCTAACCGGGCAAAAATTGGCTGATAGAGAGTTTACGATTCAAGTTTACGCCAAACGAAGAACGTGAATTTGGACCTCGTGACCAGGTTTTCGCCTTAATTGTAGTTTACTGTTTATTACTTCTATACAAAAATAAGTAGTTTCCCGCCAGTTTTATCCCTAAGAATTGTTCTGGGCTAAGAAATTCTCAACTTAAATCTGACGTTTGCCATTTGCCGTAAACTTGACCCTTTATCTCGTCTGTAATAGAGTACTAAAGTGTGACGTCATAAAAATGAAATTTCTGAAATTATGGGATTTGTCCGGATATTCTGAAAGAACAATGCCCAAGAGGCCTACTTGCCAAAAATGAGCATTTCGGGGCAAATTGTCTCAGAAATCGTAGCCCAGTTATCCTTAGAAAACTCCATACAAACCCTTCTAAACTTTTTTGGGTCGACCCAAAAAAAAATTAGAAGAGTTAACGTTTGTATGGAGTTTTCTGAGTATAACCGGCTAACATCTCAGAGACAATTTGCCCCGAAATGCTCATTTTTGGCAAGGAGGCCTCTTGGACATTGTTCTTTCAGAATATCCGGACAAATCCCATAATTTCAGAAATTTCATTTTATGACGTCATCACTTTAGTACTCTATAGCTGACTGGAGCTTCAGGGCGGAAAAACGTTCTGCGCAAGCTTCTGCGCATCCCTTATCGCAGGCTCAAGGCGGGCTTTTCTCTGTGTTGACTGTGTTTGTTTGTTGCTGGAGTTCTGAGTGAAATGCACGAGGTGAGAACGTTTGCTCCCTGTAAAGCATTTTTATTTGACATGTTTGCTTTTTTTTCGTCGCTTGAAAATTACTTTGGATTCAGAACAACCAATGTTAAAGGAAAAACGGATCATTCCGTCAGTCTGAGGTGGAATAAAAGGTTTTTGAACATTTCTTAAGAGGCGAGTATTTTTCTGATTGTGCGTCCGATTAATTTATGAGTTGATTTCGCGGGGTTGAATTAAACCCGCTTGTATTCTGTTGTTAGTGGTTACGGTTACTTTTTTGCATGCCCAGATTTATTACCTTTGCAGAACCAGCTTTATCTTTGTCTTCAGTCAAAGAACCATATTGCTGTTATAACGCATCAGAGTGGACAAACTTGTGGTCTTATTAAACTTTCTCGGAGATAGAAGGCCAGCAAGCTTACTCAAGATCATTTTTCTGTTTCTCAAGTAATAATAGTCAGAGTCTTTTCATTTTTCATTACATAGTTTTGTTTTCCAGTGAACTGTGAAAGTTTCTGTTCTTTCTGAAGAATAACTTTCTGTACGCAAATTGTCCTTTTCACTCGCTGTGAAGTAGAGAATGATAACTCCCGGAAGTGACTTCAAAACAATTGACTCTTTTCTCGTAAACAATTGCTGCAGCTTGATTTGACTGAGGTGAGCAAAACAAACCCTTATGTGCAATTTTCTGTATTTTCTAATGATCGGCTGAGTTTAATTTGCTTAAACGAAGACCCTCGCATGGACCGGTTAACCTTATTGAAAATAGCTAAATGGTGAATCATGGCTTGGCTGCCAAGTTGCAACTGATCTTTTGCTTTTAAGATCTTTAGGTAGGTTGTTTTCGCACAGAAAATTCATTACTTCATTGTCAGCAAGAAGTTTTTGAAATAATGTAACTTTAACTTTGTTTGAAGGAAATCCTACTTACGCTTTTGTTTTTGACAGATGTTATGCGTGTTGAACTTGACAACACAAAGCAAAATTTATATATCTGCGCGAAACGAGCAAGTTTAAAAAACTATATTTGCTTTGAAACCGATTTTTGGGAGGATTTTACTGGATAAAGATTGACCTTTTTTCTGCCCACATATCAACGCAATAACTTCTACATTGGGGATTTTGTTTATATTTTAGTGATCTGCGAAACTACGAGTGTCCGATCGAGCGAGGGTTTAAAATGTCAGCTCAAGTGAGACAAAGTTCAGTGACTTCAAACACATTGTGGGCAAGCGTTAATTTTTTTGGGCAAATCACTGTCCAAAGATATGTTGTTTTTGTGTCCACAGTGGAGCTCCGGACCTTATATATCCAGGAACTTCCTTATATGAACACATTTCGTGAATGCATCTTGAAAAAAATCGGACCACGCATGCACATTTCCAGTACAACGCAAGGAAATTAATGTCGTTAAAGTCCGTTTTACTATGAGGTATTCTTCGAGAAAATTAAGTAACGACAAGGTTATAACCACAGCTTGCAACTTTTGAAGACAAATTGCCTGTTCTTTCCAGGTTATGAGTGGAAACATTTTATTTTTAGGCAATAAAATATTTGAAATCCCGCCATTTTTTCAAACCCGGCCAGGGGATCTGGGCAAAAAAGTTCACGCATGCTCATTACGTTTTTCCGCCCTGAAGACTGGAGCGTCCCCGGTCACGATCCCAGAAGCAATTGCTGGACGCATTTCGGCTCCAGTTCCCTTCTTATTTGTGAAGTGGCGAATGGAAAATTCATGCAGCAAGAGTGAATTTCGTGTCACACTTGGCTGGCTAGCTTCCTAAACCTTTGGAAATATGGTGATGTTCAAGAACTGAAGGGCTGTCTTTGCCCTCACGATATTGTGATCTATTAATTATATTTATTCAGAGCAGTGGATATTTTCCTTTTTGGATTCTGAAAAGAAAAGAAAAGCTGATTCATAACAATTTTTCTCCATTGTTTCCTTCAAAACGCTACCATATTTAGGTGGCACGTTCAAACTGGTCAACTGTTATTTATTACACCCTTTATTTCAAACACACGCGACGAAGGGAAATGTCGGGCTCTTAATACTTAATCGAGTGAGTGAATTAAATCACCAACATTGCTAACAAGCTAATTGTTTATTACAAAATCGATAAGCGTCTGAAACTAATAGACACCTTCTTTTCTTTCTGCTGAGTGGATCAAGCAACAGTAGCGATACATTAACTGAAACAAATGGAACAGTTATATTAAACTGATTGGACTTCTTGTGAAAGAGCTTCTTTCATGTCGGCCTGAATTCTAATAAATTAAAACTGAATAAATTCAGACTGAAAACACAGCAGTCTACTATGTTGGAAATTAAGTCTCGTTGGTGGATAGGTCAGGATAGTTTAGGGATAGTCTATGACGTCACCCATTGTTATAACCTAGGGAAAAAATGCCTTCCTCCATACTAAGTAAGTGCTTTCCTGCATACTAATTCGGCATAGGTTTACTAATAAGCGTCTTCCTTGTACAATAGGCTTGCCTAGACTTGCCCGGTAAGCACCTAGCAACGCGAGAAACGGCTTCCTATATCTTATTTAGCGCTTAAACTCAGATATATAAACAAAACACATACACAAAGTGGAGTTGAAGAGTCTTTAATTTAATTTAGTTTATGTCTTCTTATTTAGCTCTAAAACTCAGATATATATAAACATAACACATATACACAAAGTGGAGCTGAAAACTCTCTATTTCAATTTTGTCTGACGTTTTCTCCGTTCATCTCGAAGACTCTAGTAAGTCTTGTAATTTCACGCACCGTTAGTCAGTTAATTATGCGAGTTCGCAAGCCCAAAGTTGAATACAAAGTAGTTCTACAGGAAAAACCCAAGGGAGCACCTTGACGTATTATTATATAAACAATTTTAAATAACCTAACAAGGATCAATTAAAACACGCGACTAATAATTGCTGGCCATAAAATCAGACACGAGATACCGTTTTAAAAACTTTATTAAAAACAATGACAAAAAGAGTCAAATACAAAGCGATTTGTAAGGAATGGAAATTAATTAATCCTCTTCTTCGTTCTCCTCTGTAGAAGGGGAATAGAAATTGGTTTCCAACGTCTTCGCGTTTTTGTGTGTAACTGCTCCACAATCGTGACACCGACGAAAGCCCTCTTTCATGTAATTTCTCTCCTCTGGAATCTGGTGATCGCATATAGGACAACTCTTGTAGTAATCGTGCCAAAAGCATTTAGGACATTTCATGATCAATGTCCAGTACACACTAGAGTTCTCGCAATGTTCACAGGGACGTTTAGAGTGAAAGGTGGTGGACGTTTCAGGGCTACTACTTTCTGTTTCCTGACAGTAGAAATGTAGTGGTGGTGCGGGGAAAACAACTGAAATGTGGTGGTGGTGGTGGAAAGTAAAACAATAGAAATGTGGTGGTGGAGGGAAAACAATTCAAATGTGGTGGTGGTGGTCCTGGGGGAGGAAAACAATAGAATTTTATGGCCTGAAGACCTATATAAATGCGCAACATTCTACCTTTTTCTCAGTCTACATTTTGCTCCTGAGGAGTTCACATGAGTTGGTTCTGTTCTGTCTGCGAAAAATCCTTCAGTAGAAGAGATAGTATGCAAAGGCACGTGATGTCTAAACACCGCAATGCTGGTCTCACCCCATTTCAAACAGTTCCAATGTTTTCACAGAAATGTCAGCGGTTTCGCTTCGAGCATCCTTTCACCTCTATGATTGCCGGAATGACCGGGTCCGGAAAAACGGCCTGTGTTCGATCTCTATTGCAACACGCTTCAGAGACCATTTACCCTCCACCGGAGAGGATCGTTTGATGTTATTCACAATGGCAGCCTGCGTATACACAAATGTTAGTCGCCATGCCACACATTGAATTCGTCAAGGGAATTCCTACGGCTTTGGAGCAGGATTCCTATTTTGATGTCAGCAAACGGAATTTGATCGTGTTTGATGATCAGATGATTGACGCCAGTAAAGACAAGCGAATTGTGAAACTTTTTACTCGTGGTTCTCATCATCGCAATCTGAGCGTGATTTATATCGCGCAGAATCTATTTCATCGGGGGAAAGGTAGCCGCAGCATAAGCCTAAACAGCCATTATCTGGTGTTATTCAAGAATCCACGAGACAAATTGCAAATCTTGACTCTGGCGAAGCAACTGTATCCCGGGCAGACGGATTTCTTTTTAAATCAGTACGAAGAGGCTGTAAAAAGACCTTTTCAACATTGATCTGAAAACTACTACCCAAGATAATTGTCGGTTTCGAACAAACGTCCTGCCCAGTGAAGAAGGCTTTAACCAAGCAGGGTTTCAAGAAAATATTCCTCAAGAGCTTTTAAAATATCTGAAGCAGCAAATTCTTCCGCCTGTCCCGCTTCTTCCAGCTATGCAAGAAATACAAGGCAACATGGATGACGTGCTTTCTCGAAACGATCTTCGGGACGATGAAAAAGCTAAACGATACTTTCATTTGCAAAACAGATACCTGGCTTCTAAAGAAAAATTAAATACAAGAACACGACCGGAAGAAATAATCAGCACTGTTCCAGACTTAACATCAAGCACACAAGATTCTTCGTCAGCAACGAGATCATTCTCCACTCCCCTCAACCCGTTTAATGTAACACCTGAATTAACACAAGCGGCTATGTCTCAAAAACCTGACAAAGAAAGCCTCACCCCTCCACCACCCTTACATCCTGCTTTGCTGACCCCTCCTCCCACAGTAGAAACCGCATCACAACAAGGCCCGAAGCGCAAAAGGCGTCGGATTCAATTTGTAAATTATTTGGATGATGATAAAGCTCATGCCAAACAGCTGAGGAAACGTCGGCATAAGAAATTAAAACCTTACAAGTACTCCATGGGCGAAGAAGATGAAGATCAATTAATTTCCATTCCTTACAAATCGCTGTGTATTTGACTCTTTTTGTCATTGTTTTTAATAAAGTTTTTAAAACGGCATCTCTCTTGTGGTTATATTGCTAGCAATTATTAGTCGCGTGTTTTAATTGATCCTTGTTAAGTTATTTTATATAATAATACATCAAGGTGCTCCCTTGGGTTTTTCCTGTAGAGCTAATTTGTATTCAACTTTGGGCTTGCGAACTCGCATAATTAACTGACCAGACGGTGCATGAAATTACAAGACTTTAATAGTTTTTCATGTCCTCGAGATAGAACGGAGAAAACGTCAGACAAAATTTCGAAAAATTGAAATAGCAAGTTTTCAGCTCCACTTTGTGTATATGTGTTTTGTTTATATATATATATATATATATATATATATATATATATATGTTGCATAAAAAAACGGTCCTTGTAAAAAAGCGTCATTTTTATGTAAAAAAGCTGCTTTTTTACAAATTGAGCGGTTGTAAAAATACTGCTTTTTTACAAAAATATATTTTTGTAAAAAAGCTGCTTTTTTACAAGTTACCTGGTTGTAAAAATACTGCTTTTTTACAAAAATATGTTTTTGTAAAAAAGCAGCTTTTTTATGTAAGAAAGCTGCTTTTTTACAAATTAGCCGCTTGTAAAAATACTGCTTTTTTATGTAAAAAAGCTGCTTTTTTACAAAATATATTTTTGTAAAAAAGCAGCTTTTTTACGTAGAAAAGCTGCTTTTTTACAAGTTACTTGGTCGTAAAAATACTGCTTTTTTACAAAAATATATTTTTGTAAAAAAGCAGCTTTTTTATGTAAAAAAGCTGCTTTTTTACAAAATATATTTTTGTAAAAAAGCTGCTTTTTTATGTAAAAAATCTGTTTTGTTACAAAAGGTATTTTTGTAAGAAAGCTGCCTTTTATGTAAAAAATCCTGCTGTTTTACACGTATAGACCATTTGACAAACTCATTTATCGAAGACAGGCTGTTTTCCATAGCATGGTTCGAAATTTATTGAACTGTAGTTTTCGTGCGGCTAGTCACGTTCACGTTCCCGTGTCCCCTTTATTGTGGGGCATTTAAATTCCCTTGTTAACTCGCTGACAGCGTTAAAAATTTACGTTCTTTTTATTCTTTTTATTCTTTCTTCTTGTTTCCTTTGTCATTCAATTTTCCAGGACCTTCTAATTGTTGGATGCGAAGAAGGAACAGGCAGTAATTTCATTTGTTATGCTTATCGGCTGAGGTCACCCACGGCAGTAACTGCATGTTAGGCAATAATAGAATAGCTGGGTTATTCACTGTCTTATTTATAAGCAATGCCTGTCACAATCTCTTGCAGCAACCAAAGACTTCTATTCTCTCCTTCATTGCTACTTTTGTTCAAGCCGAAAACTGTACAGAATATTGTTCTGTATTATTTATCTATTTTCCCAAGGTTATCAGCTGCAATGATCGGTTTAACTGTCAACAAAATACTTGGCTATAATGCTTTGGTGCTCTTAGCAGTGGATAAATAAATTATAACTCCATTTCTAGCATAAAATCTCCAGCAAGAATCAACGACAGCAATTGTTAGGCAATTTCCTGTATTATGTATGATGCGCTAAACTTCTATCACGGGATTCATGCTATGTTGAAATCCATGTTGATGCATGCAAGATTGTCATGTCTGCGTTACAACTTTAAGCTTTCAACATGATGTAGGAACATGTTCAGTCGGCTAATCAAGCAAAAGGAAACGCTAGCCTATAGCTACAAGCGTACATACACTCGCTTGTTAGTCTAATTTTGCAATACAGAGAGCAACTTGTGAGGCCATAAAAACAGCAGACCACAGCAGCCGATTTGTTTATAAGTAATTAGGGACTATAAAGGCGGTCTGTAACGTACGACAATGCGTGTTTTATTTTAGAGATCGAGAAATCAGCCAGAAAACACTTGTAAAGGCTAAACAAGTTTAATATGAACACTAGCTGAAATCGCCAGCAACATTTAGAGTATGACCGTTTTTTTACAAAATATATTTTTGTAAAAAAGCTGTCCTTTTACAAATATATATCAGCGTAAAAAAACAGCTTTCTTACGGTACCGTTTTTTTACACAACATATATATATATATATATATATATATCCGAGCCTTAGAGCTAAATAAGAAGACATAAACTAAGTTGAAATAAAGACTTTTCAACTCCATTTTGTGTATGTGTTTTGTTTATATATATGCGTTTAAACGCTAAATAAGATATAGGAAGCCGTTTCTCGCGTTGCTAGGTGATCGCTTCTCTTATTCCTGTTTCTTTTTTAATAGACGGTCTGAAAACCGAGCTCAAGTTACTTACCGGACAAGTCTAGGCAAGCCTATTGTATAAGGAAGACTATTATTAGTAAACCTACGCCGAATTAGTATGCAGGAAGGCACTTAATTAGTATGGAGGAAGGCATTTTTTCCCTAGGTTATAACAATGGGTGACGTCACAGATTATCCCTAAACTATCCTGACCTATCCACCAACGATGCTTATTTTCCAACATAGTAGACTGCTAAACGCCATTAAACTTAAATAATAATAATGAAAAGCCGTAAGTTTTTAGCTCTCATTTTCAGCTTCCTAGCTTCCCTTCTTGGAACACTTTTTTGTGTGTTGCCTATGCGACAAAATAATGTTTTATGTGCTGCTTGTAATTGCTAAATACTATTTTGACATTGTCGGAAATAATGCACCTATCAATGTAAAGCCGGCGGGGGGAGGCAGGGCATGGGGTGGGGATTTGACATTTTTCAAAAATTTGCCTTCAAATTCCCTGCCCACGGGCAAATCATTCCAGTCAAATGCAACCAAATTTCCCCACCCCGGGCTGCACATTGCTATCAAATATCCCAAGGCAGAACCTAAGAAAGGCACAATGAAAATATCTCCAAATGAAACTCTGCAATCTTTATTTATAAATTGCTGCATCACCAAAGATACATGTTCCTGTTACACCTGCAATTAGACGTTATAACCGTAAACCGTGTTACACTGCGTAGAATACATAAACCTTTAGGAGAAAGTCCACATTTTGTAAGTTTAAATATACCATTCTTAGTAAAGCCGGGTACAAAGAAAGTCAGTTTTACAAGCTTTATACAGTGATTGTAGCAAAAGAGTCATACACTGATCAATTGTGCTTGCAAGAATCGACTTGGTTTCTCTTTACTTCCGTTTACTTTGATACCACAGTATTTTAAGAGGTTCAATTGATCAAAAACACGCTAAAACAAACGAAATTTGAAGACAAAACAGTGAAATCCACTCAGCTTTCGCTTGTTCCCGTTGGCCTTCATGATTTCCATATCTTTCCAGACCGTACGGCGCATGCGTGAAACGTGGAAGCGGGAAACATGTGTTCGGTTTCAGTCTTTTTCTTCCGAGTCGGCAGTCAAATATCTCCGCGTCGGGCGAAGAAAGATTCAAATATCCCCTCCCCTGGGAGAACAAGGTCAGTCAAATGCCCTACCCTAGGGCCAACAAAGACAATCAAATCCCCACCCCATGCCCTGCCTCCCCCCCCGCCGGCATGACATTGATAGGTGCATAACTGCGCGGCAATGAAAACGTTTTGAGACTAATTACGATTATCTTAATTTTACTTATGAACAACATCATACAGAGTTCGGATGAATCCATCTATAAACGCTTTTAAAGAGTTGAAACGGGTATCAGTTGCGCATTTAGAACTAGTCACAAGTAAAAGCTGTCAGTCTCTGCGTCTTTTTGTGAAGGAAATGCCGAACGTGCATCAACAAATGATCCACTTAGTATTAAGGATTTTTAAAGAGTTGAAACAGGTGCTAGTTGCGCATTTAGAACGAGTTATAAATAAAAGCTGTCAGTCACCGCTTGTTTTTGAAAGGAAACGCCGGACGCGCATCAACAAAAGCTGAGAAGTAATCGAAGATGCTTAACTACTCTTTTATCTTTAAGAACGAATCAAAACCGGACAACATTGGAAATATGAACAACAGTTCTAACTTTGAAACTATTGTTGTCATAAATTGTATCCTCAATGCTCCACTGATGCTAACATCCATCACTGGTAATGCCTTAGTGTTGGCCGCTATATTGAGAACTCCTTCGCTTCGTTCAGTACCATCTACAATCTTTCTATGCAGTCTTGCTATTACAGATTTTCTTGTTGGGCTTGTTGGTCAACCTGTTTACATTGCCAGTGAACTTCAATATTCAGCTGGTGGGCCTCTTTATAAAGTCGAAGCCTTGATAACTGCTTCACTTTGTGGTGTTTCCCTAACAACAATGACAGCCATAAGCGTGGATCGATTTTAGCCCTCCACTATCATGTGACGTATGCGAATTTGATGACCACAAAACGTGCAATGAATGCTTCAGCAAGTCTCTGGTTTGCTTCCATACTTTTATCATGCCTTAGGGTTTGGATAAGAGGGTTATTTTTCCTTATTACAGGAGTTTTCATTGCAGTTTCTTTTGTCATTTCTTGCGCTTCTTACATCAAAATTTATATCATTGTTCGTCATCATCAGATCCAGATTCACGCTCAACAACAAGCTGTGAACAGTTTTAATATTAGTTTTAATATTACAGATAGTAATAACCTGATAATATCAAAGAAACGTGCTTTAAAAACTTTTATATACTTCATCTGCATGATATTTTGTTATCTACCATATCTATCTTATTTATTGTTACGTGAGACCTCAGTTATAGCTTCTGACAGGAATTGGTTGAACTTGGTAACTACTGTTGTGTTCTTGAATTCGTCCGTAAATCCATTTTTGTATTGTTGGTGTAATCATGAAATCCGCACGTCGGTTGTAAAGATAATACGAAAGATGATGTGTAGACAAACAGAGGAAGCTGACTAGGTAGTGGCGTTGCATTAAAGTTCATTGCCAAAAAATTTGCCCCATGTAAAGGTTTCCAAGACAGTCTTGGATTCTGGATTCCAAAGCCGTGGATTCCGAATTCCAGGTATGGTGCGAAAAATGATGTGTAGACAAAAGAAGGAAGCTAGCAAGCTTGAGTGTTAGAATTGTATTTGTAAAGAGCGGAATATAATACAGACCTTTACCACGCTATGCAAACTTCCCTGAACCATTGCCTAAGGTTTTTGTGCTGTGATACCACACTTATGATTTGTCGACACCAATCTCCAATTTGGAGACGGGTAATCCGTCTAAGACGAATTATCCGTCTGTTAGCACGTCTTCAAGACGTGCTAACAGACGAATCAGCCTCAGACGAATTTATACTAGAGACGAATTATCCGTTCAAATAGATGAGGACGTTTAAACTTAATATCTCAGTATTAATCTTGAATAATACAAAAAAAGCCCAAGTTTCAAGCTTTCATTTTGAGCCCCCTTCCTTTCGTGGATAGTCTTTTTGTATGTTACCACCTAAGAGATAAATGTTTCTTGATGCACTGTGTAAGTTTCTGCATACTATTTTGACATGGTCGGTATACTAATAACTGTGAGGCAATTAAAACGTTGGGAGACTAATTACAGCTCAGTAAATTTTACTTATTGAAAACAGAGTTTGGATGAATCCATCAATAAAGGGTTTTCAAAGAGTCAAAGACTGTAAGCGCCAATTACCCAATAAGAACATTCAAATAACGAATTAAAAGCTGCAAAGTCACCGCGTCTTTTTGTTAAGGAAACGCGACGAGCAACAACAAAAGCTTTAAAAAGAAATCGAAGATGCCAAACTACTCCTTCTTCAATAAGAACGAATCAAACTCCGACAACACGGGAAAAATGGACAACAGTTCAAGCTTGGAAACTATTGTTGTCATAAATTGCATCCTCAATGTTCCACTGATGCTCACATCAATCACTGACAATGTTTTGGTGTTGGCCGCCATATTGAGAACTCCTTCGCTTCGTTCAGTACCGTCTATTATCTTCCTATGCAGTCTCGCTAGTACAGATTTTCTTCTTGGACTTGTAGGTCAACCTTTTTATATTGCCAATGAACTATACCACTCAACTGGTGGGCCAATCTCCAAAGTCGAAGATTTCGTATCTGTTTCACTTTGTGGTGTTTCCCTCACAACAATAACAGCCATAAGCGTAGATCGACTTCTAGCTCTTCACTATCACATGACGTATCCGAATTTAATGACAACAAAACGTGCAATGTATGCCTCAGCAAGTCTCTGGTTTCCATCCGTACTTTTAGCATGCCTTAGAGTAGCTTGGGGATCAGAAGTTATTTGTATTTTTGAAGGAGTGTGAATTACTATTTGTTTTGTCCTTTCGTTCGCTTCTTACATCAAAATTTATTTCATTGTTCGTCACCATCAGATCCAGATTCAAGCTCATCAACAAGCTGTGAACAGTTTTAATATTATTGTAAATATTCCAGATAGTAATAACATGATAATATCAAAGAAACGTGCTTTAAAGACTTTTATATATTCCATCTGCATGATATGTTGTTACTTACCTTATCTATCTTATGCATTGCTACGAAACACCTCAGTTATAGGCGATGAGGAAAATTGGTCCTTTGCAGAGACTGTTGTGTTCCTGAACTCGTCCGTAAATCCATTTTTGTACTGTTGGTGTAATCGTGAAATCCGAACGTCAACTGTAAAGCCAGTCCGAAAAATGATGTGTAAACAAACGGAAGTATAGCTAGCGAGCTTGAAGGTTAAACTTGTATTTGTAAAGAGACCTTCACCGCGTTATGCAGACTTCCTTAAACTTTGCCTTATAAGGAATGGGCTCGCTCAGTTAAATTATAACAACAAAATATTAACAGAAATATACATGCAAAAATCAGAGGTAGAGTAAATCTTAAAATATATGCTAGATAATCGTAATGGTTAGGCCAAAAAACTGAGAAAAAACTGAGAGGAACTCATTTATATATTAGTCCTGTATTGTGGTAAATAAAAAAGCTCCTAACTTTTTGTGCCATACGAATGCACCTGGCGTGTCACTAAAAACGTATCATTGAAGCTATCAGGAAGTTAGCCGTATTTGTATTGATACATAAATTTTCCTATTTGAAGTTTGTAGACGTGTAATTAATCTTATGGGGGTGGGATGAAACGGGTCGAAGTTAAGAATGCTTAGTCTCCAGCTTAGCGCCAGGTGAAGATCTATTTTATAAATATATAAAAATATTTATTTTAAAAACCCCTAATTACTATTCATCATAACTCAAACAACTGCTCGCTTTACTACTTATTATTAAAAAGAATAGAGAAAGACACAAATTATTACCAGAAAAATTACCCGGTCTGTGTGTATATTTATTTAGTGCTGTTATGAAAAAACAACTGAACCAATAAATGTCTGTCACCTGCCATATTAGCTAAGCATGAGATCAAAGGCAAATGTTGAATAACCATAAATTGGTAAAGATTTTCAGTCTTCCAACAACTTCCCCTCAAATTAGTGACACTTTTTAATTCTCTAACACTATTTTGAGCTTTCCGGAGCGTATTTTAGTATATCATTTTTGTTATGTTCCTTTTTCAACTGCTAAAAGTGAAAACAATCATTACTGTCTCCTTTTCCATACATCTCCCTCGAAATATTTAAGTTCGCTAAGGTAATGGAGCGGAGAATTCTAAATTTTAATTGTTGCATTGTGTCTCAGTGACAAATCATAATTTCAGCCTTCCTTGTAGTTACACAATATTATTGATCCTTTTCCATAAGAATATAGACCGTCTTAGCATCATCATAGTGCGGGGTAATGGTAGAGAGTCCGAATTTTAACAATAAAATTTATCTATTTACCATTAGAGGGAGGGAAAAGGACCCTGAAATCTTTGTCTTGGTAGACCTGATGAATCGAACACATGTCTGATCTAAATAATTATAACTTGAATTCGTATTCAAATACTCCCTGGACGAAAGAAAAGTTATTAACACCCAATAAGTCGTGCTCGTTGGTAAATTTGTAGCGCTTGCAGTGGCTGATTTTGTCGTCTACTTTCCTTCTGTTAGTAAGACGTATCCGTAAAAAGTATGAGTTTTCCACAGGGATTAGGAAGGCCGTGCGCCATGCGCGTATGGCGCATAAAGCTACGAAATGGCCCATTAAAAAAATACTTACCGGGCCTGTGATGCGCCCTGACCGCACAAAGCTAGTAAAATAAAAACTATTTTGTGAAAAGGATATTAATTTGTAAACGTTTCACTTCGGTAACACATAAACAAGCGAAAAACTACGGTGCCTTCGCTCGTTTGATCACGCTCGCTTCATTCTTCTTCCCAGATCCCGAACTCGGACTTTGCTTGCAAACGAGGCTATTGCTCGGAGTTCCATGTGCTTTTGTTTTCGAGCAGAGTTCGAGCGTTTTCGTCGCCTTGAAAGTCATTTGCATCGATTAATCTCATGCCTTATAGCGGATGGTTATTCATGGCAACGGTTTTTCATGCCTAAAACCATGTCTGTATAGGTATAGACTGTAAAACACAAGCAATAAACCTTTGTTAAAATTTTTACTGGCCCATTTATTTACCCTAATGGCCCAAACGTTTTATACATGGCCCATAACTTTCCAATGATAGGGGCCATAGGCTCATTTGCCTGTTAAACCTTCCTAATCCCTGTTTCCAGTAATGTTTAGTATCATTAGTGAGTTCTATTTAGGTCTAAATCGGATCAGAAACGTTTCTGTGAAACGATCGAGCCAATTTCACCTGCAATTTAGTTAGAAACACAGGGGCACCCAACGACAATTTTTGGAAAAATATCTGTTCGAAAGACGATTTGAAATTTCTTGTAAAATTTCTTGCTTGCCTGCTTCTCGTAGGATTTTCGAACATCTAAAAAATGGTAAAATTGCCCATTTTCAACGGATTTTCACCCTAAAAAGGTCACCTAGAATTTTCGAACAGGTAAGTTTTGATCCCTATAATTTTCGGATCACTAGACTTTCAGCTAGGAAATCCGAACAGATGAAACGTTTATAGGGCATAAAAATATGCCCATATCCACCGTTTAAATACTAAAACACGTTTAACAATGCTATGTTTAAGTGGTTTTGAACTATATTCTCGTTGGGTGCCCCTGGAAACAAGTCGAAAGGTTGAAGCACTCGTGCGCCTAGCCTGCGTAACTGCCGGGGTTAGTGCTGCTGTTTTAGGGCGTAGGGTTATAGAACTGCGTGAAAGATGCGCCTTATCATTCTGCTTGTCATGCAGACCCTTGTAAGGCAAAAATTTCTGAGAAACTAGTTCTAAGCTTACTAAAACCTTCTTGTTTCACCATTCAACGCTCCCCTTCTTCTTTCTATCAAATTAATAAGTCCCATAGTAAATTAGTTCTTGCATTTTGGTACACTGCAAAATTCCCTTGACGTGCAAACATTTTACTGGTTTACCGTGCATGGCTTCAACATTTGTTTTCGCTTTTTTTCTCGCAGACTCGCGCGTGGGAGCCGTAATTGAAATACACCAATCAGATGTGATAGTAATCGTGCCGACTGTTTCAGATCTTTCGAAAGAGAAATAAATGGTTTAAACTGAGTAGTAACTGACTTTCGCAGCGTTAAGATGTGGGTACTGAATTTGCTCTTTTAACAAAAATTTTTAAAAACGAGAAGTAGGAATTATAAAAATTAAACATCCAATTAATGTAAAACAGGAAGTTGTCGCTGCTGTCATTTTTACCCCAGGGGTAATTCAAGTAGTCTGCATCGCACTGGCGTAATCTTTCCCTGGCTAGTAACGTCTGCGAAGCGGCGCCGAGATCCTTGTTGTGGGTACCTAACGGACTCAAAAAAATACCGGAAGCGCATTTCGAATTTCCCTTCAACCTGATTGGCAAATCGGTAATAACTTTAATTTTTTAACAGGCCAATCATTGTACGCACTCAAAACCTGCTACACAGGTTTGGTCCCAGAACAAGGCTTTCGACGCTGGCTCGAAGACGGTCATAACCAGAGCTGATTTTAGTTTCGTTTTTTCGTTTGCAGGCCAGTGCTTCATGAATGGGACGTTTTTGAAAGTGCCTTTATTGGATTATCTGGGATTACCAGTTCACGCATCATCATTAGGAACCTTAAGATACGAGGACGGGACAAGCTACGACGGCTACCGGAAGTAAATTTGCACAACCAAGCATGCGCACACGAAGCCCAAATTCGTGTTCTTGCCGTCCTGGTCTCCCCGAGGACGCCATTCAGCCTGTTTTGCCGTCGTCTCGAAAACGTGAGTATTCTCAGTAGTCTACTATGTGGGAAATTAAGCCTCATTTTGGACTTCCCTTGGACTCCCCGCATAATAATTTGGATTTCCTGCATACTAATTTAGTGCCTTCCTCCATATATAATGAAGTGGATAGGTTTACTAATGAGCGTCACTCTACTACAATAGAAACAATAAGCTTGCCTAGACTTGCTCGTGAAGTAACTTGAGCCCAGTTTACCGGAACGTCTATTAAAAGGAATAAGAAAGCGATCACCTAGCAACACGAGAAACGGCTTCCTATATGTTGTTTAACGCTAAAACTATACAAACACACGCACATATACACAAAGGGGAGCTGAAAACTTTGTCTGACGTTTTCTCCTATCTATCTCGAGGAAATGAAAAACTATGAAAGTGTCAGCGTTTCACGCTGAAACAACAGGGGCTAATACATCTTCAATAAAACCACTACCCTCTTGTACAAGGACTCGCTTCTTCGTTTTGTAAGGGACATTTGGACTGGCCAGGTCAAGTAAAGCATCCTTATATGGCAGCAATATCCGCTTATTTTCTTCGGAGATAGGAATGTGTCTCATGAGTACATTGTATAAGACTTGGACTAGTGCATGTAGTTGTTGTGGAGTAGCTGTCTTTAAAAGAAACTGGCGCTGATAAGCAGGGCAATCAGCTAACAGCTGAAAAAAACCACGGTTGTTGTTCACTACACGAGACATTGTTTCAAAATGAACTAAAGATGGCAGTTGGCAGTCTTTTATAGAATCTCGTGGAGAAAAAGGAAATGAAACGAGTGGGCGAAGGATAGAAAACAATAGAATAATGACGAGGAGGAGGAAAAACAATAGAAATGAGGAGGAGGAGGAAAAACAATAGAAATGAGGAGGAGGAGGAGGAGGAGGAGGAGGAAAGAAAACAATAGAAATGTGGTGGTGGTGGTAGTGGTGGTTTTGGGGGAGGAAAGCAATAGCATTTTATGGCATGAAAACCTATATAAATGCGCAACATTCTACCTCTTTCTCAGTCTACATTTTGCTTTTTAGGAGTTGACACGAGTTGGTTCTGTTCTGTCTGCGAAAAATCCTTTAGTAGAAAAGATAATATGCAAAGGCACGCTAAAAAGTCCTTTTGGTTATCTTCTGATTGATCTGAAAACTACTACCCAAGATAATTGTCGGTTTCCAACAAACGTCCTACCGTTTCAAGAAAATATTCCTTAGGAGCTTCTAAAATATCTGAAGCAGCAAACTCTTTCGCCTGTCCTGCTTCTTCCAGCTATGCAAGAAATACAAGGCAACATTATAATTATATATCTGAGTTTAAGCGCTAAATAAGATATAGGAAGCCGTTTCTCGCGTTGTTACCTATGCGATAAAATAATGTTTTATGTGCTGCTTCTAATTTCTAAATACTATTTTGACATTGTCGGTAATAACTGCGCGGCAATGAAAACGTTTTGAGACTAATTACAGATTATCTTAATTTTACTTATGAACAACATCATAAAGCTTTTAAAGAGCTGAGTTGAAACAAGTATCAGTTACACATTTAGAACGAGTCACAAATAAAAGCTGTCAGTCACAGCGTCTTTTTGTGAAGGAAACGCCGGACGTGCATCAAAATATGATCCACTAAGTATTAAGGATTTTTAAAGAGTTGAAACAGGTGCCAGTTGCGCATTTAGAACGAGTTACAAATAAAACCTGTGAGTCACCGCTTGTTTTTGAAAGGAAAGGCCGGACGCGCATCAACAAAAGCTGGGAAATAATCGAAGATGCTAAACTACTCTTTTATCTATAAGAACGAATCAAAACCGGACAACATTGGAAATATGAACAACAGTTCTAACTTTGAAACTATTGTTGTCATAAATTGTATTCTCAATGCTCCACTGATGCTAACATCCATCACTGGTAATGCTTTGGTATTGGCCACTATCTTGAGAACTCCTTCGCTTCGTTCAGTACCATCTACAATTTTTTTATGCAGTCTTGCTATTACAGATTTTCTTGTTGGGCTTGTTGTTCAACCTGTTTACATTGCCAATGAACTTCAATATTCAGCTGGTGGGCCTCTTTATAAAGTCGAAGACTTTATATCTGTTTCACTTTGTGGTGTTTCCCTATCAACAATGACAGCCATAAGCGTGGATCGATTTTTAGCCCTCCACTATCATGTGACGTATCCGAATTTGATGACCACAAAACGTGCAATGAATGCTTCAGCAAGTCTCTGGTTTGTTTCCATACTTTTTTCATGCCTTAGGGTTTGGATAGGAGGCTTTTTTTCCCTTATTACAGGAGTTTTTATTGCAGTTTCTTTTGTCATTTCGTGCGCTTCTTACATCAAAATTTACATCATTGTTCGTCATCATCAGATCCAGATTCACACTCAACAACAAGCTGTGATGAACAGTTTTAATATTACAGATGGTAATAACCTTATAATATCAAAGAAACGTGCTTTAAAAACTTTTATTTACTTCATTTGCATGATATTTTGTTATCTACCATATCTATTTTATTCATTGCTTAGTAACACCTCAGTTATAGCTTTTGACAGAAATTGGTCGAACTTGGTAATTAATGTTGTGTTCTTGAACTCGTCCGTAAATCCATTTTTGTATTGTTGGTGTAATCATGAAATCCGCACGTCGGTTGTAAAGATAATACGAAAGATGATGTGTAGACAAACAGAGGAAGCTGACTAGGTAGTGGAGTTGCATTAAGGTTCATTGTGAAAAATTTTGCCCCATGTAAAGGTTTCCAAGACGGTCTTGGATTCTGGATTCCAAAGCCGTGGATTCCGGATTCCAGGTATGGTGCGAAAAATGATGTGTAGACAAACGAAGGAAGCTAGCAAGCTTGAGAGTTAAAATTGTATTTGTAAAGAGCGGAATATAATTGTTGTGAAGTATTTTGAAGGTTATTTTAAGTTAATTTCGTGTTTGTGCTTGACGTTTCACTCGTGAGTAGAGTCCTGTTATGACCAGTTTATAGATCAAGGTTAATCCGTATTTGTGTCGACAGGTTTTCAAATTCAATTCAAAATGGGCGTTGAATTCACTTATATTTCAGCAAGTCTGTTTTTTTACAGTCTTGCCTTAGAAATGAACTCATTACACCCGTCTGCCGAACCACTGTATTTTTTTTGCTTCCGTGTCTTATCAAGGGTTCATACAGCAAATTGCAATCATTTTTAAGGACTTTTCGAGGATCTCATTTGATTTTCATTCACTACCTACCAGGAATGTACATTACAGATTTGTACATATATACATGTTGTAGTTAATTTATCATCTGAGGTAATTTTTGTTTTTCTTTTGTTTTGGGGTATGGTAATGTATGCACATGAATTTGAAACAAAGAAAAATAAAAATTACCTGAGATAAAAAATTAACCACAACATACACATTCCCTGTCCAAGCTAACGCTCAAGCAGATTAAGGCCTGGGTCAGTAAGTCATACATGGTTCTTATGCACACTTTCCAAAACCGTCGTTAAAGACATGCGCAAGAAATTATAGATAGTAAAGTTAATTACACAAAACAAAAATTGGAAAACAAATCCAAAATAATAGGTCACGTGATTGACCACGCCCTCTATTGTTTAAAAGTTGTAACCAACGATTCCCACCACTTGCCAAACGTGTAGCTCCAGTTTCACTGTATCAAAACATTGACCCTATAAAGTGTTTACGAAATCAGCACGGAGTGGTTCAAAGCGTTACAATGGCCAAATTTATACTAGAGACGAGTTATCCGTCAGATTGATAATTCGTCTAAGTATAAATCCGAAGACGAATTTTGACGAACAATTTGTCTAGATTTTTATTTATTTATCCCAGGAAACATTGCGAAAATTAATATAGAAACCAGCTTCTCCCATGTGGAGACTTCGTCAAAAAACCGTCCACCTTTCGTCCAGATATGAATTTAGAGACGGATAATCCGTCTAAGACGAATTATCCGTCTGTTAGCACCTGTTCAAGACGTGCTAACAGACGAATCAGCCTCAGACGAATTTTTCTTCATAATTCGTCTTAGCACCGAATTTATACTAGAGACGAATTATCTGTCTGGAAGGATAATTCGTCCCTAGTGGCCGGCGTAATTGGTGTTTATTGACTAGTCACGAGTCAGTCCTCCTCTAACTAAAATTTTAGTCAGCAGAAAGAGGTTCGTTGACATGGTCTCATTCCGAACGTTTTTAGAAGAAGACTATTTGTAGCCACTGTTTGGACCTACAAATGGAAAACCGTTTGCTCTTTATGTTCTTTAAGTTTTCATCTTTAGTTTGGGGGTGGGAAGGATGGGTTGATGTTAAGAATACTTGAAACAGCGTCTGCATAATAATTTTAACCGTCTTTTGAGCAACTCGATCATTTTCACAAGTATAGTTTTGCTCTTAGCCTAGTTTTGAAAGTGAGAGTTTTCGGAACTCGGAAATGTACTGCACCGCAAATGATCCCCGACCGCAAATGATCCCCATTGTCGACTGCAAGTGATCACCATTGTCGACGGCAAATGATCCCGTTAAAAGTAGAGGAATGGAATGGATTTTAGGCATGGATGGTGAATGGCGCTGAGAACTGGAACAACGCGTAAAACAATGGAATAAATTAAAAAGATAATTATCAACCAACAACAGCAACCACAGCATGTGAAAATGTCACACGATCAAGCAAAGTAGCTAAATCAAAACAAATGGAAATGCTAAATTTAACAAATTGAACTTCTTGTGATAGAGCTGGTTTCATCTCTCATCTCAGCATGAATTCGAATAAATTTAAAATGAATTAGTGAATTCAGCATGAAAAGTTTTCTAGCATTTCCCAAGTCTACTTAATACTTAAAATACTTTTAATAGATGAGGAAGTGTAAATTTAATATTTCAATATTAACCTTGAATAATACAAAAAAAAGCCGTGAGTTTCAAGATTTCATTTTGAGCCCCCTTCCTTTCGTGGATAGTCTTTTTGTATGTTACCACCTGAGAGATAAATGTTTCTTGATGCACTGTGTAAGTTTTTGCATACTATTTTGACATGGTTGGTACACTGATAACTGCGAGGCAATTAAAACGTTTGCAGACTGATTACAGCTCATCTAAATTTTACTTATTGAAAACAGAGTTCGGATGAATCCAACAGCTCGACCAACAGCTCTTCTACAGTTTAACGAAAACCGAGTCGACCGTTTGGCGGCCGACAGAATTTTTTGGTGGATAGTCGGCCGACAGAATTTTTGGGGAGTTGTTCTTCAATTTTGCCGACTTGACAATCATCATCTTAACAGTATCATGCAGCACTATCTATGGATGATATGATCGTAAAACCGGCATATCTGCCCTAGGATTGTCTGGGAGAATTCACAAAGATCCTCGATTGAATATTGCGTTCGCAAAAAGCTCGCCTACAGCTGTAAGCCTCTGATCAAAAAATCCAGAATGCCACATTGCAGTTTGACCTGGATCAAGGGCACTCAACGAGAATGTATTTCAAAAACACTTAAACAGCATCGTGAACGTATTTTAGTATTTAACCGTTAGATATAGGCATATTTTTATCCCCTAAAAATTTTTCATCTTTTCCGATTTCCTAGCTGAAAGTCGAGAGATCCGAAAACTTATAGTAATCAAAACTTACCTTTTCGAACATTTCAGCCAGAAAAAAGAAAATTCTAGGTGACCTTTTGAGGGTAAAAAATCTGTTAAAAATGGGCAATGCAGGCAAGAAATTTTACAGCAAATGTTCCGCAAATTCTAGATCTCAAATCGTTTTCCGAACAGATGTTTTCCTAAAATTTACGGTGGGTGCCCTCGCTGGATTGACTGTAAAATAGAAACATATAAAATCATAACCTGACATCTGACTGCACAGAGACCCACAAAGGAATCCAACCTACTTTATTTTTAACAAAAAAACGAAAAACCAGATGCTAAAAAATACAAAAACCGGAAACCGCAACGACAACAAAACCGAAAAAGCGACTTAAAAAATGGCTAAAATAAGCCGTAATTCCCAACGCCCCCTCCCGGGTCTTCAAAGAGTCAAACACTGCAAGCGCCAATTACCCAATAAGAACAAATAACGAGTTAAAAGCTGCAAAGTCACCGCGTCTTTCTAAAAAGAAATCGAAGATGCCAAACTACTCTTTTTTTAATAAGAACGAATCAAACTCCGATAACACGAAAAGAATGGGCAACATTTCTAACTTTGAAACTATTGTTGTCATAAATTGTATCCTCAATGTTCCATTGATGCTCACATCCATCACTGGTAATGCTTTGGTGTTGGTCGCCATATTGAGAACTCCTTCGCTTCGTTCAGTACCGTCTACTATCTTCCTGTGCAGTCTCGCTAGTACAGATTTTCTTGTTGGGCTTGTGGGTCAACCTTTTTACATTGCTAGTGAACTATACCATTCAACTGATGTGCCTCTTTCCAAAGTCGAAACCTTGATATCTGTTTCACTTTGTGGTGTTTCACTAGCAACAATGACAGCCATAAGCGTGGATCGATTTTTAGCTCTCCACTATCATGTGACGTATGCGAATTTGATGACCACAAAACGTGCAATGACTACTTCAGCAAGTCTCTGGTTTGTTTCCATACTTTTATCATGCCTTAGAGTTTGGATAAGAGGCGTTTTTTTCCTTATTACAGGAGTTTTTATTGCAGTTTCTTTTGTCATTTCGTGCGCTTCATACATCAAAATTTATTTCATTGTTCGTCATCATCAGATCCAGATTCACGCTCAACAACAAGCTGTGAACAGTTTTAATATTCCAGATAGTAATGACATGATACTATCCAAAAAAAGTGCTGTAAAGACTTTTATATATTACATCTGCATGATAGTTTGTTATTTACCGTATCTATCTTATATATTGCTAAGTACCACCTCAGTTAAAGCTTTTGGCAGGAATTGGTCCTTTGTATATACTGTTGTGTTCTTGAACTCGTCGGTAAATCCATTTTTGTACTGTTGGTGTAATCGTGAAATCCGATCGTCAGTTGTAAAGATAGTCCGAAAAATGATGTGTAGACAAACGGGGAAAGCTAGCTAGCTTGAGCGGGGTCAAAATTGTATTTGTAAAGAGCGGAATATAATACTCACAGATCTTTACCACGCTATAAACACTTCCCTGAACTATTACCTAAACTTTACAGAGAAAAATGGCTTGACATTTACGAACAGTTCTGTTCACCTAACGGGATTTCGTCCGGAAACGCAAAACTTCGTTACCGCGAAGACTTGTATGTATGTTGAGCGAGATACCGCACTTTACATAATTTGTCAAAACCTTATTACACAGCGAAGCCTTCAATCAGTATACATTGCTATTGATTTTTTCCTCGTCTACGCAGTCGAAAGTTCTCTATCTGCTGAAATTTAGAAAATACTTTTTTTCTGGCTGAAATTTCGAAAAGGTAAGTTTTGATCCCTATAATTTTCGGATCACTAGACTTCCCGCTAGGAAATCCAAACAGGTGAAAAATATTTAGGGGATAAAAATATGTTTATATATACCGTTTAAATACTAAAATACGTATAACAATGCTATGTTTAAGTGGTTTTGAACTATATTCTCGTTGAGTGCCACTGACTGAGGAGTCTTTCTTTTGTAAAATGCGTAAAATAACTTTTCTCTACCACCCTAATAATTTATCACTATTGTTTTTTTTTTAATTTGTTTTTTTCTTTTTTTTGGAAAGCGCCTCTAAACTTATATCATACTAGCGCATTTATTAAAGAGAGTTGGTTAAAGCAAGGATTGTGACGTCATGTGGTTTGATTAAGCCGCCATTTATACGCATTATTGGCTTCACGTTCCTATTAAGCGAAAGTCTACTTCAGTTTGCAAGATTATTGCAAATAGGGGCGGGAAGGAGGATTTGAGGTTAAGAATTTATTTTGAAAAACAGCGTGTGCTCAGCGCCAGGTGATGATCTATTTTCATATCACTAGCAAGTTAAATATTCATTTTCGAAATCCCTAATTACTATTCATCAACGCTTAAACGAGTGCTGTTCTGCTTATTAAACAGAGAAAGGCAAAAACTTACCAGGAAAATTGCCCTGTGTGATGCAAATATATATTAAGTGCTATTATAAGATAACAACTGAACCAATAAACGTCTTTCACCTGCCATTTTTATTACCTAACGCTGAGATCAATGGCAAATTTTAAGTTACCATAAACTGGATATTTTTTTGTTACTATTTGCTCAAACTTGCTCACCAGCTCTCGTTTTAAAACGTCTACACTGTTTTGAGCTTTCCGGAACAAATCTTAAAATATTTTTTTCAGATTCTTTTTTCAACTGCTAACGGTAAATTCATAACTATAACGGTCTTAATATTTTTTATCGCCCTCCATCCAAATATCCCGGGGGGAATAAAGGGAGTTTTCGTTAATGTGGAGGAGCGGAGATCCAACCTTTGTTGAATTGTGTTTGACAAATCCAATAATTTTCACCCTTCCTCGCAGTTACAAATTAGGGAGCTTAAGATGATATTACACGGGACAATTAGCAAAGACGATTTTTAGCGCAACACAGCGTTGCAATGTTGGAACAATGTTGTAACTATTCGAAACAATGTCGCAACAATTTTGCAACGCTGTGTTGCGGTAAAAATCTTCGTTGCTAATTGTTTCGTGTAACATCACCTTTAAACCAACGATGTTTTTTAAGCGACGCACGTCAACAAGAAATGAGGCCTTATAGTACGTCTTAACGCTAGCAAATTTATATTGCTATATAATGTCTCATAAACAGACGATTTGCCCGAACATCTGCGTAAAACCAGTGCCCAAAAATGTAATAAGTCCACTTCTGGTTGACGCGCGTCGGTCAAAAACGCCTTTGCTAAAGCTTGCTATTATCATTTATCCTTACGTGTCACAAGTACATAGACCCTTATCGTCGTGATATGTGAAGAAGTCGTAAAATTATAAATCTTAAACTATAATCGTAGAATTCCGAATTTTAACAAAGTCAGTTAAGTGCATTTACCAAAAGAGGAAGAAAGGTCGGTAGGGGGGGTAGGGGGACACCGGAATCTTTGTCTTGATAGACCCTAAATACGCCGCATGTCCGGACTGAAATAATTACACTTGCATACTTCCTGGGCTGACGAATGTCATTAACACCCAGTAGGTTGTTCGCGTTGGTAAATTTCTAGAGCTTGCAGCGTTTGATTAGTTTCCTTGTACCTTCCGTCTGAGAATGGCAAGGTATGTATGTACGACGTATCCATAAATAATGTCAGTTTCCAGTGCTGTTATTAAGTTCGGTTTAGGTCTAAATGGGACTGAAAACGTTTCTAAGTTTCTGTTGCAAAAGATCAAGCCAATTTGGAAACAAGTCAAAAGGTTGAAAGACCGTGCATATTTAATATATTTACTAAACGGCATAATTCCATTCGATTTGATCTTTGATACTTTCTCACAGTATCAGTCAAAACGTTATGAACGATAATTTTCGCTAGGGAACTTTTTGTTACACACTTCCTATTTCTTTCTTAACTTAATGATTAGAAAAAGACAACAAATATTTCTTGCCCGTCGGGCCTGAAATGCGATAAAAAAGTCACTTTTGAAGCTTTCAAACTTAGGTGACAGCATGTCGATGTTTACACAGGATAGGATGGATTTTAGACATCAGTTTCAGCCTATACTGGCATCAGACGAGTCATGCAGAGAACAGTTTTTGAATAACTAATCATAAATACCGCCGAAAATAAGCCCCGGGGCTTACATTTTTGAAAGGTCCTTTTTCAGAGGCTTATTTTTGGAGGGGCTTATATTCGAAGGGGATTATCTACGGCAGGAAATTTACGTTTGAAAATCGATTGTGCTAGCCTTATAGTTGGAAGTAAATTTACCGTTTTTGCTTTGTTTTCCTATGTATTTGAGGGCAATTTTCCGAGCACAAACCCCCGGGGGCTTATATTTGGAGGGGCGATTTAAGGGAGGGCTTTTTGCGTTACCGGTTTGCGGGGCTTATTTTTGGAGGGGCTTATACATGGAGGGGCTTATTTTCGAAATTTTATGGTATGCGACTTTTGAGTGTTTTATGGAATAGTCTACGGAATGATGGCTTTCTGAAAGTAAGAGAGATTTCATTTGACGTCCTGTTTTGTATCTTTAGTATTTTCTTCATAAAAAGGGGGTATTTTTGACTTAAATACGGACACTTTTACCCCCCCCCCCCCGCCCATTGGTCTAAATTTTACTTATGGAAAACAGAGTTCAGCCTTCGTGATGAATTCATTAATAAAGACTTTTTAAAGAGTCAAACAGGTGCCAGTTACACAATTAGAACAAAGCAACGAATTAAAAGCTGCAAAGTCACCGCTTCTAAGTTTGTAAAAGAAACGCCACGAGCAACAACAAAAGCCAAAAAAAAGAAAGAAATCGAGGATGTTAAACTACTCCTTTGTCGATAACAATGAATCAAAATCTGACAACTTGAAAATGGACGACAGTTCTAGCTTGGAAACTGTTGTCGTCATAAATTGCATCCTCAATGCTCCACTGATGCTGACATCCATCACTGGTAATGCTTTGGTGTTGGCCGCCATCTTGAGAACTCCTTCGCTTCGTTCAGTACCGTCTACTATCTTCCTATGCAGTCTCGCTAGTACAGATTTTCTTGTTGGGCTTGTTGTCCAACCTGTTTACATTGCCATAGAACTTCGCCATTTAACTGGTGAGTTTATTTTCAAAGCCATAGTCTCGATGTCTACTTGTCTCTGTGGTGTTTCCCTGGCAACAATCACAGCCATAAGCGTAGATCGACTTTTAGCTCTTCACTATCACATGACGTATCCGAATTTAATGACAACAAAACGTGCATTATATGCCTCAGCAAGTCTCTGGTTTGTTTCCATACTTTTACCATGCCTTACAGTTTGGAAATGGAGAGTTTTTAATCTTTTTGTAGGAGTGTATATTACAATTTGTTTTGTCCTTTCGTCCGCTTCTTACATCAAAATTTATTTCATTGTTCGTCACCATCAGATCCAGATTCACGCTCATCAACAAGCTGTGGACAGTTTTAATATTAGTGTAAATATCCCAGATAGTAATAACGTGATAATATCAAAGAAACGTGCTTTAAAGACTTTTATATATTTCATATGCATGATATTTTGTTACTTACCTTATCTATCTTATTCACTGCTACATGCAACCTCAGTTTTACGCTTAGAGGAAAATTGGTCCTTTGCAGAGACTGTTGTGTTCCTGAACTCGTCTGTAAATCCATTTTTGTACTGTTGGTGTAATCGTGAAATCCGAACATCAGCTGTAAAGTTAGTGCGAAAAATGATTTGTAAACAAACGGAAGTAGCTAGCGAGCTTGAAGTTTAAACTTGTATTTGTAAAGAGACCTTCACCGCGCTATGCAAACTTCCTTAAACTTTGCCTAAAGTTTACTCGAAACTTTAATTGAATTGTGTCTGACAAATCATAATTTCAGCCTTCCTTGTAGTTACACAATATCATTGATCCTTTTCCACAAGAACATAGACCGTCTTAGCATCATCATCGTGCGGGGTAATCGTAGAGAGTCCGAATTTTAACAAAGTTTATATATTTACCATTAGAGGAAGGGAGACGGACCCTGTAATCGTTGTCTTGATAGACCTGAATCCGCGACATGTCTAATCCAAATATTATAACTTGCATTCGTATTCAAGTGGTTTTGAACTATACTCTAGTCGGGTGCCCCTGACTGAGAAGTCTTTCCTTTGTAAAATACGTAAAATATAACTTTTCGCTACCACGCTAATGATTTATCACTATTGTTTTTTTGTTATTTGTTTTTTTTTTGGAAAGCGCCTCTAAACTTATATCATACTGCCGCATTTTTAACTTTGTGTAATTTATTAAAGAGAGTTGGTTAAAGGAAGGATTGTGACGTCATGTGGCTTGATTAAGCGGCCATTTATACGCATTATTGCTTCACGTTCTTATTAAGCAAAAGTCTTCGTCAATTTGCAAGATTATTGCATATGGGGGAAAGGAGCAGTTAACGTAAAGAATACTTGAAAACAGCATGTGCTTAGCGCTAGGTGATGACCCATTTTAATGCTACTAGAAAGTTATATATTCATTTTCAAAATCCCTGATTACTATTCATCAACGCTTAAACAAGTGAAAGGTAAAAATTACCAGGAGAATTGCCCTGTGTGATACAAATATATATTAAGTGCTATTATAAGATAACAACTGAACCAATAAACGTTTTTCACCTGCCATTTTGATTAGCTAAGCACGAGATCAATCGGGCAAATCAAGTTAAGTTACCATAAATTGGATAATTTTTGTTACTATTTGCTCAAACTTGCTCCCTAGTTCTCGTTTTAAAACTTCTACACTGTTTTGAGCTTTCCGGAACTAACCGTAAAATATTTTTTAAAGGTTCTTTTTTCAACTGCTAAAGGTAAATTCATAACTATGACGGTCTTATTTTTTATCTCCCTCCATCCAAATTTTCCCGGGGTGATAAAGGGAGTTTTCGTTAATGTGGAGGAACAGAGATCCAACCTTTGTTGAACTGTGTTTGACAAATCCAATAATTTTCACCCTTCCTCGCAGTTACAAATTGGGGAGCTTAAGATGATATTACACGGGACGATTAGCGAAGACGATTTTCAGCGCAACACAGCGTTGCAATGTTGGAACAATGTTGTAACTATTCGAAACAATGTCGCAACAATGTTGCAACGCTGTGTTACAATAAAAATCTTCGTTGCGAATTGTTTCGTGTAACATCACCTTTACACAAACGAGTTTTTTAAGCGACGCACGTCAACAAGAAATGAGGCCTTTTAGTATGTGTTAACGCTAGCAAATTTGTATTGCTATAACAGTGTCTCATAAACAGACAAATTTCCCCGAACATTTGAGTAAAACCACTGCCCAAAATGCAAAAAGTCCACTTGTGGTTGACTCGCGTCGCTCAAGAACGCCTTTGCTAAAGCTTGCTATTATCATTTATCCTTACGTGTCACAAGTACGTAGACCCTTACCGTCGTGATACGTGAAGAAGTGTAGAAGTCATAAAATTATAATTTTTAAAGTATAATCGTAGAATTTCGAATTTTCACAAAGTCTGTTGAGTACATTTACAAAAGAGGGAGAAAGGTCGGGTAGGGGGGCACCGGAATCTTTGTCTTTATAGACCCTAAATACGCCACATGTCCGGACTTAAATAATTACACTTGCATACTTCCTGAGCGGACGAATGTCATTAACACCCAGTAGGTTGTTCGCGTTGGTAAATTTCTAGAGCTTGCAGCGTTTGATTAGTTTCCTTGTAGCTTCCGTCTGAGAATGGCAAGGTATGTATGTACGACGTATCCATAAATAATGTCAGTTTGCAATGCTGTTATTAAGTTCTGTTTAGGTCTAAATGGGACTGAAAACGTTTCTAAGTTTCTGTTGCAAAAGATCAAGCCAATTTGGAAACAAGTCGAAAGGTTGAAAGACCGTGCATATTTAATATATTTACTAAACGGCATAATTCCATTCGATTTGATCTTTGATATTTTCTCACAATTTCAGTTAAAACGTTATGAACGATAATTTTCACTGAGGAACTTTTTGTTACACACTTCCTATTTCTTTTTTAACTTAATGATTAGAAAAAGACAACAAATATTTCTTGCCCGTCGGGCCTGAAATGCGATAAAAAAGTCACTTTTGAAGCTTTAAAACTTAGGTGACAGCATGTCGATGTTTCCAGCGCTACAATACACAGGATAGGATGGATTTTAGACATCAGTTTCAGCCTATTCTGGCATCAGACGAGTCATGCAGAGAACAGTTTTTGAATAAGTAATCATAAATACCGACGAAAATAAGCCCCGGGGCTTATATTTTTCAAAGGCCCTTTTTGAGAGGCTTATTTTTGGAGGGGCTTATATTCGGAGGGGCTTATCTACGGAAGGAAATTTGCGTTTCAAAATCGATTGGGCTAGTTTTATAGTTGGAAGTAAATTTACCGCTTTTGCTTTGTTTTACTTTGTGTTTGAGGGCAATTTTCCTAGCACAAGCTACCGGAGGACTTATATTTGGAGGGGCGATTTAACGGAGGGTTTTTTGCGTTACCGGTTTGGGGGGCTTATTTTTGGAGGGGCTACACTTGTTGAAGGCACAAGTGTAATAACTGGACCCAAGTGTAATAAAGGTCCCATTCGTAATAACATTTGGACCCAAGCGTAATAAAAGTCCCATCCGTAATAACGTATTGAACCCAAGCGTAATAAAGGTCCTATCTGTAATAACATTTGGACCCAAGTGCAACAACAACAACAAGCTTTATTTGCATGACCATACATGTACATATAGTATTGCAAAAGCTACTTTAAGAGAAAAAAAAAAAAAACAGAAAAACTAAAATTTCATCTTATTGCAATTAATTTACTTTGCTAACAATTTGTCACGGAAATCAAAGCAAGCTGAAATATATTTAACCGATTGTCAATTAGTATGTGTAATCAGATGGTGACGAGTGAAATTAGGGAATAATTTCACGAGTATACCATTTGATTACCTATTAATATCATTGGTGACGAATTACGTTAGCAATCTTGGATTTTTGACATGTTTATCCTTGATGGTATCGATCGAGAACTCCTGCACTCTCTCGAACGTTTAGAGCTTAAATTTGGCTTTAGTTCAGAGTTTTTCGACTAAATACCTGTTAGAATCCTTCTTGATGTGCTCTTTCGTCTATTCAGGTTTTCTAAAGCGTCTTTTTATGCCCCGACATCTTCATTCATGGCATTTTAAACCTTCGTCGCCATCTTGACACTGAGACGTACGGCAGGTTGCCATGGCAATTTAGTAATTTCACATGTGAAATTACAAATTAACGCTGAAATTTCGCGCCAAAATTAAGGAGTAATTCGTCACCTATGATATTAATACAGTAATTTGAGGAGTTCATCAGTTCATTGATCAGATCGTTGACGTGTAATTGGGTAATATTTGGGAATCAGAGATTGAACTTTATGGTAAAGATTATTCCTTATTATAGAGTATTTAGAACAGTGAAAAAGAAAGTGAATCTATTTTCTCGAGAGATTTGATTGTATCTACCTTGTTCTATCATTAATTTGTGATTGCTAATTCGTAATTTGACTAATGCCTTTCTCTCGGCTGTTCCTCTTGTTGAATCTAGATAATTAGAAATGGTATGCTCGTGTTTAAAAGATCTCTAAAATTCTAGTTTTTGAGAATGTTGGAGGGTGTTTTTCCAATAGGAGATATATTTTTTTTTTCAGCAAGCGTACAAAGGTTTTGACTATTGCGGTATCTAACAAATTATGATTGTAATAAAGGTCTAATATGTTGACCTTTGGTCCCAGCTGAGATAATATGAGACATGCTCACAACAGTGTATCTTAACTTACAAGGCTGACATCATGGCTCATGTGATCAAACAGAACGAGAAAAACATGAACGGAAAAAAATACCACCGAATCTAGCAATGGCTCTCGGTTTACGTTTTGACAAATTTATAACTGGCTATGAAACATGCTTTTCAAAAAATTCATCGCTCCAGAACAAATAAATATGTCATTCACGTTCACTTATATAAAATGTCAGCATGAGAAGCTTTGCTCAAGAAAAAAAATCTCAGCAGGCGCCGGAAATTGATGCCCTGGTACGCGATAGAAAGGTGTTTGCTTGGTGTCATAAAATTAATTAAGACCGGAACATAATAAGTAAACCAGACACCGAGTATCCGCGAGAGACGCGTCATTTCAGCGCGAGGCAAGGCGAGGAGCCAGCATCCCACGCAACCGTTTTATTGCGGCGTGACCTTTCTGTTTAAAATGAAGAAGATTTTGATCATTCGAAATGTATCTTAAATAATTTACATGATAAACAAATCCAGATCGGACTGCCGGTGATTTGGACGGGGCACGCCAGGGTCAAAAGACATTACGTTAAAGCATTTTATATTTCCTTTGTCACTTTGATAAAATTTTTGAAGGAGCGACCCGTATTTCATGTGGAAATGTGTGACAAAGCGCCGCAAAAACTTGTTTCCAGTGCCGCTCAAATGAATGGACGGCAGCGTACATGTACGATTTTTTTTGTTTTTGAGGGTCAGGCAGCGATCATGCGATGTAACCGAGTTAAATTCTTACTAATTAATTAATATTCTACCTTAGACTTTCAAAGTTCAAAAGCGCTGTGGTTTTGATTTCGAAACCATTTGAAGTGAAGGCGACCGTCGACGGTATCAGTCTTCGTTTCCCATTTCGAGTCTGTCGAGGGTTACAACCCCCAAAAGCATTGGCATGCACTCAAAAAAGAAATATGTGGAGTCCGGCCAACGGGTTTCTCCAAAAATGAAATATTTAGGAGATTTCCTGACGAAAGACGTGGCAACGCGGGAACTTGAACCCGCCAAATCGGCCTATGCCGAAGTGGAATTCAACATGATGCCAGCTACTGTGTACGTCGCTTCCACATTCGTTTGATCACCGATGTTCTTCGCCAGTAGAATATCATTCCACCGGATGGCCTTGTAAATTCTGTTACGGACTTAAGTTACATATTAGTGTTTTTAGACTTGAGGTAAGTTTGTTTTTAGTCAAATTATTCCCAATACAGTGAGGTATTTCTGTTTTCTGGTCACTTCAATTTAAAGAAATCATGTAGCTTTATTATTGTTTCTCTTCGGTAGTCAGTTTATTTATGGGCTTTTGTTATCTAATGGCAAAATCTAATTTTTATCATGCTTATTTTGTACTAACTGGTTTTGTTTCTCTTGGGTAGTCAGTTCATTTATGGGCTGTTGTTATCTGATGACAAAACCTAATTTTTATCATAATATTATTTTAAACTAACTGGTACTCAGCTGTTTCTCTTGAGTAGTCTGATGACAAGACCTAATTTTCATCACAGTTTTCATTTAGTACTAACTGGTTCTGTTTCTCTTGGGTAGTCAGTTCATTTATGGGCTGTTGTTATCTGATGACAGGACCTAATTTTCATCATTTTCATTTTGTACTAACTGGTTCTGTTTCTCTTGGGTAGTCAGTTCATTTGTGGACTGTTGTTATCTGATGAGAGGACCTAATTTTCATTTTGTACTAACTGGTTCTGTTTCTCTTGGGAAGTCAGTTCATTTGTGGACTGTTGTTATCTGATGAGAGCACCTAATTTTCATCATTTTCATTTTGTACTAACTGGTTCTGTTTCTCTTGGGTAGTCAGCTCATTTATGGGCTGTTGTTATCTGATGGCAGAACCTAATTTTCATCACAGTTTTCAATTGTACTAACTGGTTCTGTTTCTCTTGGGTAGTCAGTTGTTTATGGGCTGTTGTTATCTGATGACAGGACCTAATTTTCATCATTTTCATTCTGTACTAACTGGTTCTGTTTCTCTTGGGTAGTCAGTTCATTTGTGGACTGTTGTTATCTGATGACAGGACCTAATTTTCATCATTTTCATTTTGTACTAACTGGTTCTGTTTCGGATTATTATTATTATTGTTTATTGCTATTATTATCAACATCATTATTGAGTGATTTAAAACTATTTTTCTTTGACACAGGGCTATAATTTGCAGAAGGTGATGGAGTGTACACTGATTTCCTTTAGTGTTCTTTCAGAAATTCACATAGAATTTACTTTAGTTACAATTATTGCTTGGGTAATGAGATAAACTTTCAGCGACACAATGTGACAAAATTGTTTTTACCAAAATCATGTTAACACCATCAAAACGTTTTTATTATTAGTGTTATTCGTTAAAATCAAACGATGCTAATATATGTATGTAAAAATGAAATTATCTTGTCGCTTGTTACCGAGCTATCCGTACTGTAAAACGTCAAATGAAAAGTTATAACACTCACATGTCTATTAGTTCTTACAAATGATTTTGTCAAGGAAAATCGACGACAAAAAATTCCCTTCGCTGGCTTAATTAAGAAGCTTGGGTTGCAAAAAAATGTGTTTGTAAAACACAACCGAGTCAATTATCGCACGTTAAATAAATCAAAGCATTACTTTAGCAAAATAGAATCTTAGGGTTAACTTCCCGAGATTACTTCAAACCCTCTGGTTACCTTCCCTTCGCCGTGCCCTGTGAGCTTTGCGTTAGATCTCACGGTTTATTAATATGGAAACAAGTCGCTAATAAAATGAAGCTGTTATAAGTCAGTTGTAGTTACTAATGTCCAAGAATTCCAAATGTTCCTGTTTCGGGAATCGTAGTTTCTCTGGGATTAAACCATTCTCATTGAGTAAACATTAATTTATCACAGGTAAGTAAATGTACTTAATTTATCACATCGAACCTCGTTGCTGACGCCGTTTTGTGTAATTTTCCAGCCGACTACACAGTAATAGACAGAAGATAGTATACTGTTCGATGGACATAATTGCAAATAATTTCATTCCTCCCGTAAGAATAGATTTAGGCCGTCATTAAAATGTTTCTCGGGTGGTAAACCTTAGCTTCTCGTGATATTTTCTGAGTCGGCAAAGGGTTTATGTTTCATTTTCAATTTCTCTTTAGTAACAGATATAAACCCCGCTCTCGTTAAGGTTTGGTTCTTGATCTTCGATTATCCCATTCGAGTGATAGTTATTTCTCTTGCTATCGCCTGCTATAATTATGGTTGTGCGATCAATAAAGAGCGGGGTTTTTTTTACAGTAGAGCCATGCCTCGAATACTATTTCGCGTGAGAAGTAACAGTTGACGTGTGTCTCCACGCGAGTAAAGCCAACAAATGCGCGTCCGTATCTGGAAAACCTTTTTATTATGTCAAGAAATGTCTTATTTACACGTCTCGTGATTCCCACGCCGGGTGTTTTTGGATGCCGGCAAGTGCGAAAAAAGTAATTACCGAGGATTCCAAAGTAACACCTCAGTCGTATGAAGGCGCGAATTGTGATCTCCCGTTTCAGTTAATCATAAGCCATGGGTAGATTCAATCTACCCTTAGCCTAATTTGCATAATTTTTTTTGGTGAGCAAAGCCCGTCATGTAAACAAATCAAGCATATGCCGTTGCTTAATACAAATTATATGGCTTGAATCGATGATCGAACGAATAAGGATAGTATAAGAATTTCTTCGGTTAATAATTTTAAGTGGTAATGGCCATATTTTTCAATGGCCAGTGCCGTTTAGCTAATACTTTACTCGCCAAACCATTAGGTGTAAAATTCAGTTAAAAGTGACATGAAAGCCACGAAGGCAAAATTAAAAGGCAGGAATTAGTTTCCGCAGGTCACGTGATTTTAAAATTTTTACCTCTTATTGGCTATAATTTGTTGTTGATATATTACCGGTTTGAGTATGAAGAAAACTTTTACAAATACGGCCTTTATCACTCTTGGGTCCAAATGTTATTACAGATGGGACCTTTATTACGCTTGGGTTCAAAATGTTATTACGGATGGGACTTTTATTACGCTTGGGTCCAAATGTTATTACAGATGGGACCTTTATTACACTTGGGTCCAGTTATTACACTTGTGCCTTCTGGCTTATACATGGAGGGGCTTATTTTCGGAATTTTACGGTATGCGACTTTTGAGTGTTTTATGGAATAGTCTACGGAATGATGGCTTTCTGAAAGTTAGAGAGATTTCATATGACGTCCTGTTTTGTATCTTTAGTATTTTCTTCATAAAAAGGGGGTATTTTTGACGTAAATACGGACACTTTTATCCCCCCCCCCCCCATTGGTCTAAATTTTACTTTGACCCCCCGCCCCTTCCCTCAGTGGTCTAAATTTTACTTATGGAAAACAAAGTTCAGCCTTCATGATGAATCCATTAATAAAGACTTTTTAAAGAGTCAAACAGGTGCCAGTTACACAATTAGAACAAAGAAACGAATTAAAAGCTGCCAAGTCACCGCTTCTTTTTGTAAAAGAAACGCGATAAGCAACAACAAAAGCCAAAAACAGAAAGAGATCGAAGATGTTAAACTAGTCCTTTGTCGATAACAATGAATCCAAATCCGCCAACTTGAAAATGGACAACAGTTCTAGCTTGGAAACTGTTGTCGTCATAAATTGCATCCTCAATGCTCCACTAATGCTGGCATCCATCACTGGTAATGCTTTGGTGTTAGCCGCCATCTTGAGAACTCCTTCGCTTCGTTCAGTACCGTCTACTATCTTCCTATGCAGTCTCGCTATTACAGATTTTCTTGTTGGGCTTGTTGTCCAACCTGTTTACATTGCCATGAAACTTCACTATTTAACTGGTGAGTTTATTTTCAAAGCCATAGTCTCGATGTCTACTTGTCTCTGTGGTGTTTCCCTCGCAACAATGACAGCTATAAGCGTAAATCGACTTTTAGCTCTTCACTGTCACATGACGTATCCGAATTTAATGACAACAAAGCGAGCATTATATGCCTCAGCAAGTCTCTGGTTTGCTTCCATACTTTTACCATGCCTTACAGTTTGGAAATGGAGAGTTTTTAATCTTATTGCAGGAGTGTATATTACAATTTGTTTTGTCCTTTCGTCCGCTTCTTACATCAAAATTTATTTCATTGTTCGTCACCATCAGATCCAGATTCACGCTCATCAACAAGCTGTGAACAGTTTTAATATTAGTGTAAATATTCCAGATAGTAATAACATGATAATATCAAAGAAACGTGCTTTAAAGACTTTTATATATTTCATCTGTATGATATTTTGTTACTTACCTTATCTATCTTATTCATTGCTACGAGCCACCTCAGTTATAGGCTATGAGGAAAATTGGTCCTTTGCAGAGACTGTTGTGTTCGTGAACTCGTCCGTAAATCCATTTTTGTACTGTTGGTGTAATCGTGAAATCCGAACGTCAGCTGTAAAGGTACTCCGGAAAATGATGTGTAAACAAACGGAAGTAGCTGGTAGCGAGCTTGAAGGTTAAACTTGTCTTTGTAAAGAGACCTTCACCGCGCTATGCAAACTTCCTTAAACTTTGCCTAAACTTTGCAGAGAAAAGTAAGACTTCGTTCCGTGAAGATTTGCGTGCTTAACGAGATACCGCACTTTACATAATTCGTCAAAACCAAATTTCGCAGCGAAGCCTTTAATCAGTATACATTGCTAACGATTTTTGGAAAGTTCAATATCTGTTGAAATTTAAAAAATACTTAAGTATGCCTTAATTGGCACTGTCTCTCTGTTCGCAGTGAATACCGAGAGCATGGTGATGTCTCTTTCACCCACTTTGGTAACCGTAGATCCATGAACCGCAAAATGAGCGCTGCATTCCGCTCAGAACCAAAGCTGTGAAAAGGTAAATGCATGAGAATCCTCTGCTTTATGTTCGGCGAGTGCTCTAAACCTTCTTTTTACCACTGTTGACAAAATCGTGAAAAAAAAATCGTAGTAAAAAATATGACAAAACATGTAGACAAACAGTGCAAAATGACTAAGCTGAACGCTAATCGATTCTGTTGAGACCGTTAAAGAGTTACTCTTCCTCTAACTCAAAGAAAAATACTAAAAAGTTATTTCCCCATTTTCTTTAGTAGTTTTTATTAAGAATTACCCGAAAATATCAAGAACGGCTCCAATGTATGCACCGTTTTAAAAGCACTTGTTTATTCATTTGTATACACCATTAATGATTCTCACCATAATTTTTTCCTTTTTAAAAATGCGTAATATGTAACTGTTATATACCAGCGTAATAGTTAAACTTTAATCATACTGGCGCATTATTAATTCTGTGTTATTTATCATAAATAGTTTGTTTTGAAGGTTGGTTAAAGCAACGATTGTGACGTCATGGGACTTGATTAAGCCGTTATTTATAAGCATTTTTGCCCATGTAGCTTTTTAGCAAAATTCTTCTACAGTTTGCAAGATTATTGTAAATTCAGATCAGTTCAAGAAAAATAAATTATTTTAAAAATAGCGAGGAAGCCCAAGGGAAGCCACCGGGCTTATAAGGAATGAGCTCTCTCGGTTAAATTACAACAACAAAATATTAACAGAAATATACAGTTATGTATAAATCAATGGCAGAGCTACAGTAAATCTTAAAATATATTCCAGATAATCGTATTAATCATGGTTAGGCTAAAAAACTGAGAAAAACTGAGAGGGAACTTACTTATATATTAGTCCTGCCTTGTGGTAAAATAAAAAAGCTCCTAAATTCTAGTGCCATAGAATGCACCTGGCGTGTCACTAAAAACATATATACTATTGAAGCTATCAGAAAGTTAGCCGTATTTGTATTGATACATAAATTTTCCTATTTGAAGTTTGTAGATACTCTCAAGATTCAGAATTACTAAATTTTTAAATAAAGGGTCAGTGTGAGTATCGAAAGCACTCCTCGACATTACTCTTACAACCCTCTTTTGAAGTGTAATTAATCTTATGGGCTTGGGAAGACAACAACGACGTTTATTTCGCAGTACCATTTACATAGATGGTGTTGCATATAAAAGGAAGGAAAAGTAGAAAAATAGATTTAAAATATACATGAAAAACGAAATAAGAAGGTGGGAAGAAAGGTCGAGGTTAATAATACTTAGTCTCCAGCTTAGCGCCAGGTGAAGATCCATTTTATAAATATTTATAAATATTTATTTTTCATGAAATCCCTAATTACTATTCATCATAAATCAAGCAACTTCTCGCTTTTCTACTTATTTAAAAATAGAGAAAGGCACAAATTATTACCAAAAAATTAAAATTAATTGGTCTGTGTGTATATTATTAGTGCTATTATGAGGAAACAACTAAACCGATAAAGGTCTGTCACCTGCCTTATTAGCTAAGCGTGAGATCAAAGGCAAATGTTGAATAACCATAAATGGTTCAGGTAAAGATGGCCAGTCTTCCAATAACTTCCGCTGAAACTAGCGGAACCGGTTTTAATTCTCTGACACTAAATTGAGCTTTCCGGAGCTTATTTTATCATATCATTGTTTCAGGTCCCTTTTTCAACTGCCAAAAGTTTAAAAAAAAAACTATCACTGTCTCATTTTTTATACATCTCCCTCATCCGAAGTTTTTAAGTTCGATAAGGCAGAGGAGCCTTCTTTGTAGTAACACAATATCATTGATCATTTTTCACAAGAACAGGGAGCGTCTTAGCGTCATGATAGTGTGTCTGAGTAATCGTAGAGAGTTCTAATTTTAACAAAGTTTATCTATTTATCATTAGAGGAAGGGAGACGGACCCTGAAATCTTTGTCTTGACAGACCTGAATCCGCGACATGTCTGATCTAAATAATTATAACTTGAATTCGTATTCAAATACTCTCTGGACGAAAGAAAAGTTATTAACACCCAATAAGTCGTGCTCGTTGGTAAATTTGTAGCGCTTTCAGTGGCTGATTTTGCCGTCTAGTTTCTGTAAAAATATCATGATCATTTTTCCAGTTATGTTTAGAATTATTAGTGAGTTCGATTTAGGTCTAAATGGGATCAGAAACGTTTCTTTGAGGCGTTCGAGCCAATTTCACCTGCAATTCAGTTAGAAACAAGTCGAAAGGGGAAAGCACTCGTGCGCCTAGTCTGCGTGACTGGCGGGGTTAGCGGGCGAGTGCTGCCGTTTTAGAGTTAGGAGCCGCGTGAAAGATGCTTCTTATCATTCAAGCTTGTCATGCAGACCCTTCCAGTTCAGAAGGCAAACATTTTTAAGAAACTACTTCTAAGCTAACTAAAACCTTCTTGTTTCACCATTCAACGCTCTTTTTCTTCTTTCCATCAAATTAATAAGTCCCACAGTAAATTAATTCTTGCATTTTGGTACACTGCAAAATTCTCTTGACGTGCAAATATTTTACTGGTTTACCGTGCATGGCTTCAACATTTGTTTTCACTACTTTTCTCGCAGACTCGCGCGTGGGAGCTGTAATTAAAATACACCAATCAGATAGTAATCGTGCCGACTGTTCCACATCTTTCGAAAGAGAAATAAATGATTTAACTGACTTTCGCAGCGTTAAGATGTGGGTACTGAATTTGCTCTTTTAACAAAAATTTTTGAAAACGAGAAGTAGGAATTATAAAGATTAAACATCCAATTAATGTAAAACATTAACGCTGCTGTCATTTTTACCCCAAGAGGTAATTCAAGTAGTCTGCATCGCACTGGCGCAATCTTTCCCCAGCTACTAACGTCTGTGAAGCGGCGCCGAGATCCTTGTTGTGGGTCCCTAACGGACTCTACAAAATACCGGGAGCGCATTTCGAATTTCCCTTCAACCTAATTGGCAAATCGGTAATATCTCTATTAACAGGCCAATCATTGTACCTACTCAAAACCTGCTACACAGGTTTGGTCCCAGAACAAGGCTTTCGGCGCTGGCTCGAAGACGGTCTTAACCAGAGCCGGTTTTAGTTTCGTTTGTGATGCAGGTCGGTGCTTCATGAATGGGACGTTTTTGAAAGTACCTTTATTGGATAATTTGGGATTACCAGTTCACGCATCATCAATAGGGAACTTAATAACCACGACGACGACCGGAAGTGAGTTACAGTGTAGTGCGCAAGCGCGACCAGTAAATTTCGTCGTCGTGGTGTCGTCAACCACGAAAAGCAAAGTACAATCACGTCGTGAACTTCGTCGTGGTTCTTAAGTTCTGGGCTAGCTGCGAGAAAATGGTCAAATAAGAATTTTTTTTCCCTCAACTGGCTATCAACTGAAAGCCACAATCAGTCTCAAAATGGACGTCTTTTCTTATTGCGATACAAAAGTGTTAGAGATCGTATAGGGCAAACGCAATTGGACAACATAAAAAATCTTGCTCAAGCGAACCGTTATCATGGTAGTATCTTGAATTATTTTTAGATATAAAACGGTTTTTGGTTCCATTGGTGGTTATTTGAGTATCGTGCATTTTCTGGCTATATAAATGAAAACACGCAAAACCTTCCGCTCGTGAAGTAAAAGGACGAGATAACGGATCTTTCCATTGTGTTTATGGCTGAAGTTCAACGAGTCGCGCTACGTGAGCAGCAAGGCAGGTGATTTTTGGCAAATAAGAATTTAAGACGGAATCCAAGAGGAAATTAAGTAATTTTCATTTTCAGTGGACAAAAACCTTGTACCTGAATATATTTAAAACAATAGCGCATTCTTTTTTACATTTTTCAAGGGCTATAGATATAATTAGTTATCTGTAATAACACCAAAGAAAATTTCTAATGACAGCCCGAGAAAATAAACGTCAAATTTCACAAAATGACACCTTACACATACAATTCTCAGAATTTTACCTGTGTTTTCACATTCTTGTGAAAGTTGACATTTATTTTCTTGGGCTCCAGTGAGAAATAGTCTTTGGTGTTTTTACAAATGACTAATTATATCTATATAGCCCTTGAAAAATGTAAAAAAGAATGCGATTGTTTATAAATTATTCTGGTTCAAGGTTCTTGTCCACGGAAAATTGAAATTACTCATGACAATTTCCTGATGGATTCCGTCGTAAGACAATTTTAAGATGTCAAATTATACCCAAAGATCCAAGATCAGTCACGGTATAAGCTAGCTGAGGCCAGCTGTTATTGTCTAATTATAGGTTATGAAAAAAAGTCGAACTTTAAAACACACTAAAAACCAGAAAGCAATAAGGAATAGTCGGCTTAAATTAAAGCTGATATTTTTGCCCTAATGGAGCCGTTTTGGTCTTATGAACAGCATTTCGTATAACAGGAAGTCAAAGTTTTCCATTATCCCCTCAAGATATGGAATTGTTTGCTTATTTTTGAAGGGGCTTTAATTGCAAGCGTCACGTACACTTTAGTCAGTCGCCGCATAATTTTTATTGTAAGAGTTCTTCCTTATGAAATGTTTATTCTAGTTTTTGAGAATGTTGGAGGGTGTTTTTCCAATAGGAGATATATATATTTTTTTCATCAAGCGTGCAAAGGTTTTAACTATTGCGGTATCTAACAAATTATGATTGTAATAAAGGTCTAATATGTTGACCTTTGGTCCCAGCTGAGATAATATGAGACATGCTCACAACAGTGTATCTTAACTTACAAGGCTGACATCATGGCTCATGTGACCAAACAGAACGAGAAAAACATGAACGGAAAAAAATACCACCGAATCTAGCAATGGCTCTCGGTTTACGTTTTGACAAATTTATAACTGGCTATGAAACATGCTTTTCAAAAAATTCATCGCTCCAGAACAAATAAATATGTCATTCACGTTCACTTATATAAAATGTCAGGCTAAACAAATCGAGCATATGCCGTTGCTTAATACAAATTATATGGCTTGAATCGATGATCGAACGAATAAGGATAATATAAGAATTTCTTCGGTTAATAATTCTAAGTGGTAATGGCCATATTTTTCAATGGCCAGTGCCGTTTAGCTAATACTTTACTCGCCAAACCATTAGGTGTAAAATTCAGTTAAAAGTGACATGAAAACCACGAAGGCAAAATTAAACGGCAGGAATTAGTTTCCGCAGGTCACGTGATTTTAAAATTTTTACCTCTTATTGGCTATAATTTGTTGTTGATATATTACCGGTTTGAGTATGAAGAAAACTTTTACAAATACGGCCTTTATCACTCTTGGGTCCAAATGTTATTACAGATGGGACTTTTATTACGCTTGGGTTCAAAATGTTATTACGGATGGGACTTTTATTACGCTTGGGTCCAAATGTTATTACAGATGGGACCTTTATTACACTTGGGTCCAGTTATTACACTTGTGCCTTCTGGCTTATACATGGAGGGGCTTATTTTCGGAATTTTACGGTATGCGACTTTTGAGTGTTTTATGGAATAGTCTACGGAATGATGGCTTTCTGAAAGTTAGAGAGATTTCAATTGACGTCCTGTTTTGTATCTTTAGTATTTTCTTCATAAAAAGGGGCTATTTTTTACTTAAATAAGGACACTTCCCCCCCCCCCCCCCCCCCCCCCCCCCCGCAATTGGTCTAAACTTTACTTTTGGAAAACAGAGTTCAGCCTTCGTGATGAATTCATTAATAAAGACTTTTTAAAGAGTCAAACAGGTGCCAGTTACACAATTAGAACAAAGAAACGAATTAAAAGCTGCAATGTCACCGCTTCTTTTTGTAAAAGAAACGCGACAAGCAACGACAAAAGCCAAAAAAAAAAGAAAGAAATCGAAGATGCTAAACTACTCCTTTGTCGATAAGAATGAATCAAAATTCGACAACTTGAAAATGGACAACAGTTCTAGCTTGGAAACTGTTGTCGTCATAAATTGCATCCTCAATGCTCCACTGATGTTGACATCCATCACTGGTAATGCTTTGGTGTTGGCCGCCATCTTGAGAACTCCTTCGCTTCGTTCGGTACCGTCTACTGTCTTCCTATGCAGTCTCGCTATTATAGATTTTCTTGTTGGGCTTGTTGTCCAACCTGTTTACATTGCCAGTAAACTTCACCATTCAACTGGTGGGCCGCTTGCCAAAGTCGAATTTTTAAAGAGTTGAAACAGGTGCCAGTTGCGCATTTAGAACGAGCTACAATTAAAACCTGTGAGTCACCGCTTGTTTTTGAAAGGAAACGCCGGACGCGCATCAACAAAAGCTGGGAAATAATCGAAGATGCTAAACTACTCTTTTATCTATAAGAACGAATCAAAACCGGACAACATTGGAAATATGAACAACAGTTCTAACTTTGAAACTATTGTTGTCATAAATTGTATTCTCAATGCTCCACTGATGCTAACATCCATCACTGGTAATGCTTTGGTATTGGCCACTATATTGAGAACTCCTTCGCTTCGTTCAGTACCATCTACAATTTTTCTATGCAGTCTTGCTATTACAGATTTTCTTGTTGGGCTTGTTGTTCAACCTGTTTACATTGCCAATGAACTTCAATATTCAGCTGGCGGGCCTCTTTATAAAGTCGAAAACTTTATATCTGTTTCACTTTGTGGTGTTTCCCTATTAACAGTGACAGCCATAAGCGTGGATCGATTTTTAGCCCTCCACTACCATGTGACGTATCCGAATTTGATGACCACAAAACTTGCAATGAATACTTCAGCAAGTCTCTGGTTTGTTTCCATACTTTTTTCATGCCTTAGGGTTTGGATAGGAGGCTTTTTATTCCTTGTTACACGAGTTTTTATTGCAGTTTCTTTTGTCATTTCGTGCGCTTCTTACATCAAAATTTATATCATTGTTCGTCATCATCAGATCCAGATTCACGCTCAACAACAAGCTGTGATGAACAGTTTTAATATTACAGATAGTAATAACCTGATAATATCGAAGAAACGTGCTTTAAAAACTTTTATATACTTCATTTGCATGATATTTTGTTATTTACCATATATATTTTATTCATTGCTAAGTAACACCTCAGTTATAGCTCTTGACAGGAATTGGTCGAACTTGGTAAATAATGTTGTGTTCTTGAACTCGTCCGTAAATCCATTTTTGTATTGTTGGTGTAATCATGAAATCCGCACGTCGGTTGTAAAGATAATACGAAAGATGATGTGTAGACAAACAGAGGAAGCTGACTAGGTTGTGGAGTTGCGTTAAGGTTCATTGTGAAAAATTGTGCCCCATGTAAAGGTTTCCAAGACAGTCTTGGATTCTGGATTCCAAAGCCGTGGATTCCGGATTCCAGGCATGGTGCGAAAAATGATGTGTAGACAAACGAAGGAACCTAGCGAGCTTGAGTGTTAAAATTGTATTTGTAAAGAGCGGAATATAATTGTTGTGAAGTATTTTGAAGGTTATTTTAAGTTTATTTCGTGTTTGTGCTTGACGTTTCACTCGTGAGTAGAGTCTTGTGATGATCAGTTTATAGATCAAGGTTAATCCGTATTTGTGTCGACAGGTTTTCAAATTCGATTACCTTTTAAAGACGTTTTTCAACATGAATGTCATTTATTAAATTTGATTGTCAGTCCTTGAAGTGGGCACGTTTTGGAACCGTCGCTGACCTTGATTGTTACCTACATCAGAGTTCCTGTTTTGGTTTATGGTAGAGCTTCGTGGGTTTAGCTGTCACGCTTTCATTGGTTTTCCTATGGGTTTGTTTATTCCACTTTGGTTATCAACAGAAAATTCGTTTAAGTCACTCGGAAAGGCGTTTGTAACTCTCATGGTCAGCAAGCCTAAATGTACCTACGTTTTATATATATAAGTTGCCAGTGTTTAGCACAAGAGGGAGAGTAGTTGAGATAAGTTAAAGTTAGTTGACTAAGAGAGGTCGTTAAGTGATGCTGTGAACAAGATATAAGAGCTTCTGTAAAGATTAAAGAACAACAAGATGTAAACTCAGATACCTGGTACCTCTAAGCTCAGCGAGCGAGCTGCTCGTTAACCCCCTACGTAATACAGATCTTTACCACGCCATGCAAACTTCCCTGAACTAGTGCCTCAAAAAGAACAATTTTGTTTCCGCGAAGATTTTTGTGCTGTGATACCGCACTTTAGATGATTTGTCAAAACCAAATTTCGCAGCGAGGCCTTCAATCAGTATATACTTTGCGAATATTTTCGCCACGTCTACGCAGTCTGCAGTTCCCTGTCTGTTGAAAATTTGAAATACTTTAAGTATGCCTTACTTTGCGATAAACAGGAGCATGGTGATCGCGTTTTAGCTACTTTGATTATCCACGACTTTGGTGATCGACTTTAACCACAAAATGGGCGTTGAATCCATTTATATTTCAGCAAGTCTGTTTTTTTACAGTCTTGCCTTAGAAATGACCTCATTATACCCGTCTGCCGAACCACTGTATTTTTTTTGCTTCCGTGTCTTATCCAGGGTTCATACAGCAAATTGCAATCATTTTTAAGGACTTTCCAAGGACCTCATTTGATTTTCCTGCACTACCTACCAGGAATGTACATCACAGATTTGTACATATATACATGTTGTAGTCAATTTTTCATCTCAGGTAATTTTTGTTTTTCTTTTGTTTTGGGGTATGGTAATGTATGCAAATGAAGTTGAAACAAAAGAAAAATAAAAATCACCTGAGATAAAAAATCAACTACAACATACACATTCTCTGTCCAAGCTAACGCTCAAGCAGATTAAGGCCTGGGTCTAAGTCACGAATTACATGTAAAAAGATAATTATATATTTTACCATTCTGCTTCTTAAGGAAATTGTTTCTCCTTTCTTCTTAGCATTGATGTTTCTTGCTGTGAAAATTTAAGACAGCAAGGCCGTCAAGCAGGAAACTCGTCTTTTACTTCAACATTGAGGAATACGGAAATATGACCCCGCATGAATTTATCGCTTCATCAGGTTTCCAATAATTTCGAAATAATAGCAAATACAGCATGTGAAAATGCCACGCAAAGTATAGCTAAATTAAAACAAATGTAAATGCTAAATTGAACAAATTGAACCTCTTGTGATAGGGCTGGTTTCATCTCTCATCTCAGCATGAATTCGAATAAATTAAAAATGAATTAGTGAATTCAGCACGAAAAGTTTTCTAGCATTTCCCAAGTCTACTTAATACTTAAAAAAAAAGCTTTTTTAATGATAAAAATTTTTCTTTTAATAGATAAGGACGTGTAAATTTAAAATTTCAATATTAACCTTGAATAATACAAAAAAACCCGTAAGTCTCAAGCTTTCAGTTTGAGCCCCCTTCCTTTCGTGGATAGTGTTTTTGTATGTTACCACCTAAGAGATAAATGTTTCTTGATGCACTGTGTAAGTTTCTGCATACTATTTTGACATGATCGGTATACTGATAACTGCGAGGCAATTAAAACGTTGGGAGACTAATTACAGCTCATCTAAATTTTACTTATTGAAAACAGAGTTCGGATGAAAAGGGTTTTCAAAGAGGGGGGCGTTGAGGTCTATAAAAAACCGAAAAACCGGTCCTTGATCTAAAAATTACCCAAAACCGAAAGATCACGAAAGATTTCGATCGAAACCCAAATCCGAATACAAAACCATCATAACCGAAGATTTATACCGCTCAATTTTCAAAACCCTAGTCTAGATCTCAAACGCTAGCGACATGTGAAGCATAGGGACCAAACGGTAAAATTGAAGAACATTTCCCCAAAAAATCTGTTGGCCGTCTGTCGGTAGACTGTCGACCGACAGTTTACCACAGTTATACACAGCGAAGCCTTCAATCAGTATACATTGCTATTGATTTTTTCCTCGTCTACGCAGTCGAAAGTTCTCTATCTGCTGAAATTTAGAAAATACTTTTTTTCTGGCTGAAATTTCGAAAAGGTAAGTTTTGATCCCTATAATTTTCGGATCACTAGACTTCCCGCTAGGAAATGCAAACAGGTGAAAAATATTTAGGGGATAAAAATATGTTTATATATACCGTTTAAATACTAAAATACGTTTAACAATAATATGTTTAAGTGGTTTTGAACTATATTCTCGTTGGGTGCCCCTGACTGAGGAGTATTTCCTTTGTAAAATGCGTAAAATAACTTTTCTCTACCACCCTAATAATTTATCACTATTGTTTTTTTTTATTTGTTTTTATTTTTTTGAAAAGCGCCTCTAAACTTATATCATGCTAGCGCATTTATTAAAGAGAGTTGGTTAAAGCAAGAATTGTGACGTCATGTGGTTTGATTAAGCCGCCATTTACACGCATTATTGTCTTCACGTTCCTATTAAGCGAACGTCTACTTTAGTTTGCAAGATTATTGCATATAGGGGCGGGAAGGGGGATTTGAGGTTAAGAATTTATTTTGAAAAACAGCGTGTGCTCAGCGCCATGGGATGATCTATTTTCATATCACTAGCAAGTTAAATATTCATTTTCGAAATCCCTAATTACTATTCATCAACGCTTAAACGAGTGCTGTTCTGCTTATTAAACAGAGAAAGGAAAAAACTTACAAGGAAAATTGCCCTGTGTGATGCAAATATATATTAAGTGCTATTATAAGATAACAACTGAACCAATAAACGTCTTTCACCCGCCATTTTTATTACCTAACGCTGAGATCAATGGAAAATTTTAAGTTACCATAAACTGGATATTTTTTTGTTACTATTCGCTCAAACTTGCTCACCAGCTCTCGTTTTAAAACGTCTACACTGTTTTGAGCTTTCCGGAACAAATCTTAAAATATTTTTTTCAGGTTCTTTTTTCAACTGCTAACGGTAAATTCATAACTATAACGGTCTTAATATTTTTTATCGCCCTCCATCCAAATATCCCGGGGGTGATAAAGGGAGTTTTCGTTAATGTGGAGGAGCGGAGATCCAACCTTTGTTGAATTGTGTTTGACAAATCCTATAATTTTCACCCTTCCTCGCAGTTACAAATTAGGGAGCTTTTAAGCTCATGATATTACACGGGACAATTAGCAAGGACGATTTTTAGCGCAACACAGCGTTGCAATGTTGGAACAATGTTGTAACTATTCGAAACAATGTTGCTAATTGTTTCGTATAACATCACCTTTAAACAAAAGAGTTTTTTAAGCGACGCACGTCAACAAGAAAGGAGGCCTTTTAGTATGTCTTAACGCTAGCAAATTTGTATTTCTATATAATGTCTCATAAACAGACGATTTGCCCGAACATTTGAGTAAAACCACTGCCCAAAATGCAAAAAGTCCACTTCTGGTTGACGCGCGTCCCTCAAAAACGCTTTTGCTAAAGCTTCCTATTATCATTTATCCTTACGTGTCACAAGTACATAGACCCTTACCGTTGCAAAATTATAATTTTTAAAGTATAATCGTAGAATTTCGAATTTTAGCAAAGTCTGTTGAGTACATTTACAAAAGAGGGAGAAAGGTCGGGGGGGGATAGGGGGACACCGGAATCTTTGTCTTTATAGACCCTAAATACGCCACATGTCCGGACTGAAATAATTACACTTGCCCACTTCCTGAGCGGACAAATGTTATTAACACCCAGTAGGTTGTTCGCGTTGGTAAATTTCTAGAGCTTGCAGCGTTTGATTAGTTTCCGTCTAGCTTCCGTCTAAGAATGGCAAGGTATGTATGTTCGACGTATCCATAAATAATGTCAGTTTGCAATGCTGTTATTAAGTTCTCTTTAGGTCTAAATGGGACTGAAAACGTTTCTAAGTTTCTGTTGCAAAAGATCAAGCCAATTTGGAATCAAGTCAAAAGGTTGAAAGACCGTGCATATTTAATATATTTACTAAACGGCATAATTCCATTCGATTTGATCTTTGATATTTTCTCACAGTTTCAGTCAAAGCGTTATGAACGATAATTTTCACTAGGGAACTTTTTGTTACACCCTTCTTATTTCTTTCTTAACTTAATAATCATAAATATTCGACTTTTGAGTGTTTTATGAAATAATCTACTTAATGATGGCTTTCTGAAAGTTAGAGAGATTTCATTTGACGTCCTGTTTTCTATCTTTAGTATTTTCTTCATAAAAAGGTGGTATTTTTGACTTCAATACCGACACTTTCTTTGCCCCCCCTCCCCCTCAGTGGACTAAATTTTACTTATGGAAAAGAGAGTTCAGCCTTCACGATGAATTCATTAATAAAGACTTTTTAAAGAGTCAAACAGGTGCCAGTTACACAATTAGAACAAGGCAACGAATTAAAAGCTGCAAAGTCACCACTTCTAAGTTTGTAAAAGAAACGCCACGAGCAACAACAAAAGCCAAAAAAAAAGAAAGAAATCGAAGATGCTAAACTACTCCTTTGTCGATAAGAATGAATCAAAATCCGACAACTTGAAAATGGACAACAGTTCTAGCTTGGAAACTGTTGTCGTCATAAATTGCATCCTCAATGCTCCACTGATGCTGATATCCATCACTGGTAATGCTTTGGTGTTAGCCGCCATCTTGAGAACTCCTTCGCTTCGTTCAGTACCGTCTACTATCTTCCTATGCAGTCTCGCTATTACAGATTTTCTTGTTGGGCTTGTGGGTCAACCTTTTTACATTGCCATAAAACTTCACTATTTAACTGGTGGGTTTATTCGCAAAGCCACATTCTCGATGTCTGTTGCTCTCTGTGGTGTTTCCCTCGCAACAATCACAGCCATAAGCGTTGATCGACTTTTAGCTCTTCACTATCACATGACGTATCCGAATTTAATGACAACAAAACGAGCATTATATGCCTCAGCAAGTCTCTGGTTTGTTTCCGTACTTTTACCATGCCTAACAGTATGGAAATGGAGAGTTTTTAATCTTATTGCAGGAGTATATATTGCAATTTGTTTCGTCCTTTCATCCGCTTCTTACTTCAAAATTTATTTCATTGTTCGTCACCATCAGATCCAGATTCACGCTCATCAACAAGCTGTGGACAGTTTTAATATTAGTGTAAATATTCCAGATAGTAATAACATGATAATATCAAAGAAACGTGCTTTAAAGACTTTCGTATATTTCATCTGCATGACATTTTGTTACTTACCTTTTCTGTCTTATTCATTGCTACGAGCCACCTTAATTATAGGCTATGAGGAAAATTGGTCCTTTGCAGAGACTGTTGTGTTCCTGAACTCGTCCGTAAATCCATTTTTGTACTGTTGGTGTAATCGTGAAATCCGAACGTCAACTGTAAAAGTAGTCCGAAAAATGACGTGTAAACAAACGGAAGTAGCTAGCGAGCTTGAAGTTTAAACTTGTATTTGTAAAGAGACCTTCACCGCGCTGTGCAAACTTCCTTAAACTTTGCCTAAACTTTGCAGAGAAAAGTAAAACTTTGTTCCGTGAAGATTTGTGTGCTGAGCGAGATACCCACCGCACTTTACACAATTCGTCAAAACCGCATTTCGCAGCGAAGCCTTTAATCAGTATACATGGCTAATGATTTTTGGAAAGTTCAATATCTGTTGAAATTTAGAAAATACTTAAGTATGCCTTAAGGTACTTTGCAATGTCTCCCTGTTCGCAACTCGAAGAACAAGACCATGGTGATGACTCTTTCGCCCACTTTGGTAACCGTAGATCCATGAACCGCAAAATGGGCGCTGCATTCCGCTCAGAACCAAAGCTGTGAAAAGTTAAATGCGTGAGAATCCTCTGCTTTATGTGCGGCGAGTGCTTTAAACCTTTTTTGTACCACTGTTGACAAAATCGTGAAATCCGAACTTCAGTTGCAAAGGTAGTAAAAAATATGACAAAACATGTAGACAAACAGTGCAAAGTGACTAAGCTGAACGCTAATCGATTCTTTTGAGACCGTTAAAGAGTTACTATTCCGCTAACTCAAAGAAAAATACTAAAAAGTTATTTCCCCATTTTCTTTATTAGTTTTTATTAAGAATTACCCGAAAATATCAAGAACAGTTCCAACGTATACACCGTTTTAAAAGCACTTGTTTATTCATTTGTTTACACCATTAATGATTCTCACCATTACTATTCATCATAACTCAAACAACTGCTTGCTTCTCTACTTATTTAAAAATGGAGAAAGGCGCAAATTATTACCAGAAAAACTACCCAGTCTGTGTATATATCAGTGCTATTACTTGAATTAGTACTTAAATTTAGGCTAATAGCTTTTGCAATACTCTAATTCCTTTATGGTCACGCAAATAAAGCATTTGGGGTTGTTGTTGTAGTGCTATTATGAAAAAACAAATGAACCAATAAACGTCTGTCACCCGCCATATTAGCTCTAATGTGTGAGATCAAAGGCAAATTTTGAATAACCATAAATTGGTAAAGATTGTCAGTCTTGCAATAACTTGTCATGAATGAGGAGGAGGAGGAGGACGAAAAACAATAGAAATGAGGAGAAGGAGGAGGAGGAAAAACAATAGAAATGAGGAGGAGGAGGAGGAGGAGGAGGAGGAGGAGGAGGAGGGAAAACAATGGAAATGTGGTGGCGGTGGTATACAGTTTTATCATAAAAATAAGGCCATCACATTTTTATTGTTTTCCCTCCACCACCAACACCACCACCGCCACATTTCTATTGTTTTCCCTCCACCACCACCACCACCACCGCCACCACATTTTTATTGTTTTCCCTCCACCACCGCCACATTTCTATTGTTTTCCCTCCACCACCACCACCACATCTCTATTGTTTTTCCTCTACCACCACCACCGCCACATTTCTATTGTTTTCCCTCCACCACCACCACCGCCACCACATTTCTATTGTTTCCTTCCACCACCACCACCACCACCACCACCGCCACCACATCTCTAATGTTTTCTTTCCTCCTCCTCCTTCTCCTCCTCATTTCTATTGTTTTTCCCTCCTCCTCCTCATCCTCCTCCTCCTCCTCCTCCTCATTCGATTGTTTTTCCTCCTCCTCCTCCTCCTCATTTCTATTGTTTTTCCTCCTCCTCCTCCTCATTCATGACATCATCTTCCGAAAATAACTAAACCTGTCAAACCGGTTATACCAACCATGGCCGCCACAAGATAAAAATAGAACATGACATCATTGATAAACCCGTCAAACTGGATATACTTAATGAGATTCCTCCGCAAGTTAATGAGATACCACAGCATTTAATTCATGAGATCAAGACAATAGCCTATGACGTCACCTAGTTAATGTATTCCTGCGCGCGCTAATGAGATTCCTGCGCAAAAAAGAGGCGTAAAACATCCCTACCACACTTCTCAAATAATTGTAACTTGCATTTGTATTCAAGTGGTTTTCAACTATACTCTAGTTGGGTGCCCATGATTGAGAAGTCTTTCCTTTGTAAAATGCGTAAAATATAACTTTTCTCTGCCACCCTAATAATTTATCAGTATTGTTATTTTTGTTATTTGCTATTTTTTTTGGAAAGCGCCTCTAAACTTATATCATATTACCGCATTTTTAACTTTCTGTAATTTATTAAAGAGATTTGGTTAAAGCAAGGATTGTGACGTCATGTGGCTTGATTAAGCGGCCATTTATACGCATTATTGCTTCACGTTCTTATTAAGCACAAGTCTGCTTCAATTTGCAAGATTATGGCATATGGGGGAGGGGGGAAGGAGCAGTTAACGTTAAGAGTACTTGAAAACAGCAGGTTCTTAGCGCTAGGTGATGACCCATTTTAATGTTACTGGCAAGTTATATATTCATTTTCAAAATCCCTGATTACTATTCATCAACGCTTAAACAAGTGAAAGGTAAAAATTACCTGGAGAATTGCCCTGTGTGATACAAATATATATCAAGTGCTATTATAAGATAACAACTGAACCAATAAACGTTTTTCACCTGCCATTTTGATTAGCTAAGCATGAGATCAATGGCAAATTTTACGTTACCATAAATTGGATATTTTTTGTTACTATTTGCTGAAACTTGCTCACCAGTTCTCGTTTTTAAACTTCTACACTGTTTTGAGCTTTCCGGAACTAATCTTCAAATAATTTTTTCAGGTTCTTTTTTCGACTGTTAAAGGTAAATTCATAACTATGACGGTCTTATTTTTTATCTCCCTCCATCCAAATTTCCTCTGGGTGATAAAGGGAGTTTTCGTTAATGTGGAGGAACAGAGATCCAACCTTTGTTGAACTGTGTTTGACAAATCCAATAATTTTCACCCTTCCTCGCAGTTACAAATTAGGGACCTTAAGATGATATTACACGGGACGATTCGCAACCACGATTTTTAGCGCAACACAGCGTTGTGGTGTTGGAACAACGTTGCAACTATTCGAAACAATGTCGCAACGCTGTGTTGCGCTAAAAATCTTCGTTGCGAATTGTTTCGTGTAACACCACCTTTAAGCAAACGCGTTTTTTAAGCGAGGCACCTCAACCAGAAATGAGGCCTTTTAGTATTATGTCGTTACGCTAGCAAATTTATATGGCTATATAATGTCTCATAAACAGACGATTTGCCCGAACATCTGCGTAAAACCACTGCCCAAAATGCAAAAAGTCAACTTCTGGTTGACGCGCGTCGCTCAAAAACGCCTTTGCTTAAGCTTGCTATCATTATTTATCCTTTTTCGCAAGTACATAGACACATACCATCGTGATACGTGGAGAAGTCATAAAATTATAATTTTAAAGTATAATCGTAGAATTCCGAATTTTAACAAAGTCTGTTAAGGGCATTTACCAAAAGAGGGAGCAAGGTGGGGGGGAGGGGGGAGGGGTAGGGGGACACCGGAATCTTTGTCTTGATAGACCCTAAATACGCCACATGTCCGGACTGAAATAATTACACTTGCATACTTCCTGAGCGGACGAATTTCATTAACACCCAGTAGGTTGTTCGCGTTGGTAAATTTCCAGAGCTTGCAGTGTTTGATTAGTTTCCGTCTAGCTTCCGTCTAAGAATGGCCAGGTATGTATGTACGACGTATCCATAAATAATGTCAGTTTGCAATGCTGTTTTTAAGTTCTGTTTAGGTCTAAATGGGACTGAAAACGTTTCTAAGTTTCTGTTGCAAAAGATCAAGCCAATTTGGAATCAAGTCAAAAGGTTGAAAGACCGTGCATATTTAATATATTTACTAAACGGCATAATTCCATTCGATTTGATCTTTGATATTTTCTCACAATTTCAGTTAAAACGTTATGAACGATATTTTTTACTGGGGAACTTTTTGTTACACACTTCTTATTTCTTTCTTAACTTAATGATTAGAAAAATACAACAAATATGGCTTGCCCGTCGGGCCTGAAATGCAATAAAAAAGTCGCGTTTGAAGCTTTAAAACTTAGGTGACAGCATGTCGATGTTTCCAGCACTTCAATACACAGGATAGGATGGATTTTAGACCTCAGTTTCAGCCTATTCTGGCATCAGACGAGTCATGTAGAGAACAGTTTTTGAATAAGTAATCATAAATACCGCCGAAAATAAGCCCCGGGGCTTATACTTTTCAAAGGCCCTTTTTGAGAGGCTTATTTTTGGACGGGCTTATATTCGAAGGGGGTTAACTACGGCAGGAAATTTACGTTTCAAAATCCATTGGGCTAGCCTTATAGTTGGAAGTAAATTTACCGTTTTTGCTTTGTTTTCCTCTGTATTTGAGGGCAATTTTCCGAGCACAAGACCCCGGGGGCTTATATTTGGAGGGGCGATTTAACAGAGGGTTTTTGGCGTTACCGGTTTGGGGGGCTTATTTTTGGGGGGGCTTATACATGGACGGGCTTATTTTTGAAATTTTACGGTATGCGGCTTTTGAGTGTTTTATGGAATAGTCTACGGAATGATGGCTTTCTGAAAGTTAGAGAGATTTCATTTGACGTCCGGTTTTGTATCTTTAGTATTTTCTTCATCAAAAGGGGGTATTTTTGACTTAAATACGGACCCTTCCCCCCCCCCCCCCCCTTGGTCTAAATTTTACTTATGGAATACAGAGTTCAGCCTTCGTGATGAATTCATCAATAACGACTTTTTAAAGAGTAAAACAGGTGCCAGTTACACAATTAGAACAAAGCAACGAATTAAAAGCTGCCAAGTCACCGCTTCTAAGTTTGTAAAAGAAACGCCACGAGCAACAACAAAAGCCAAAAAAAAGAAAGAAATCGAAGATGTTAAACTACTCCTTTGTCGATAAGAATGAATCAAAATCCGACAACAGTTCTAGCTTAGAAACTGCTGTCGTCATAAATTGCATCCTCAATGCTCCACTGATGCTGACATCCATCACTGGTAATGCTTTGGTGTTGGCCGCCATCTTGAGAACTCCTTCGCTTCGTTCAGTACCGTCTACTGTCTTCCTATGTAGTCTCGCTAGTACAGATTTTCTTGTTGGGCTTGTTGTCCAACCTGTTTACATTGCCATAGAACTTTGCCATTTAACTGGTGAGTTTATTTTCAAAGCCATAGTCTCGATGTCTGCTTGTCTCTGTGGTGTTTCCCTGGCAACAATCACAGCCATAAGCGTAGGTCGACTTTTAGCTCTTCACTATCACATGACGTATCCGAATTTAATGACAACAAAACGAGCATTATATGCCTCAGCAAGTCTCTGGTTTGTTTCCATACTTTTACCATGCCTTACAGTTTGGAAATGGAGAGTTTTTAATCTTTTTGTAGGAGTGTATATTACAATTTGTTTTGTCCTTTCGTCCGCTTCTTACATCAAAATTTATTTCATTGTTCGTCACCATCACATCCAGATTCACGCTCATCAACAAGCTGTGGACAGTTTTAATATTAGTGTAAATATCCCAGATAGTAATAAGGTGATAATATCAAAGAAACGTGCTTTAAAGACTTTTATATATTTCATCTGCATGATATTTTGTTACTTACCTTATCTATCTTATTCATTGCTACATGCAACCTCAGTTTTAGGCTTAGAGGAAAATTGGTCGTTTGCAGAGACTGTTGTGTTCCTGAACTCGTCCGTAAATCCATTTTTGCACTGTTGGTGTAATCGTGAAATCCGAACATCAGCTGTAAAGTTGGTCCGAAAAATGATGTGTAAACAAACGGAAGTAGCTAACGAGCTTGAAGTTTAAACTTGTATTTGTAAAGAAACATTCACCGCGCTATGCAAACTTTCTTAAACTTTGCCTAAACTTTACTCGAAATTTTAATTGAATTGTGTCTGACAAATCATAATTTCAGCCTTCCTTGTAGTTACACAATATCATTGATCCTTTTCCACAAGAACATAGACCGTAGAGAGTCCGAATTTTAACAAAGTTTATCTATTTACCATTAGAGGAAGGGAGACGGACCCTGAAATCTTTGTCTTGATAGACCTGAATCCGCCACATGTCTAATCCAAATATTATAACTTGCATTCGTATTCAAGTGGTTTTGAACTATACTCTAGTCGGGTGCCCCTGACTGAGAAGTCTTTCCTTTGTAAAATACGTAAAATATAACTTTTCTCTACCACCCTAATAATTTATCACTATTGTTTTTTTTTTTGGAAAGCGCCTCTAAACTTATATCATACTACCGCATTTTTAACTTTCTGTAATTTATTAAAGAGAGTTGGTTAAAGCAAGGATTGTGACGTCATGTGGCTTGATTAAGCGGCCATTTATACGCATTATTGCTTCACGTTCTTATTAAGCAAAAGTCTGCTTCAATTTGCAAGATTATTGCATATGGGGGGAAGGAGCAGTTAACGTTAAGAATACTTGAAAACAGAGTGTGCTTAGCGCTAGGTGATGACCCATTTTAATGTTACTAGCAATATTCATTTTCAAAATCCCCGATTACTATTCATCAACGCTTAAACAAGGGAAAGGTAAAAATTACCAGGAGAATTGCCCTGTGTGATACAAATATATATTAAGTGCTATTATAAGATAACAACTGAACCAATAAACGTTTTTCACCTGCCATTTTGATTAGCTAAGCACGAGATCAATCGGGCAAATTTTAAGTTACCATAAATTGGATAATTTTTGTTACTATTTGCTCAAACTTGCTCCCTAGTTCTCGTTTTAAAACTTCTACACTGTTTTGAGCTTTCCGGAACTAACCTTAAAATACTTTTTAAAGGTTCCTTTTTCAACTGCTAAAGGTAACTTCATAACTATGACGGTCTTATTTTTTATCTCCGTCCATCCCAATTTTCCCGGGGTGATAGAGGGAGTTTTCGTTGATGTGGAGGAACAGAGATCCAACCTTGGTTGAACTGTGTTTGACAAATCCAATAATTTTCACCCTTTCTCGCAGTTGCAAATTGGGGAGCTTAAGATGATATTACACGGGACAATTAGCAAAGACGATTTTCAGCGGAACACAGC